TACCTAGTCTCCCAAAGCTCCCGAACATGCTTCGTTTAGGGTTTAGGGGTTTTGGTTTTTTCAGTGTTAAGTGCTGCTGCAAGGTCTGCCTCTTGAGAAGCATGCAATAAAAACCACGCCACTCTCAGTTCTTCTCGGCATCGTACTCATCATGTTTAGGGGTTTAGGGGTCAAGGGTTTGGGGTTCTACACATGTCGACCCTATCGGCACATGGACCTGAAGCTTGAAACTTCTTGCACAAGCAGTATACCTGTAACCTCCCTGAAGCCTGAAATGCAGTACCCCGTTTTGGTTACCTTAGCTTCTTATGATAGGATCCTAACCACAAAGTAAGTCATCCAATAACAAGGTATGCTTTTAAGGGTCTAGGTCTTGTATAACAAGAACCCCAAACATGTCCCCATTATCGTCAAACCAGGTTGTTTAGTTCAGTCCGTTCTCAAGTTTGCCGGTTAAGCTTCAGAAACCACCCTCAACTTAAATAGTTACACAGTACACGGTCCTTCGCGTGAGGCATGTTCAAAAACCCTACACCCACAGCCTAAACCCTGCATCCAACAAATGCTAAAGCTCGGCTGCAGCGTGAACTCAAAATGCCGCACCCGAAAGCTGCAAACCCAAAACTTCAAAACACCTGGAAACCCCTGCGCCTGCCGAACAAATCTAGAAATCTAACCTCCTCCCTCCCTCCCTCCCTCCCTCCCTCCCTCCATCTAACCTCCTCCCTCCCTCCCTCCCTCCCTCCCTCCCTCCTAAATCCCCAAACCCGAAAAGGGCGTCGGCTCAAATGTCGCCTCCCCGGCTTTCCCCAGATTTTCCTTGAGGATCTAGAAACCTAAACCTTCCAAAATCCCTTCATGAAGGAATAGGCCTTACTTGGAGGCCCTGTTGACTTAGTAAGTCTACTTAGTATCCCCTAGAAACCCTATTATAATCCCCATAACCCACCTTACTAACCCTACTTACTAAGTCGAAAGGGCCTCCAAGTACTCTCTTCTTCTACAACCGGGCCCCCACAAAGTTCAAACTTTCTATCATAGAGCTAATCTATGAGGCCAAAAAGAAGGAATAGGCCTTCATTCATATTACCCTAGGGCTCCTAAGAGGGTCATGGGCTTTGTGGGCGAGGGTTTGGGCTTTGGGGGCTAAGGTTTGGGATCTCACTACGACGAGGGTCCAGGAGCACTGGGGTAGGGATCCTATTTTTTATTTACGGTATATTCCTCAATGAAAGGGATGTTGGAAGGTCTGGGCCCTTGAGAATCTAGGAAGTACAGCCCAACTTGGCATCGGAGCTTACGGTAAGGTCTACATCGAATTGAGGCCCAACCCGAACTCCCAATACCAAATAATCTACCTTTTTAAGGATTCATACAAAGAAATCATATCAAGGAACCCGAAAAAGGTAGGTTATTTGGGGTCCAGGAAACACCAAACCGGTTTAGGGTGCAGGGGTTCCGAGCTTCGGGGTGAGGGTTCAGGGTTTCAGATCTCGGCTTCGTCGACAAACCTAGACTTGGCCCCCAAGCTTGTCGTTGAGGGTTAGGGTTTAGGATTTAGGGCTTAGCTTTTAGGGTTTAGGGTTTGGTATTTAAACCCACCAAAAAGTCCGCAACACCCGGAAATCAAGCTTCTTCGCCGGCCTTTCGCCAAATACCCCTGAACCCTAAACCCTAGACCCTAAACCCTAAACCCTAAACCCCAAGCCCTAAACCCTGAACCCTAAACCCTAAACCCTAAACCCTAAACCCTAAGCCCTAAACCCTGAACCCTAAACCCTAAACCCTAAACCCTAAACCCTAAGCCCTAAACCCTGAACCCTAAACCCTGAACCCTAAACCATAAACCCTAAACCCTGAACCCTAAACCCTAAACCCTAAACCCTGAACCCTAAACCCTAAACCCTGAACCCTAAACCCTAAACCCTAAACCCTAAACCCTAAACCCTAAACCCTAAACCCTAGGGGTTTAGGGTTTAGGGTTTAGGGTTTAGGTTTAGGGTTTAGGGTTCAGGGTTTAGGGTTTAGGGTTCAGGGTTCAGGGTTTAGGGTTTAGGGTGGTATTTTAGGGTCTATTAGACGGGTAGTTGGGGGTTTTGGGTACACCCCAACCTCGCACCCCCCAAAGGTTTGAAGTTCGCCGGATGCCCTCCACGCCCCTGTCAGTACCATATTATCCTACATGCTTTCGATTCCCCGGTCCAGGCAGGGTATATAGGGCTGGTGTTTTATAACCCTGAAAACTTAAAAGCCCGTCACTCAACACTCTAAGCCTTAACATGCGGGCCCAAGGTACATGAAGCGGAGTGTAGCCTGTGCCCCGGCAGCCCTCGTTGACGGAGAGCCCAACCTCGAAGATTACGAAGTTTGTGGAGCGACATGTGGGAGTTCCGAGAATTAATTAGGGGCTTAGGGTTTAGGGTATTTTGGGGGGGTCCTTATTGTAAGGATCCTACTATTTAGGGTACTAGATTAAGGTTCCTTATTTTCGGAAACTCCCATATGAGTTCACGGGTTCAAAAGAATAGGAACATGGTTTGAGGATGCTTTCTGCAGGAATTCGTTTTGTTTCACCTTCAGAGCATCAGGGTCGTGCTCTTCCGACTTATTCGTTATAAAGTTTACGCTTTAGTTTTGGGGCTTTAGTTTTTGCGATCGGGAACCGCACAGAAAGGGCAAGCTGAATCTCCTGAAGAATAACGCACAAGAGCTGCAAGAGATGGCTGAGAAATCAACCAGAATCTTATTATGCTGATGCTTCTGCTAGTGAAACAACAACAGCAGCAGCAACAACAACAACAACAACAATAATAACAAGAACAGGAACAATAACAATAACAATAACAACTACTACTACGACGACGACCACGGCTGCTGCTACTGCTACTACTGCTGCTGCTGCTGCTACTACTACTACTAATACTACTACTCCTGCTACTACTACTACTACTACTACTACTACTACTACTACTACTACTACTACTACTGCTACTGCTACTGCTCCTGCTGCTGCTGCTACTAGTACTAGTACTAGTACTAGTACTAGTACTAGTACTAGTACTAGTACTAGTACTAGTACTAGTACTAGTACTAGTACTAGTACTAGTACTAGTACTAGTGCTAGTACTACTACTAGTACTAGTACTACTAGTACTACTAGTACTACTAGTACTACTAATACTACTAGTACTACTAGTACTACCAGTACTACTACTACTACTACTACTACTACTACTACTACTACTACTACTACTACTACTACTACTACTACTACTACTACCACGACAACTACTATAGTCTGTAATTATTCCTACTACTCCTAATCCCGCTCCTACTCCTGCTGGCAAACCTTCACAGCACTACAGCCCTGGCCCTTCAAAGCGCTAACGCGGCCGAGTTGCGGCGACGAGCTCTCTGACCACGGAAGCGGAACCTCTGCCGGCTGCCAGGCGAAGGGCCTCACGCCGTGGTACAATGTAGGGAGCTTAAAGATGAATAGGAGTTCCTTTAAAGGGATCCTTAAAGGGTTCCCTTAAAGGGATCTATAGTAGGGTTCTATAATGTAGGGGATTAGGGTTCCTTGAAAGGCTTTGGGGTGGTGCAATGACAGGTTTTAGGGAATTCAAGGAATCTATAAGGGGGGATCTATAAGGGTTCCTTTACAGGGGTTTACGGTTTGGGGTTCAGGGGTTTTGGGTTTGGGTTTAAGGGCGTAGGGTTTAGGGGACTTGGGGCTCAGGGTTGCAATGCAGGGTTCCGAAATGTGGCGCTGTTTGCCTGCGACTTGAAGAGCCCAGGGTTTCCCTATCGCTATGGGGTCATAACCTACTATTGTGTAGGTTTCGGGGATACAGGAAAGTTCTGCTTCTTCTTTTGATACTCAGGCCCTCAGAAAAGCAGACAAATAGCCGCTGAATACTTTTGAACTATAAATACCTTAACCCCAAATAACCTACATTCTATGGATTCATATATAGAAATCATATTAGGGAACCCTAGACAAGTATGCTATTTAGGCCCTTACCTTGTAGTGTCCTTAAGGGAGGGGGGTCCAAGGGGGGGGGTATATAGCCCAGTGATCCCTAATTCTCCCTAGTACTCCCTAAGGTTCCCTTACAGTCCTCTAAGGATTCCTTATACCCTCCCCCCTTGAACCACCCTCCCTTAAGGATCCTATAACTTACCCCAAAACGGCTTAGGGTTCAGGGGTTTCGGGCTTCGGGGTGAGGGTTCAGGGCTTCAGATCATATTACGGAACCATAAAACCCTGAACCCTAAACCCTAAACCTTTTGAAAAGGTAGGCTATTTGGGGTCCAGGCAAAGCTGATTGAAAAAACTGAACCCCGCTCCGGGGTCAACTGCTTCAACCCCTAAGCCCTAAAGCCCTAATATAGGAGCCTTAATAATAGTTTCGGTTTAGGGTTCAGGGTTTGGGGTTTATGGTTATTAATAATTATAATAAGTAGAATAGGGTTAATCCCTAGGGATCTGAGGACTTATATATTAAGGCTTTTGGGCCCAAAGACCAGACTATATAAGGCTTTTGGGCTATTTGGATCCCTAGTTGGGACCCATTATAGTAGAATTGTACTAAGCCCATTAACCCTAAACCCCCTAAACCCCCACCCACCCACGACGGTCAAGGACTACACAGAAGCCGCTAAAGTACTTCAGTCTTGAAACCCACACCCGAACCCCTCAAAAGTGTGCAAAATAATTGCTCAGCACTTATAAACGGCTATTCTTCTGCATACTTTTCGGGTTCAGCAGTGCTTTTTGCTCAGACATCTCGCCGAGTGCAGTGGCTTGATGTGTTGCAACCGTCACAATCGTAGCTACGCGGCTCACATAGGATGTATAATAAGAGGTCGTAGGATGGTGCTAAATGTCGGCCTCTTGCCGTAAGCGCACAGCCTCACACTGAGGCTTGAGCTGCAATGCCCAGCGGTCTGGGTGGAGCAATTGATTATGGCGTTGCTCTTTTCAGTATTGGCCTCAACTAAGAGGTAAATTTCCTAGCCTGCTCCTCGTCAGTATTGGTCTCTAGCAACAGTTGCGCAACCTCCGAATGCCCTTCCTGGGTGGCAGCGAGCACGGGGGTTTCGCCATTGCTTGCTGGCTTGTCCCTGTCCGCCTTTGACTCCAACAGAAGGCGCACGACTTCCAACCGCCCAGTGCGAGCTGCAACGAACAAAGGGGTGGCGCCATTCTTGTTGGCCCTGTCCTTGTCCACATTGGCCTCCAGCAAAATCCGTGCGACCTCCAAAAGCCCCTTCTGGGCTGCAATGAACAACGGGGTGGCGCCATCCGGCTTAGCCTTGTCCTTGTCAGCATTGGCCTCCAGCAAAAGACGTACAAGCTCCGGCTGCTCTTTCTGAACTGCAATGACCAAAGGGGTGGCGCCATTCTTGTTGGCCCTGTCCTTGTCCGCGTTGGCCTCCAGCAACAGGCGTGCAACCTCCAAAAGCCCCTTGTTAACTGCCATGAACAAAGGGGTGGCGCCATCATGCCTAACCTTTTCAGTATCTGCATTGGCTTCCAGCAAAAGACGTACAAGATCCAGCTGTTCTTTTCGAGCTGCAACGAACAAAGGGGTGCAGCCCTGAATGATGGCCTGGTCCTTGTCTGCATTGGCCTCCAGCAGAAGGCGTGCAACCTCCAAATGTCCATTCTTAGCTGCAACACACAAAGGTGTGGCACCACTATGACTATCCGTGGCTCTGTCCTTGTCCGCGTTGGCCTCCAGCAAAAGGCGTGCAACATCCAAATGCCCGTGCATAGCTGCAATGTACAGAGGAGTGCAGCCATGAATCGTTGCCTGGTCCTTGTCCGCATTGGCCTCCAGCAAAAGGCGTGCAACCGCCGAATGCCCATGCTGGGCTGCAACGAACAAAGGGGTTTTGCCCGAGTTGGCCACCTTATCCTGGTCCGCATTGGCTTCCAACAAGAGGCCCGCTGCCTCCAGGTGGCCGTGCGTGGAAGCATAGAGCAGCGGCGTCGGATCACCCAAATCTGGGTCTTGTGGTTTTTGCAAAATTGTCTCCATCGCTGATGTCAAGCCTCTTTTTGCAGCATGCTGCAGCTCTTTTGCTTGCACTTCAGATGCTGAACAGAAGTTGACAAGCACGAGCTGAACATCGCCTGGTCTCAACAGTTGGTGGTCATTTTCATCCAACACGATGCCGCCATCCAAACACACCAGCCGTTGCCTGAATCTTGGCTGCCCTCGCACTTGGTGCAAGTACTGCTTAAGTGCCCGGACGGGATGGCTACCTCCAGCAAGCCTCTCCAGAAAAGTCGTCAGCTCAATCGTGACAAGGACTTCCCCCGACACTGACCGAATGCGCAACATCTGCGGTTCGGCATGTACATATATATATATATACATACACACACACATACATATGTAATTGTCTTGGAAATATATTAATGTGTAAAGATAGATAGATACATAGATAGATAGATATGTATATATATATATATATATATAGATCTTTATATGTGAGTGTATATGCCTATTGATAAATACACAGACATTTCTGCGTTTGCTCGTTATTTACCTTATTCATTCATAGGTGCACTGGTACTTGGGTCATGGACAGACCTCGGCTTGAATTGCGAAGTGCGCCACATGTCAGAACTTGGTATATACACTTCGGCTTCGGGGGAGGGAGAGAGAGAGAGAGAGAGAGAGAGAGAGAGAGAGAGAGAGAGAGAGAGAGAGAGAGGGAGATTGCATGAGTATTCATCTAAGCTTATATGAGAGCATATACCACACACACATATATGTATATATATATATATGTCTCTACACCAAAGAGCGGGGCAAACCCTGAAACGAAGCCCGCCAAGTAAAATCCACCGACCCCAAACAACTTGCTTCCTCATATGGGTGGTTGTCAAAATTAGGGTCCCTGTTTGGGTACCCCAAAATAATAGGTGACGTACTATAGTAAGGACCCAAAACGACCCTAATTTTGACAACCACCCATATAGCATCCTAGCCCGTGTGCAACCCGACGTGTCACAGAAACGTCCTAACCCTGGGGCTCAAAATAGCCCAAAAGCCTTATATATTATGGGATTAGGGCCCAAAAGCCTTACTATATGAGTCCTTAGAGCCCTAGGGTAAGTGATGGGCGATGATATGGCTTCACAGCCCGAACCTTGTAGCCTGGCTCAACCCTACTTACACCCTTGTGGTGCGCGTTGTGTTCACATGCTTTGTAAGGTTCCCTGCCTCGTAGAGTAGAGCAGCATGTAAGGTTGAGGCTCGGGGTACTGGGAAATAGGGCTTGGGGGTATATGAGGCTAGAGTCATACAAGAGAAACCCTTAAATAGTAGACGACATTTTTACGGCCCCTACATTGAACTTAGCTTGCCATCAAAAGCAATGTCTACGTTTCCAGAGCATCGACATCCTCTATTCCAAACCCTACACCTTCAATCCTGAACCCTGAAGCCTAAAACCTGAACCCGAAGTCTAAACCTTGAGCCCTGAACCGTTTCGTCAGGGAGCGGAGCAGCCCTACTTCATGTCATGCAAGCAACACTTCTGAGCAAACGGTGTTCTTAGAGTTTGGGATTAGGGTTTGTAAGGGCTGGGGATTCAGAGTCTATGGTGTAAGCCTTTCTCAGACCTTCCAAAATCCCTTAATTAAGGAATATACATTAATTCATAATAGGATCCCTAATATAAAAAAAGGTATATTCCTTAAGTAAGGGATTTTGGAAGGTCTGGGTTCTTAGAAGCCACGTACATGGGTTCTTCCTGTTTCAGAGTTTCCCCCAATGCATCATTGTGATGAGGATCCTGCCATTATGGTCTCGTATATTGGGTCGTCCCCATTGAGAATAAGGTTTTGGAGCATATTCTGGTATTTACGGACTGTAAGGGAATAGTAAACGCTACTTAGGGGCCGAGTACCCTGGCCCAAAGGAGGTTAAACTTTTGAACTATAGTAGCATTATAGGCCTACTCAGACCTACTCACCCCGTAAGAAGCCTAAACCATAAACCCTAATCCCTAAACCCCAAACCCCGAAACCCTAATCAATTACCGACCTCTACTTCGTCCCCCTCTGTCCCGAAGCCCACGGGTGTCCTCTCCCATTTCAGCAGCGGCAACACCGTCCGCGACGAACTGTAAAACCTCACAACCAGGGGTTTAGCGTTTAGGGGTGTAGGGTTTTTAGGGCTTCAGGTCTACACCCTCCTAAACTTTAGTGTCCCTACCAGGACTTTGCAAGGGAACTTTAATAGAGTCCTTATGGTCCCTAATAGTGGGTGTTCGGTGTATGTTAGGGGGTAGTTGGGGGGTCTAGGAAAATGGGGTTTAGGGTCGAAGGCTGCCCTTGAGGGCTTGATTGGGGCTTACGGGGCTTGCCACAGGGTGTGTATGTACCCTGTGTGTACCTTGGCCCCGATTCTTTTACGAAGTAGGAACCCCCTTAAGATCTAAGTCTTATACCATACAAGTACGTCAACCCTGAGGGAAGGCAGCCCACGGATGGAACGGATACATTTACAAGCTTATGGTTTTCTCAGTATACACCTCTGTTTTCAGGGTAACCTTCCTTGTTCGAGGTACTATGGTAGTTCGCAGCAAACCCTACTTGGAGAGTCAGGATCATTATGTCTGTACTTGCAACCCAAGGTTAAATTACCTAACCATGGCCACCCAAGGTTACACACAGGTTACAGGTACAGATGTGATTGCTGAGAGATACCAAAAGCTACACCCGAACACTTGTGCAAACCCTATGGCTGCAGCTGATACAAACCTCTTAGTCTGAAGCCTTGTAGGGTCGACATGAGAAGACTGGCTTAATCAACAAAGAGTCACCCGGGACTTATCTGGTCCTCATGATGTAACTTTGACGACGAAGCCTCTGTTATGGATTCCCCGCGACTAACCCTAAGGCTCAAAATAGCTCAAAAGCCTTATATAGTATGGTCTTTGGGCCCAAAAGCATTAATATATGATTCCTTAGACTTAAAGTAAGGGTCCTAAACCCTAAACCCCTAAATCCGTAACCCCTAGAGCCTCCAGAAGCCTAGCGCGACCTCGGGATTAGCGCTTAATGTAGGAACCTGATTAAGAAACCTTGGGCCTTTATCCGGGTTCCTTATATGAATCCTAGTATTTTGGGGGTTATGGGCCCAGGGTTTCTTAATCGGGTTCCTACATTCAGGGACCCTCAACCCTAAAGCAAGCCCAAGCCAAAGCAAACACTCCTGACCTCCAACCCTCCAAGGGTAAAAGGAGGGACCCTTAATAAGGATCCCTGGCGCTGTGTAAGCCCCAAGCCAAACCCAAACAAAAAACCTAAAACCGAGTGCAAGAATGTAGGAACCTGATTAAGAAACCTTGGGCCGTTATTAGGGTTCTTTTTTTGAATCCTAATATATTTGGGGTTTTAGGGCCAGGGCTTCTTAATCAGGTTCCTAGATGACAATACTCAACACCTCTGAGGCTCGAGCCACTGGCGCGTCATCGTGCTGCACCTTGGAGGAAGGGCGTCGGCAATAGCTTCGGCTCTAGCGTGCAGGGGACGAATTTTGGCCATTTGGGGGCCTACATGAGGAGGGTTTGGGGGATGTCACAGCAAAAAGTGTGAGCGGAAGTGTGAGCATGAATCGGCCTCTCACACTCCCACTCACACTCCGGATTCCGCTCCCGCTCCCGCTCCCACTCAAGCTCACACTTCCGCTCACACTCAGAATCCCGGCTCACACTCAACCTCACACTTCTGCTCGCACTCTCGCTCACACAAACCTCACAAAACCTCACGCAAATAATTCTTTCAGACTATTCAAACGGTTGCAAGGACCGTGTCTCATAACCCTAAGCCCTGATCCCCGCATCCCGAAACAGAAACAAACGTTGCCTCATGTTTTGGACGCCTTAGCAATCAAAGCCCGCGATTTTGCAGCAGAGGAAGCTCGACTCGGAAACTCGTGAATATCATGGCTACAAGGTGGTACACCCAAAAACAAATCTAAGGAGTGGTTTTGGGGGTTCCCTTGGCTCTTTAGCTCCTTTCTCATAGGGGTTATCATCATCCCTGGCTCCTTAGCTCCCATAATATCAACGGTTAGTAATAGCCTCAACCAAACCCGCGGAACTTGAAAGCAGGCAAAAGCCCTTTGAGAAAAGTACCGCTGTGAGGAGTTGCCGACGTCCACGGTCCTCCTGCAATGTCTAGGTCTTGGGATTTAGGGCTTTTGGGGTGTTATAGGGCTTATTTTAGAGATCAGGCGACGTAGTCTGTAGGCTGTAGGCTATAAGACCGTAGACTCTTGTCTAAGGTTCCAGGATGTTCGGTGACATTCGCGAGTTTCGCCCGTGCGCGTGCATTTGCGTCTGTGCATCTGTGCGTGTGCGTGTGCATGTGCATGTGCATGTGCAAGTGCATGTGCGTGTGGGTGTGTGTGTGTGTGTGTGTTTGTCTGTGTCTGTGTCTGTGTCTGTGTCTGGGTCTGTGTCTGTGTCTGTGTCTGTGTCTGTGTCTGCGTCTGTGTCTGTGTCTGTTGGTGTGTCTCTGTGTCTCTCTGTGTGCATATACATATACATGTTATTTTAGAGTATACTTCAAACCTAAACCCTTGTAGTAGCCCTTATAGTAACCTGTATAGGCCCCTTTAACAGGAACCCTATTCTAATACTTCGGGCCCCTGTATTGTAAACCAGTAAACCCCATTAAGTTGGAAACCGGACGAAGGCCAAATAGAGCTAGGATTCCCGATACATTACTCTTAAGCTATTCCTGGACCCTGAATAAGAACCTACCTTTTTAGGGTTCCTTAAAATGTTTCCTTATATAAGTCCTTAAAAAAGGATTCTGGGGACCTTATAATATGGATCTTACTATTTAGGGTACTATATTAGGGTCCCCTATTTTCGGAAACTCCCATATGCTTTGGCAAGCTTTGGCCTTAAACGTCATTCGACAAAGGCTTCTGTCGCCAGTGTATGCGCCACTAGTACATCGCTACATGCGACCTCAGCTCACACAACCGCCGACCTTTCTCCTTGCACACTCCTGCAACATTATTGTTGGAGCCCTCGGCTTAAAAGACTGGAGGACTTGGCCAGTAGGCCTTTTGGCAGAGTATCTAAGCGTCGGAAGTGGGCTTAAAAACTTGCCTAAGTAGTGTACTTACACTCCCGGGCGATTCCCACCAACAGTCTAACAAGAAGCCAACAAAACCTCATTTTGAATCCCTACTTCTAATCGTCTAGTGTACTTCCTGAGCCGCCAATAAAAGCAAACCTTAAACCTTAAACCCCGAACTCCAAACGGGAAGCCCTAACCCCGACCCTGAACTCTTAAACTCCAAGCCCCAGAACCCTGAACGATTCTGACCCTAAGGTTCAAAATAGCCCAAAGCCCTATGTGCCTAAATAGTATGGCGCGGACTTTGGGCCCAGACGCCTTCACACATGAGACCTCAAAGCCTTAGGGTAAGAAGCCCAAACCCTCAACCCTAAACCAAGGAGAAGCTAGGGTTGCCTCGTCCACCAAGGTTCTTGGCTTGCTTTCCCGCAGGCTGGCAACCGCCTTGTCGGAACACGACATCGCAGGCTTACCCAGAGACTCTCCCAAATCCGCATGACAAAACGAAGAGAAAGTAATTATACCGCATATCTTACTAAGGATGCTGAAGCTGAAAGTACAATGTTCAGCTCAGGGGTTTGCAGAATTCTGAACGACAACAAACTACCACAGCCTGGCTTATTGTAGCTTCTTATGATAAGCCCCAGTATGAGAATTTGCAGGGACCTTACAGAACATTTAAGTTTTAATGGCAGTTCACGGTGACTCACTGGCCCAGAACCCAAGGAAATGAAAGTTGAAACTTTCAGAATCGACTGCCTTACAGTACAAGATCCCCAAAAGTTGAAAAGTTAACAACCAATAAGGTGATACCCTACACCTAAAGCCTGCAAGCATCTAGAGCCTAAAGCATACACCCTAAACAACCCTTGCCTGACAGTCTGAACCCGAAAGATTGTTACAATCTTTATCATTATTGTCAATATACCTTAACCTACCAAAACCTACTTTTTTTGTAGGGTCCCTAAAATATCCATATTAGGGTTTATAATAAGAACCTACAAAAAAGTGAGTTTCCTGGTTTAAGGTACATAGTAGCATTAGTAACTATTAATGTTATCCCAAGGGTACAATTTCTTTCTGCTGAACCCCCAAAAAACATCAACCGGCAAACACAAGATCGACCCTACATGCTTTAGATCTCGCGTGGGGTTGAGGTTCATGGTCTGGGATTTTCCAAGTGTTGCAAGTATCAGGTCAAGGTTTTGGGGTTGACGCGTCGGGTGACACACTTTTTGGGGTTTAGGGCTTGCCCTATAGGGATCCAAGCACTCATATTAAGGCTTGTGGGCCCAAAGACCACCATTTTGATCCCCAGGGTTAGGGTTTAGGGTTGTGTTCGGAGCTTATAAGTTTCGGGTTTACGGTGGGAGCTGCGAAAACTTGCGAGTTAGACGGGGGATGCAGAAGTCCGATGTGTTCCGGTGCAGGTTAATGGGCCTGGCTTCTTGCTGTTGTTTTTCATGGAACTGGGACATTAGTTCAAGGTCTGGAGGGACTTGGTGGGCCAAACCGTCAACCAATCATCTTGAAAAGATTCTGGTCAATAGCTCTATCTTAGTTGCTGAGTTCCTAAGCCCCAGAAAGTGTACACTTTCAGCTCTATAGTGGGTAATATTCTCCCCAAAAAAGTGTAGAGTGTATCCACTCAGCCACTGAGCTATGGCCCCAACCCCAAGATTCTAACCTCAACGCCCTCCCCTACAAGCAGCTCGCCCTCTACTCCAAACGCCCTGACCGTGCCTGCCCCACTTCTTCTTCCATTGTCGCGTTCACATGCACTGGCACCTCGTGCATGAAGAGTGCCTGGCTCAAGCCAGCGCTCGAAATGTCCGGAAGCCTTTAACTGCCCGGCAACCATGTAGGTACGTAGTGAGAACATGATTGGTAATTAGGTTTTCATCCTTGTCCCACACACGGGTTTCGGGTCGGTCTAGAAGGCTGCGGCTCTAAACCCTAAACCCCATACCCTATACCCTACACCCTAAACCCTCACTGGCCCAAAGCGTGGGCCACATCTGGTGCTAAACTTCACGCACCAGATGTGGCCGAACTTTTCCAAGCTTTAGGCTTTAGGGGTTTTGGGTTTAGGGGGATTAGGGTTCGGGTTTAGGGTGCAGGGTTTAGGGGTTTGGAGCTTGGGATATTGAGTGGTTTGGGGTCGAGAATTTGCAGGCAAAGGATCCTGGGCCCCAGTCCAAAATCCACTTAACAAACCCTACACGGTTTAAACCCTGCAATCCCCAAAAGGGGTTTAGAGTTCAGGGTGTCAGGCCCTAATCTCGAAACTCCCCCACCCTAAACCCGCAACATCCCGAAACCGCTGAGCTCATCTTTTTTTCCGGTGCCTGGCCCTCTTTGACTCCAAGGGGGGGGGGGGTTCGGCCTGCATCTCAGCCGAAGCTGACAGCAGCAAGTCAATCGTCTGCGAGGGGGCCCTTGATGAAGACTGCAGCACGCATGCCGAGGCTCAAGACCAAAGCAAAGGTCATCCATAAAGATCAGGATGACGGTAGTTGGATCGAGCTGTCGAAACACCGACCTCACCATGCGCCTATGAGCTGATGCGCAATGTGTCGGCCCAATTCCTTTCAGCATTTTCTCCGGAATGGGCACATGCTTTCTCGGAGCAGGCAAGTCTAGTAGTAGTGGGGCTCGGTGATTGCATGGCCACGTGAAGCCCATGAGTGCATAGTGTCAGTTCAAACACCAGGCCATGACGCTCAGGGAACTGTTTCAACATGGGTTTACACGCATTCGGGATGTGTGGCTCTAAAGGAACTGTGAAAACAAGTGCTTAAACATGGAACTGTATGGACATGTGTTTAAACATGGGTTTAAACACATTCGGGGTGTGTGGCACTCCGGGAACTGCTTAAACGTGTGTTTAACCATTGGCTTAAACGCATTCGGGATGTGTTGCTCTTAGGTCTCGGGGCACTATATAAACATGTGCCCAGACCTTCCAATATCCCTTAATTAAGGAATATATATATACCTTAATCCATATTAGGGATCCTATTATAATTTACGGTATATTCCTTAATTAAGGGATATTGGAAGGTCTGGGTATATAAACACTTGATGAAAGATGGGTTCTCAAACGCAATTGGGATGTTTGGCACTCAGGGAAACACCATGTTGGGGTTGCAGTTCTTCTTATAAAAAAACACCCAAACCTATTCTACGTATTAACTATACTATTCGGGGGCTCCTTATGCTATTTAGGGTATTTTCTACACCAAAACATCATTCTAAATAGTAAGACTGTTACGGCGCCTATAGCAGAACCCGCCAAACGGTGGCCAGGCAACGTGAAACCCTGCAAAACCTTGCTGCATCACAGCAAAGGGTGGCTCAGCAACATGCAAGCCGACCAAACCTCATCAACAAAACCCGACAGAAATCCAATAATCTCTGTAGGGCCTGTCTACCCGTCGGCTAGATCCTGTCAAAAAGCCCTGAAGCTCTAAACCTCTGAACTCCTAAACCCTAAGACCCTCAACCCCAAAAGCCTAAAAGCCTGAACCCTAAACCGCTAAACCCCTCAACCCTCAAACCTGAACGCCCAAACGCTAAAACCCTACCCGGCCCCTGAATAGAGTACCCTTGTAATTTTAAGGACTTTTATAAGGAAATCAGAACAAGGGACCCTGAACATCCAAAAACCCTAAACCCTAACCGAAAGCCGCCGACCGACCTGGGCCAGATCTGGGCTGATCATGTCTTCCTGCCTTCGGAGATTCATACAGGGGCCTTAATAATTCGACTGCGGGTCCCTTTTGAAGGGTTCTTTTTAAAGGGGTCTGTAAGGGTTACTTCAGGGGCTACTACAAAGGATGTGTATAGGCGTTCTGTGACAAATCCGTCACAACGATGCCTTGGGGCACGAGCGCTGCCACTGTGAGGCACAGCTGTGAGAGCGCGCTCCACCTGAGACCGAATTCCCAGAAATTCCCGATTGGGCGCTCTCCAGACCTCGGAGGATGGTCAGGCACTCCGGGTTGGGAGCAGCCACGCCAATTCGACAGCAGTCTTCCCGCCAGGTTGCGGAACACCTGCTGTGACTTGCAGAGCCACGTGCACAGGTCTCCCGGTTGCAGCTTTGTGTCAGGGCAGAGGCCCAGACCTTCCAATATTCCTTAATTAAGGAATATACCTTAAATTATAGTAGGATCCCTAATATGGATTAAGGTATATTCGTCAATTAAGGGATATTGGAAGGTCTGGGGGCTGCTCAGGTCTAGCAGCGACCGTCCGCTTGCAGTTCGTAGAAACCGTTGCTCGGTCACGGGGACAGCACAGGTGCGACCGGCTTGTTCATTGATGGCAAGGGTGGGCAGACTGCTGCACATGTGTCTGAAATCGTCGCCTTCATTAGAATAGTGGTTTTGGGGTGCATTAACGTATGCATGATTATGGTGGGGAACCCATAGGCAATGATTAAATCTCCCATAATTACGGCTTCGGGCTTAGGTCTTATGTTCAGGGTTCAGGGTTATAGGTTTTATGATGGAGGTTTAGAGGTTTTGCAGGTGAAGCGGTAAGGCTTAACTACTTGGAGGCCCTGTTGACTTAGTAAGTCTACTTAGTATCCCCTAGAAACCCCATTATAACCTCCATAACCCACCTTACTAACCCTACTTACTAAGTCAAAAGGGCCTCCAAGTAGGGTTCCGAGTCGATGCTTTCAGATTTCGGGTTCGGAGTCGACGATTCAAGGTTTCCGGCCTCAGGCTGATTACTAAGTAGAATAGGGTTCCTTTAAAGGGATCCTTAAAGGGTTCTAAGGGATCTATAGTAGGGTTCTGTAATATAAAGGCCTTAAGGTAAAAGCCAGAAAGTTGGAATATGATTATCCTAACCCTTCGATGGTAAAAAATAGCATGAAACCATATTCCAACTTTCTGGAGTTACCTATATAATAATTAAAATAGGGTTTGGGGGCCCACTATACTATTATTCTGAAAAGGAGCCCCCCAAAACAGTATAGGTAATAATTTAGGCCGGCTTACCCAAAGGCTCCATAGTAATTAGTTCTTTTTTGTGATTACATTCCAGGATTCTATATATGAACCCCCAAAAGGAACTACTTTGGAGCCTTAGGGTCAGGCTTATAATTCAGTTTTTCCAGCAGGCGTTTGCGTGGCTTTGCTTTGCTTATCGGGTTGTGCGCGGTCTGTACGGCTTTACAGGTCCTCATCGGGTTCTGAAGCTGTTGTAGGGTTCCGGAGAGTTGTTGAAGCCACGGGTCGGGGGACTTGCTTCCATATGGGAGTTTCCGAAATTTAGGGGTACCTTATTTCGGGGTCCTTATAATAGGGATCCTACTATTTAAGGTACCATATTTGGGTCCCCTATTTTCGGAAACTCCCATATTGTACTCTCGTCACATCTAAAACTACTTTGCTTGGCTGGGTGCATTCAGGATCTTCCTCGGACTCACGTGCCAATAACGGGCCTTGAAAGTGCCTTAATTTTGGGGTTTAGGGTTTAGGGCTTGAACAAAAAGGGTTTATAAACCGCAGACCCTAAACCCTGCCTAAATTGCATGGGCCTTCGCCATGCACCCTGAGCCCGAAACCGTAAGCGTGTCTTCTGGGTAATATTGCGTTCGGAACTTGTAGCACCCGGTTTGCCAGAAGGTCGGGGATTTCAGGCTGGGGGACTCCGGGGACTCTGTTTTTGGGGTTTGGGGGTTCAGGGCTTGGGGTTGAAGGCTTAAGGTTTGGGGTTTTGGGTTCTCATGTCCTGGGTTTACCCTAAGGCTCCAAAGTAGTTCCTTTTTGGGGCTCATATATAGAATCCTATAATGTAATCCCCAAAAAGAACTAGTATGGAGCCTGTGGGTAGGGCTTTCTATGACTTTGGCGTTCAGGTCTCATTTCTTGGGTTTATATATATATATATATACACACACACACACTAAAACCCTCAACCCTAAGCCCTAGGGTTTTCTAAGACTTTGGGGCTTAGGATCTTCAGGGTTTTGGCTCTGTTGGGGTTGAAGGGGCCCTCAGCTCGACACTCCACCCAGAGCCCTGAGCGTCACAATGTACCCCAATACTATATAAACGGTTGTCAAAATTAGGGTCCCTTTAAAGGGGGTCCCGAATATAATACGGCACCTATTATTTATAGGGTACCCAAAAAGGGACCCTAATTTTCACAACCGCCCATATACGGTTTAGGGTTTAGGGACTAATTTAGGTACCTGAAGGCCAAGGTATATGCTATTTGGGCACTGGACCCTCAGCCCAGACCTTCCAAAATCCCTTAATTAAGGAATATACCTTAAATTATAATAGGATCCCTAATATGAATTAAGGTATATTCCTGATATGGTAGGACCTTAATAATAGCTCTATTATAGACTCTTACTGTATGGGGGCGGTACCTAAGACAACGCTCATAAACATAAAGGCCTGGTTCGGGGCTTAGGGTTTATGGAGGTTTAGGGGTTTTAGAGACGTAGGATGTACGGATTTAGGGCTTACTTATACAAAGAAATCATATGAGGGGACCCGAAAAAGGTAGGTTATTATGTAAACCTACCCAGACCTTCCAATATCCCTTAATTAAGGAATATACCTTAATCCATATTGGGGATCCTATTATAATTTAAGGTATATTCCTTAATTAAGGGATTTTGGAAGGTCGGGGTCCCCCCCAGCTTGGAGCCCGGGCCCTTCTCCCTCCAGGGAGTTGCAGCAAAGCGCCTCCAGGCCCTCGCAAGGGAAGGGAATCGACGGGCTTAGGGGTTTAGGGGTTTAGGGGTTAGGGGTTTAGGGGTTTAGGGGTTTAGGGTTTACGGTTTTAGGGTTTATAGGGGTTTAGGGTTTAGGGGTTTAGAGCTTTAGGGGTTCCGGGGTTTAGGGCTTTAGAGATTTAGGGTTTAGGGTTTAGGGTCGGGCTTAGGATATGTGTGTTGTTCTAAGGTTGGTTAGTAAGATGTAGTAAGAGCCAAATGTACAGATACATATATGTACATATCTTTATACATATGACACACACACATATATATATATATATATACATGTATACATTTGTAAAGGTATATATATATATGTAAATATACATATATATATATATGTAAATATATATATATATATATATACACATACACACATGCATCACACACACATATATATATATATATACATATATATATATATATATATATATATGCCGGCCCACCCGCCCACCCACCTAAATTCCGTAATCCCTAGTCCTTTGTACTGGTTTAAGCGAATTCAAAATCCGTAAACTCCCTAATTCTGACCCTCATGGGTGGAATTCGGGTGTTCCAATTCATGGGGAGGGAATTTAGGGAAGTTATTAGGTTAAGGTCTATCGGGTTGAGGATTGGGGCGCTGTCCGGGTGGAGGGGTTGAAGAGCTTTCATGGTCCTGAGGTTGGGGTCGGATTTAGAACCCCTCGACCCCATTCCCTAATCCGAATTCTGCGGGTACGTCCGTGGGTGCGTTGGTAAACGCGAAACCTCAGATTCCAGCTCGACCCGAACAATCCCAGTCGCCGCAACCTTTTACTCTAAACCCTAAGTTAGGGTTTAGGGCTAGGGGCTTTAAGCCCTTAACCCTAGACCCTGAACCCAACCCTTTCCTCAACTAAGATCGAACCCCCCGAAAGGTCTCAGAGTCTCCAGGGAAATAAAGAATGCATGGGGCCATGTCTTTCTTCGGGCTCTTGCTTTAGGTTTTCGGCTTTAGGGCTCTGTCTTTCATAGGGTTCAAGATTTAGCGTTCTACTTTAAGGGATTTGGGGGGTTCAGTTTAAGGCATTATGGATAGGGCTTGGGGCTTACAGATTCGGGTCTCTGGTGGACCACCCCCCACGCACTAACCGCTTTGGCCTTGGCAGTGATGAACGAGTTCCCCATGGTTGCCTGCACAAGCAAAACTGGGAACTGTGGATATATGAAGCCTGGTGCCACCACAAGTTCGAACGGGTGTCGCGGGTCTTTTCAGCCGCTGTGCGACGGACGGCACAACAACAAACTAACACTCGTAACTTCGTTGTGCTGATGCTGGGAGAAAGATGTAGCACCATGCAGGTGGACATTGAGAGTTGAGCGTTCAGCCGATTCGTTCTGGGTTTTGGGTTTTATGCTTCGGAATTAAACGGAACAAGATCCAACTTGCTCAGGATCCTAGATGAACCCCGACGACCTGGACTTTGTAACTGTGAGACTCCAACGGATCCATGTACCTAGATGCCGTACCCATACAGTCAACAAAGGTTTGCCTTCAGGCCACTGCATTTTCTCCTAGATGGGCGTAGAGACTGTAAGAGTTCCTGTAGATCACATAAACCCCGAACCGAAGATGCAGCTCACGTCGCACACATAGGGATTCTGGGTGTAGGATCTAGACCCCTGTACTTGAAAGGCGTTGGGGGAATGAACATCCCTGGGCCCTGTACTCCGCACTCTGACACTGGTTTAGGGTTTAGGGTTTAGGGTTTAGGGCACCGCAAACCCTATATCCCAAAATCCGAGACCTACACTCTGCACCCTCAAATCTCAACCCAAGACTGACTTAAACCCCTACAGAGCCCTTATAGACAGGCCTTGTAGCCACCTCTGTTGGGAATGTTAGAAACGTTTGTGGAAACCCTTGTAAAAGGCACGACGAAACACCTCAACGCGCAACATGCAAAACCGCAACATGATTGACACAAAGGATTCCGTCAAACTTGTGCTGCTGTGACTGAATGGCTAGATCATGATGAGCTTACACCTTCAGGACCAAATCGCTCTTAAAGTAGGGGCCCTAATACAAGTATCCTACGAACCCCTATAAGGTAGAGGAACCCTAAGCCCTTTTAGGGTTCTTTTCGTCCTTAAGGTTCAGGCTGTTTAGGCTTCAGGAAGGTTTTGGTCTCAGCGGTGTTCTCTCCCATTTTGTGGCTTAGGGGTGCAGGTTGTGGCTGGGGGGTTTGAGGGGCATAGGGCCTGAGTGTTACAAGGTTGAAGGGTTTAGGGTTTAGAGTTTAGGGTTTATAGGGTTTAGATTTTAGGGTTTAGGGGTTAGGGTTCCGGGGTTTGGCTTTATGGTGTTTTCGGGCTATGTTGTGGGCATGCCGGCCTCAGCAGGAAGACAATGCACTGGAAGGGGTCTCTTTGGACGGGAAACAGGAAGTGGGAATACTGGATCCCCAAACCCTAAACCTGAATCAAAGATAAATAGAAAAAATGTAAAAAATACACCTTCTTTTATTTACACCATCTTTATTTATCTCTGATGAACGATCGCACACGGAGTTGCTGCTGGCTCGGGCTGTGTGCTGGGTTTGGGTTGTACTGAGGTGGCTTCTAGATGGATGCAAGGCCCAGAGCTTCCACTATCCCTTAATTAAGGAATATACCTTAAAGTATAATAGGATCCCTAATATCGAGTAAGGTATATTCCTTAATTAATGGATATTGGAAGGTCTGGGGGTTCCAAAGTTTATGGACAATTAAGGGTTTTGCGTTAAAGCGGCTTGAAACAACAAAGAGCTGGTTTCGCAGGAAGTTCTGAACCACGTGTCTTGGTCGCTGTGCTTTCGGTTCAGGTTAGGCGGATTAACTAGCATTGTCCCTTTCCTTGCTCAACATCATGTCTACTCCTGCGCTTAGACTCTGATGACCATTCCTATGTTACTGCGACCTATGTCATGCATTTCAGTCTTGTTCTGCTGACTGGTTGACTAGAATTGAAACGATGCTTCAAACTATACGGCCGAGCGTCTTGCTCAGCTCTGCTTGAGCCGGCCGGAGGGGACAGCTGTGACAAACTGGGGACAACTCTGCCCCTCATCAAAGGATCTTATAAGTCCCTATACACTACCCTTGATCTGGTTTCTATAGTAGGACTCAATGTCAACAAAACCCGGAACCATATATCCCCATATAATACACTTCATAGGGTTTCTATAGTAGAAATCGACCTAGTCCTTAACCATATATATCCCTGTATAATACACTTCATAGAGTTTCTTTTGTAGGATTCAACCAAATCCTAAACCCAAAATCCTTAGCCCTCTGACTTCTGTTCGCACCGGGAGCAAGGACTCGGAGCCCGAAGCCCTTTCCTACTTGTCGGGTATCATGGGGAACTAAAGGTTAACCTTTCTGGTTATTAGATTATATAGGGACTATACTACCAAAAAAAAGGTTAAAGGTTATCTACCCGACTACTAAGCTCTGCAAAACGGCTAACATCAGTTGGTGTTGAAGTGGCTGGCCTTGGGACTGGCTTGCTTCGGAGTCCGGGTTACTTGAAGAAGCCCCAATTAAGGGTCCAAAGGACCCAATAATATGGTACTCGGGTTTAGGATAGTAGTTATGTAGGTAGGATTTAGGAGAGTATATGATCATTGGGTACTTGGACCCGTGGGAAAGGTTTGGGTTTTAGGGCTCAGAGGGTTTAGGTCTGACGGTTTCAGGTCAAACGTGCTTCCGGCTTTTAGTTCGGAGTTTAGGGTTTGCAGGGTTGGTATAGTTCAGACAACGGCTCGAAGCTTTTCACTCAGCTAGTACATGTTTCTTCTTATTGAGGCTTCTGCACGTGGGCTGTGTTCCATACACCCTCACTAGCACGGAAACCCGACATTCTCAATCCGAAGCCCTTCACCTGAGACCCAAAACCCTGAACCATCTAGCATTTACCGATAGACATCGATTGCTCTAAACCCCTAAACCCTAAACCCTAAACCCTCTCTCCGGCCAGGACTGCACCACAATACCCGAGCTGAACGGGGGGGAGGCAGGGAGCCATTGGTACAAGGTTCAGGGCTCACGGTTCGGGGCTGCGAGCTTGACGCTTGTTTAGGGTTTAGGGCCCAGACCTTCCAAAGTCCCTTAATTAAGGAATATACCTTAAATTATCATAGGACCCCTAATATGAATTAAGGTATATTCCTTAATTAAGGGATTTTGGAAGGTCTGGGGGCTAGGGGTTTCCTGTGCAGGGGTGAAGTTTTATCCTAGCCCTTTTCTCGGGTACCGAGTTATTTGGTGAGGATCTGTTATACAGAGTATAAGAAAAAGGGGAAGGGTATGACCCTCTAGGTAGAGTCCGGTGTTGCGATCAAGCCGGTCTGAGAAGCTCTATAAGGGCCCGAACTTGCATCGGTTCGGGCCATAATATTTTCTAGGATCGTTTTTAAATCTGGGGTGTTGCTTGCAAGGACTTGCGTGAGGCTTCAGGTTGCTTGTTGGATTGGAGGATTAGGGTTTAGGGTTTGGGGTTTAGGGATTAGGGTTTAGGGTTTAGGGATTAGGGTTTAGGGGTTAGGGATTTAGGGATTCCAGGTTTAGGTTTTAGGAGTGGTCGGTTTAGGGCGGCGTACGGTTTTGACGTCCGTCTCACGCAGGCGCGCGCTGGGCAGCCGTCAGGAGACGGAACGCGTCCTTGAAAGACAGCAACAACTTTAAGGTCTTTAGGAGGCCCTTATCTCGAGGCTTCTCCATATATTCAGGGTCCCAGCGGTTAGGGTCAATATCTGGGCCAGTGCTTTCTGAATTGAGTGGGTTCCGCATACGTGAGATCCGACCAAAGTTATGGATGTTGGGGTGGCTTGTTTTCTGAGGCTCCCCCATATGGTATGGTGCGAGGCAGGGTGGAGTCGCTTGGTGTATGAACCTAGCATGTGGCGTCACGCAGAATGCACCCGAAACCTGAAACCTACAGTCTTCAAAGACCCTCAAACTGAAACCTATACTGTGGCCAGGTATCAACTAAGATGACAAAACTGGGATGCCCAGTAACCTAGGAATAAAAAGGGCTCCCTTTTTGGTATTGGGTACCTGTATCTACACAAAGGGCCCAGAGATCCCAATACCCCTTAATTAAGGAATATACCTTCACCCAACATATAAAGGCGCCTCTAATTGAAGGCATATTTTCTACTTGAGGGATATTGGGATCTCTGAGTATCAACTAACACTACAAACAGGGAATAAGGGTACTACTGGGCATCCTAGGTACCCTAAACCCCAAACTCTAAATGACGCCTAAGCCCAGTATTGTGTATCTCCACAAAGGGAATAAAGGGAATACTGGGCATCCTAGAAAAGAATCGGAGCCTTCAGTGCACCGAGAAAAGGACCCGCGTAGCGCGGGCCCCTACAGAAATGACCCGCAAATCTCAAAGAACTGGCAGAATGGCAGAATATGGGAGTTTCCGAAAATTGGGGGTACCCTGTTGTGGGGTCCTTATACTACATTAGGGTTCCCTATTTTCGGAAGCCCCCATATCCCAAGAGTGAGCCTACCTGGAAGGCAACAAAGATCTTAGACACACGGGCGTATCTTCCCTCAGCCTTACCACTGTCCTTCCTGTATGGCCCTCTCACGAGTCTTGGCGTACTGTTTGTGAGAGCCATGCAATCCAAGAATCGGGATCCAGGTCCTTGATGCTGCAGTCGACCTCGCAGCTTTGTCCGGTTTAGCGTTGGATGTTTCGGGATGCGGGCCCAATGCATACCCTAAACTCCCCAGACACCCAATCGCAAACCCGGAACTCCTCAAACTCCCATCGAAAGCCCGAAACCCAGAGACCTAAGCCCCAACCCGTACACCCAAAATACCCAACCTAAGACGGGAGTTTCCGAGAATAGGGGACCCTAATAGAGTACCCTAAATAGTAGGATCCCTATTATAAGGACCCCAAAATAGGGTACCCCTCAATTTCGGAAACTCCCAGACGGCCCCACCTCGCGGTCTCTCTTGAATCGTGTCCCGCACACTTGGCCTCGGTTCAGAGACTCGGTGCTGACAGGAGAATCGGAGTCTAACTGCTGATGGACGAAATCCCGCATCACCCCAAGGACCCTAAACTAGGGGAGTTATGTATTCGTTCATTATGGGTATTGCAGGATTTTGAGCATCAGCCGAAGTATAAGTACTGCACTCCTAGCGTCCTAGTGTATCCTTTGGTTTAAAGTTTTGGCTTTTGAATGTGGCATTTGCAAACCCTGAACCCTAAACTGTTTAGGATTTAAGGTTAGGGGTATTAGAGTTTTGGCTTTTGAAAACCCTAAACCCTAAACCATTCAGGATTTAGGGTTAAGGGTTTAGGGCGCTTCAGAGCTTCAGAGTTTAACCTCTCCAGAGAGCCGAGTACCCCTTACTCAAGGACTTTAGCCCTGAGGGTCCAAAGGACCCAATAATTAGCTACTCGGTTTTAGGATAGTACTTATGCAAATACTAGTTTGGAGAGTGCATGATTAGGGTTTAGGGTTTAGGGTTTGTACTTGCGCCCTTAGGGTAGGGTTTAGGGTTCGGGGTAACAGGCCGAATACCCCTTCCTCAAGGACTATTCAGTTTAGGGTTTGGGGTATACCCTAAGGCTCCGGCTGCTAGGAGGGTCATGGGCTTTGTGGGCGAGGGTTTGGGCTTTGGGGGCTAAGGTTTGGGATCTCACTACGAGGGTCCAGGAGCACTAGGGTAGTCTGCAAACCAGCACGAGAAGCCCTGAAGAGCCCTTGGCCAAGAAACGACGCTGTTTAGAAGTCCAGGGCTTACACTGTAGGGTTCCTGATTTTTAGTGGCATACCCTACTTGGAGGGTCGGGGGACTTAGTAAGTAGGTAACAAGTAGACTTATAAGTACCCTAAAAGGGACCCTAACTGGGGTTATGATACTTATAAGTCCCTAAAATAACCAGTTACTAAGTCCCCCGACCCTCCAAGTAAGTTACTAAGGCTCCAAACAGGGCCTTGGGCCTTGTAGGGGAGGGTTTCGGCTTTGGGGGCTGGGATTGGGGACCTCACTCCCAGGGTCCAGGAGCCTTCGGGTAATCAATTTATGCTCGTTGTATTTGACTGGTCTCTCCCCTTGGGATCCGAAATTGAAGAGAGCCCTAAACCCTAAAACCCCCCCAACCGCATGACCAGACACGCAGCAAACGAAATCAAGTGCAGCAGACAAGGCTTGTCCTGAAGGCTCCGAAGCCTCTTGAACCACTTTATTTCTCAGGCCATACTTGGAGGATCATGGGACTTAGTAAGTAGGGTTGGTTATAAGTGCCTCAAATTGGGGTTATAAGTACTTATAAGTATAGTTACCAATTTTATACCCCCCACTTATTACAAGTCGCATGATCCTTTGAGTAAGCACGATTCACAAACTGGGTAAACTAGTGGTGGGCATTGGGCAACTGTCGTATACTCATCTCCCGAAACACGGCAGGAGGTACTTGCAACACTACTCGCAACTACCCAGGAACTTTCAAGTAAAGCAGGACTCCCTTCTTCAACAGCCGGGTCCCAAAAAGTTCAAACTTTAAAAGATAGAGCTAAGATATAAGGCCAAGAAGTTTAAAGTTCCCCCGTTCACCATCTAAGAGGACACCCATAAAGTCTGAACCGACAGCTCGGCAATGACCAGCGGCAAATTGCCAGAGCATCTGAGCAGTAGATGGCCAGGCAGCAGGAGCAGACCTTCGGCGTAAGCTGGCGACGGTAAGCTCTAGCGCTCAGGGTCCACCTATGACCTAACAACTACCTTAAGGCTCGTAAGAGGGTCATGGGCTTTGTGGGCGAGGGTTTAGGATTTGGGGGCTAAGGTTTGGGATCTCACTACGAGGGTCCGGGAGCACTAGGGTAGGCTCTGGGATTTAGAACAGTTGTTATGGCACATGTAGGTTCGTCATTAGGAGCAGGTTCAGGGTCTGGAAGTCTTGGCTTAAACATGCAGAAATAGGGCCCCGCAAAAACCACATAAGCAAAGCTCAGGATAATGAAGCCCAACAACGTAGTGACATCCCGTTTGAATGGCTAATGCTTGTGTCCTCTTTGGGCCCCTAAAGAAAGACCTACTCTCTGACGAGAGGCGTAGCCCACGTCCTGCGGAGTGCCGTGGCAGCGGCAGACCTTTGGCAGCTGACAGGAGATCATCCCAAAGAGTCCGAAGTAGCCCGAATTTCCAAAATCCCTTAATTAAGGAATATACCCTCAACTATAACAGGATCCCTAATCCCAAAGAGTCCGAACGGTTGATGATATAAATCCTGCATTAGTCATAATAGGAAATATATGGGAATTATTCTATATTCCTTATTATGGGGTAGGGTTTAGGTACCCAGACCTTCCAAAATCCCTTAATTAAGGAATCTACCCTAAATTATAATAGGATCCCTAATATGAATTAACGTATATTCGTTCCTTAATTAAGGGATTTTGGAAGGCCTGGGTGCCTGCCCATAGGCCCCATTGTAGTTTCTATTTGCGGTTTATATTTAGGATCCTATACGGCAATCCCTAAAAGGAACTACTATGGAACCTATGGATAACCCGCAGCCCTAAACTCTAAAACCCAAGTCTTTTTCCAAATCTTGAACTCCAAACCCTAAATCCTAATCAGAACCGCAAAGCCTGATTTTTGGGGTTCGAGGCAAACGCAAATCTTCAGCCATTGAGGGCGACTACCCAACCATCAGGCAAGCAAGCTCCTGAAGGCTAATGTGCAGCTTAACCCACTTGAAAGTGTTGAGTACTTCCAAGGGTCCATGTCCTTGAAGACCTTTTCCGTGCTGCTAAACGTTAAGATACCTCTACAGTAGAAGCCCAAAAGTTGGAAGCCCCATAGCCTAAATCCTTAAGAGTAATGCATAGGGATTCCCAGCACTATTTGGCCTTAATCCGGTTTCCAAATTTTTGGGGGTTACTGTAAAGCAGCCTTGGACCCTGAAGACTAGACCATGCTAAACTCCAGACCTTATCGTAACCCCTTTAAGGTAAATTATAGGGGATCCTACCATTAATCCATATCCCAAATTTCCGGAGTTCCCTTTAGACCCAAAGGCCGAACATCCTACAGCCCGGATCCTGGACCCAACACCAAACCCTACCCTAGGGACCGAATGACCCTGTGAAGTAGGGGCCCTGCACACCTTTGCTACGAATCCATTAATATGTATCTATATATATATATATATAATAGTATATATGTAATACACATATTATACACACACACCTATATGTACACAGTTATACATATATATATATATACACATATATATATATATATATATATATATGTATACACACATGTATATATACACGGCTATTGAACCTTGAACTGCTTTAGGGTCTCTCAACCCTCTGGAACCCTGCTAAAACCTGGCAGGAACCGTTAAAGGCGCACGAAGCCTAAACCCCCCAGACCTTCCAAAATCCCTTAATTAAGGAATATACCTTAAATTATAATAGGATCCCTAATATGAATTAAGGTATATTCCTTAATTAAGGGATTTTGGAAGGTCTGGGCCTAAACCGTACTCACCGAGCCGCGGCGGGCAAGTGCTCGTAGTCGGGAGCGACAAGCAACTCTTTGCGAACGTCCTTGTGGTGCATGAAGGTTCGGTTAATGGTTCCTCTAGGAAAAAGATCCTTTAAGCGTTCTGTGCAGAGTTGCCTCAATCGTTCCCTCAAGGTTTCGTACCTTCAAGGGCTTGGCTTAAGGGTCCTAAAAGGGTGGATTTGGGGCTACATAGCTATGTCCATGGGTAGGGCTTGCACAGTTACTGTGTCGCTGGGTCCTGAACCCTACACCTGAAAGTCACCTGAAAGTCTGCACCTTGAAGCCAAAGCCGTGGTAAGGACAGACCTTACACACACACTCACACACACACACTCACACTCACACTCACACTTACACTTACACTTACACTTACACACACACTCACACTCACACTCACACTCACACTTACACTTACACTTACACTTACACTTACACTTACACTTACACACGCACACACACACACACACATCCCATCCGATCCATCTTACCTGTAGCTAGTTTCATTTTCTTTTGCTACGTTCCCCGATTTTCTCAGTAAACACGGAGCCCTGAACCGAAAACCCTAAACCCCTAAACTCTAAACCTAAACCCCTAAACCCTAAACCCCTACTAAACCCCTAAGCCCTAAACCCCTAAACCCCTGAACCTGAACCCTAAGCCCTAAACCCCTAACCCCAGAATGCAGCGCAAAGGCAGCCGAAGCGAGGAAATGGAAAAGCAATGACGGTGCAAGGACCTGATAGTGTCTGCGGTTTGAGGATTTAGGGTAGGTCTCCGGCCATGCGGGAAGAGGGTTTAGTTGAGTATATAGTTATGGGGGCCTGAATAATTCGAATAGGGTTTTGGGGTCCATTACACAATAATTATAAGACAATGCCCCCCGCCAAAAAAAAAACAAACAAAAGTATAGGTAACTATCAAAGCCCCTGTATGAACCCTTTATGGATACCTTATAGAGCCCTTTAACGATCCTTTTGAGGTTCTGGGTTTCGGGTTTAGGGTAGCCCTGGGCTGAACAAGATCACTTCATAACTTCAGGACCTCGGGAGCAAGTTCCGCGGCGTGACATCAACTCCCTTGCTTGGAGGCCCTGTTGACTTAGGGTTTAGGGTTTAGGGTTTTGGGTTTAGGGTTTAGAGTAGGGTTAGTAAGGTGGGTTATGGGGATTATAATAGGGTTTCTAGGGGATACTAAGTAGACTTACTAAGTCAACAGGGCCTCCAAGTTGGTAGGCAGTGGGAGAATGGATTACAGTAAACCCCCAAAAGTTGGAAAACTGAGTAAGGACAAATAGTGCTGGGATTCCCTATACATTTCATAACTCTTAAGGATTGAGGCTATGGGGTTTCCAACTTGTTGGCTTCTACTGTATGGCGACTACTATCAAGAACCCTTAAGGGACTATCATAGGGTTCTTAGTAGGGAATGGGAGATTGGATATTGTGGACTATGATTGGGGATGATAGGGACTACTATAGGGTTTAGGGTTTAGGGTTTACTCCCTGGTTCTTGGTAGGGAGTGGGGGTATGGATCATGGAGACTATTATAAGGGACCCTTAAGAAACCATAGTAGGGACTCCCTCGTTCTTTGCAGGGAATGGGGGAATGGGTTAGGACTATCATAGGGATCCACCCAGACCTTCCAAAATCCCTTAATTAAGGAATATACCTTAAATTATAATAGGATCCCTAATATGAATTAAGGTATATTCCTTAATTAAGGGATTTTGGAAGGTCTGGGCATTCCCCCATTCCCTCCTAAGAACCAGGAAGTCAATGTCAAACAGTGTTGGCAGCAAGCCAGGTTGGAGTGCGCCGTCCCCTAAACCCGACACCCAACACGCCTATAGCCTACTTGGAGGCCCTTTTGACTTGGTAAGTCTACTTAGTATCCCCTAGAAACCCTATCATAATCCCCATAACCCACCTTACTAACCCTACTTACTAAGTCAAAAGGGCCTCCAAGTATACCCGAGGCCACAATTTGTCTCCAAGTCCTCACCCTAAACCCTAAACCCAAGCTTCAAAGTGCCCTAAACCCTACACCCCTAAATCCCAAAACCTAAGCCCTTACCCCCAAAGCCCCTCAGCCGTTAAGCCTATCCGCCCTCCTCCAAGAATCATCTACAAAACTCGCCCTCAGGGTCCAAGTACCCAATAGTCATAAACTCTCCAAAATCCTAACCTGCATAACTACTCTCCTAAACCTAGGTACCTGATTATTGGGTCCTTTGGGACCCTCGGGGTCGAATATCAACTCAACTCCGTGTGGCCCCTTCTAAGTCAAAGAAGTCTGACAGTCTTATTAGCACAATGTATGCTACGTCTACCTGGAAACTCCGAAACCTCTTAACTACGGAATGTGGCTTGGAATACCTGATTCCGATTATAATCTAGGAAGCCCAGTGACATAGGAATAAAAAGGGCTCCCTTTTTGGTATTGGGTACCTTTATAAGAAACCTAGGACTACAAAATGGGAATAAGGGTACTGCTGGGTATCCTAGTAATAATATAGTCCTTCGTAACGGGGTCTTGTGCTCTAGTTACGAGTATAAACACCCCTCAGAACACGCTCCAGATGCTGCCTCCGGTAGGGGAATGCTTTGGCCTTCTGGGAACAGCACATGCTTTGCGTTTCTGGGCCATAGCTGGGGCTTCGAGATTAAGGTTCAGGTTTCGGGGCTTATATATATATATATATATATGTGTGTATGTGTATGTGTATGTACGTTGTGGGTTTTTCGTTTTGGTGAAGGTTTTGCTAGGTTGATATGCCCCCCCGCTTTTGTTGTGTTTTCGGTTTAAAACCGTTGTCGGGCTCTGAAGTTAGCAAGAAACGCCTGCTACTTGGAGGATCATGGGACTTAGTAAGTAAGGGTTCCTTACAAGGCTCCTTAAAGGGATCTATGGGGTTCCTTATAGGGATCTATAGGGACTATAGGGTTTAGGGTCTACTTGGAGGATCATGGGACTTAGTATTTAAGGTTATAAGTGCCTTGATTTGGGTTATCAATACTTAAAGGTATAGTTACCTCATTTATAGCGCCACTTACTAAGTCCCATGATCCCTTAAGTAAGGGCAGCACCGGACAACCACTGCCTACTGGTAGGCTCTACTTGGAAATTGTAAACAGATAACCCGAAGCCCCAACCCCTAAACAAATCCCACGCCCTAATCCTAAATCCTAAAGCCTAACCTTCAATGCAAGCTAGGGTAAGTTTGGGGTTGAGGGAAACTCATAGCTGGAGATGTCCCGGGACTGGTCAAAACAACGAAATACCTCTACATCCCAAATCGACAAGTGCACGTTTGTGGCCGATGCCTGTTTGAACCAGGAGCCTGAATGAGAACCACGGGGTGAACATGTGCAACTCCTTGTCGGGTTGAGTTACGGTTTCGGGTTCAGGGTTTAGGCAAAGCCAAAAGCCTGCAGTCCGTAACCCCCCGTCTTCCTAAATCTTCAACCTCAGGAATCGGGGTTTATGGACCTCAGCCGAGAAGCTCCCCAACTACCGAAACCCACCTGTTTTGCAGGGTCCCCTATATGAGTTCAATATGAAGGGTTTGCAAGACGAAGCTGCAAAAAACAAGGATTGTTAGTGTGAGGGTTTATAAGAAGAGCCCATAAAAAATGGGCTCTGGTGGTCTAATATTGGGGCCTCAATACTTGGAATGGGGTTTAAGCGTCCATTATACTATATTGGACCACCAAAATAGTAGCATTGGTATTGTTTTCGGCCCTTACAGTATATCAATGCAGTGTACGAGGCCATAGATCCTGAAGCCAACAGCCCAATCGCGGCAGCAAAGCGAAGAATATAATGCCCAGACCTTCCAAAATCCTTTGATTAAGGAATTAATTCATATGGGGGATCCTATCATAATTTAGGGACTGATTAATCCCTAATTAAAAGATTTTGGAAGGTCTGGGTAACTCCTCTCCAACACGCTTAGGGTATACCCCTGAGGGTCCATGTGTCCGAAAAGTAGATACTTTGGCACCAAAGTACCTATATCGGGACTACGGCAAGGCCAAAGTATATGCTATATGAGTACATGGAAACTTATGGCAGACACTCTCACAGAATCAGAGCCCCAACGTGACAACATCAAACACGCAACTACGGGTACAAACAACAACAGATTCCCAGCTAAACCCTGGACCCTGACAAATAACATATGCTAAACCCTACCTGGCCCGCAAATAATCTGCTACTTAAGGACATATACTACCTAGAACCCCCAACTACCCTCTAATATGCCCAAAATACCCACTATTAAGTACCATAAGGGTTCCATTAAAGGGCCATTGAGGAGTCCGGGTAAACCTCAGACCCCTAAACCCTACAGCCTTTTTTTTCTAAACCCTAAACCTTAAGCCCTAAAAAGCCCCCCAACCTCCGATCCCTAAGCCTTCTGAGAGAGGACAGCCTGCTAGGAAATCGTACTCTCTTCTCCAATAACCAGGCACCAAAAAAGTTCAGACTTTGTAAGATAGACCAACTACATAAAGCCAAAAAGTTTAAAGTTCTCCAATTGGCTAAGTAAGCGTAAGAAGGAAACCCAAGCCCTGCCGGGCCTTTGGAGTCGACGCGCTTGGAGGGCAGCGCCAGGTGCTTGCCCTGTGCCAAGATGCAAACCTCCCATGGGGCTTGGGTTCCTCTAAGAGTTTAGGTAGGGCTTAGAGTTTAGGGGTTCAGGGCCTTTAAGGGATCTATAAGGGTTCTATAGGGGGGAGTTTAAGGTACTTAGAGGATCATGGGACTTAGTAAGGAGGTGATAATTGGGGTTATAAGTCCCCGAAGTGGGGTTGTGTTTCAGGCTTCGGGTTCGGGGCCCTTGAGGGCTTGCAGGGTTTAGGATTTAGGTACTATAGGGGTCAATCATTGATGTAGGAGCCTGATTAAGAAATCGTGGGTCCTTATCAGTGTTCCTTATATGAGCCGAATCCTAGAAGGTAGGGGCTACAGGGCCAGGGTTTCTCAATCAGGTTCCTACATTAGCCCAGAGGGTCTGTATATGCCACTACCATGTAGTTGTTAAGTCCCCCGAAGCCCTGATTAGGATGGTCTGTCGGGCCTGGTTCTGGTAGTATGGACCCTCTGGGTAAGGGTTCTGTACGGGTTCTTGAAGGGTTTGGGTTTTAGCGTTGAGGCTTTGGGTGATCGGGTGTGACAGGGCTTCCCTTAACCCTCAACCCTATGCATGAAAAGTAAAACTTATAGTCACCGTATGCCCTAAACCGTTTCTTGAAGGATTCCTATTGTTTGTTAGTTAGGGTTCCAGAAGTTTCCATGACTGGTTTGCAGCAGCTAAGGGCTTTCCCGCAGAGAACGTCAGGAAGGGCCTAGTCAGAAGCTTACAAGTACATGTTCCATGACGGTGTATTTGTGTTGGGATGTAGGGTTCAATCAGGGCAGTTTGTGGTTTCTTGCGAGGTTCTCAATCGGTCTAGGGCAAGGTGTAATCCAATCGTACATACAGCTGCACGTATGCATGGACATAGTGCTTTGCAACCCCCCAAACCACGACGGTTCTTTTTGCCCCTCTCGGTTGCCCCCGCTGCTGCTGCTCGCTGCTTCTGCGGTAAAGCACCGTGTTGCTGCATACCGCGGCAACTGCTCAATGTCATGGTGGCAGAGCTTGACGATGATGTCCCCAGGCTTTGAATTCGGTTGCATAGCACGCGCTCTCATAACGTACCTCTTGTTCCGGGTACGTAGATTTAAGGTTACAGTATGCTGTATAAAAGTAGATACCCTAGTATGGTATACGACCCTGCAGATAGATCCTTCAGAACCACGGCCGAGCCTGGCGCAGCAGAAAGGACGTGCAGGGGCCCAGCGCGAGCCCATCGACGAGTACAGAGGCCGCTTTAGCTGCAAAGGCCACATTGACCTGGGCTTAAGGTTTAGGGTTTAGGACTTATAAAGTTTAAGGGGAGTTTAGGACTTATAAAGTTTAATTAAGGATTTAGGGTTTAGGACTTATATGGTTCAGGCTTTTGGGTTTAGGACTTATATGGTTTAGGGTTTAGGACTGATAAGGTTTAGGGTTTAGGGGCTTGGCGCATGGGTGAGTCCTAAACCTTCGCAGCTTCTGAACTTCCTACATTCCGACACGGGCACAGCCCGGAGCGGAGCACCCATGAATGGGGAACAGACCTACTTAAAGGATCATGGGACTTAGTAAGGGTATCCTTAAAGGAATCCTTCAAGGGACCTACAGGGGCTCCTTAAAGGGATCCATAGGGTTTACGGTTTAGGGTTCTACTTAAAGGATCATGGGACTTAATAAGTGAGGGTTATAAAGAAGGTAACTATACTTATAAGTACTTAGAACCCCAATTAATGCACGTATAACCCTACTTACTAAGTCCCATGATCCTCCAAGTACAGGTTCGATCCCGCGAGAAAACTCGCGCAGGTGCATTGCAGATCCCAGTAATGCTTAAGCCTAAAAACCCTAGGTTATTGGCCTCTGTACTCGCGGGGAGTGGTATTCTGTCAAAACAACACGATTATACACTATGAAATTTCAATGAACATTTTAGCAATGTACACAGACCCACCACGAACCACACGCTCTAACATGCGAACACGTTTTCACCATCCTATACCGACCGTCTCGGAACAACACGGAGACCGTTTCAAGTACTCGTGCGTCTTCACCACCCTATACAGGCAAACAAAGACCAACAAGCAAAGCTGCTAAAATGGATGAAACCGCCAAAAATTGACACGATGCACCACTCAATAAACAATGAGTTATACCCTCCAGAAGGCCCCTTTTAAGCCAAAGGAAACCCTCCTAAACCCTAAACATACCCTGAACCCTGAATCCGAAATAAACCCTGAAGCTAGGATGCCCAGTAGCCTAGGAATAAAACGGGCTCCCTTTTTGGTATTGGGTAACTGTATAAAGAACCTAGGACTACAGAAAGGGAATAAGGGTACTACTGGGCATCCCAGGAACCTCCCTAAGCCCTGAACCCTGAACCCTATTAGGCCCTAAACCCTAAACCCTAAGCCCTAAACCCTAGGCCCTAAACCCTAAACCTTAGGCCACAGGCCCTAAACATCCCTAAACCCTAAACCTTAGGCCCTAAATCCTAAACCCTACATGAAACCTAAGCCCCTCAACCCTAAAGCCTAAACCCTACATGAAGCGAAAGCGCCTCAGCCCTAAAGCCTAAGCCCTTCAACCCTAAACCCTAGGCCCTAAACCCTACATGAAGCCTAAGCCCCTCAACCCTAAAGCCGAAACTCCTCAAACCCTAAACCCTAGGCCCTAAACCCTAAGAAAACGAGAGGGCGAAGCTGCCAGGGCGGAACTCTGCCCCTGATAGTCGACTTGGCCTAGGTACTTGGAGGATCGTGGGACTTAGCAATTTACAAGTAAGGTTATAAGTACCTTAACTGGCGTTATAAGTAGTTATAAGTATAGTTTCCCTAATTATAACCCCAGTTACTACGTCCCATGATCCTTTAAGTAGTGGCTGGTTTTTGGTTAGATCCAGACCTTCCCAATATCTTAGAAGGGGCCCCGACCCTGTAATAGTGGTATAATAGGAATATAATAGGGCCCTCGTATAATCCTTATAGTCGCTATTACAGGGTGAGGGCAGCTTCTAACCAATATCCCTTAAGCAATATGGCATAGAATCTAGCAGGATGCCTAATATGACTTGATGTCTATTCCGCAATAGAAGGATTTTGGAAGGTCTGGGGATGTTGGAGAGTGTAGGGTTTAGGCTTTAAGGTTGCCTTTAAGGGTAAGGCGGCCTCTAATTACAAGAGTTCTATAAGGGGTTCCTTCAACCATTCAGAGCTACCTTTCCGGGTTTAAGTCTAAGTACGATTACTTCTTATGAGCGCTTTGGGGTCCAGGGGCTTCGGCTTGAGGCTCAGGCTTTTGGAGTCTCCAGAGCTGACGAATAGCTCGATACACTACTTCACAGGCATCTAGGGGCTACCTGGACCCCAAATAACCTACCTTTTTAGGGTCCCCCCTAAAATGATTTCTTTATATCCCTCCTTAACAAGGTAGGTTAGTTGAGACTCATGTACGTGTTAAACAGTTCACGGCTGCCTTGAAGCAGAGTGTGTTCTACTCGCGCGCTGTCTAAAGCTCTACTTGGAGGCCCTTTTGACTTAGTAAGTCTACTTAGTATCCCCGAGAAACCCTATTATAATCCCCATAACCCACCTTACTAACCCTACTTACTAAGTCAAAAGGGCCTCCAAGTATTCATCACAGACTTGCACTTATGCAGGAGCTTTGAAGCCCCCTAAGGGCGACTGACCAAGGCATGACAGCAAATCCCAGCAAGAAGCACCTAAGGTAGAAGCCAGAAAGTTGGAATATGATTATCATAACCCTTCTATGGTAAATTATAGGGTATCCTACCAAGAAACCATATTCCAACTTTCTGGAGTTTCCTATAATGCTGAAAAAGCATACCCGAAATCCGCAGCCCGGCACCTCACAACGAAAACTCCAGGCCTAAACCCCAAACCCTAAATCTGCCTAAAATCGAAGCTTTATCCCGACCCAAACCCGAAAGATCCGGAGAGAGTAAACCCGAAACGCCAAAACCCTAAACCCTGAAACCCCAAAACCCTAAACCCGAAAGCCCTAAGGCCCTAAAACCCTGAAACCCTAAAAGCAAAAGGGTTGAAGCTCGAAGATGAAGTCCGGGAACTATCCTTCAACACCTGAGCCCTACACCGTCAAGTCCACCAGAAGCCGAACATACCAGACTCCATACCCTGAACGTCTCCACCCTAAACCCCAAAACCCAAAGACCCTAAACCCAAAACCCAAAAACCAAAGACCCTGAACCCTAACCTTAAACCCTAAACCCTCAACCCTAAACCCAAAGACCCGGATACTGAACGTGTTGGACTCCAAAACTTCTTCCGCCCACACTCCGAAACCGGTATAGAGCCTGACGGCACCCCATCAACCACTAAACAAAACCCGAAACTGCCCAAAGCCCCTAAACTCAACACTAAACAGCCCTAAACCCCGAAGCTCAACCCTAAACGACGAAGCCCCGAAGCCCCTGAACCAAACCCTGGGCACCCCTAAGCCCTAAACTTAAGCCTTCACGGCCCGGAGCCCCTGAACCGAACCCTAGACGCCCCTACTTGGAGGCCCTTTTGACTTAGTAAGTAGGGTTAGTAAGGTGGGTTATGGGGATTATAATGGGGTATCTAGGGGATACTAAGTAGACTTACTAAGTCAAAAGGGCCTCCAAGTAAGCCCCAAACTTAACCCTAAAGGGCCCGAAGCCCCGAAAGAAGGTCCGAGTCGCTGCCCGCTGCCTCGATGACGAGAATCCGAGCTTGCAATTTCATCTCCGAGCTCTCGGCCTCGATTTGGGGGTTTTTCAGTTTAGGATTGAGGGGCCTTGGAGGAGGGTTTAGGGGTTTAGGGGTTTGGGGGTTTAGGGTTTAGGATTTAGAGTTTAGGATTTAAGGGCCTTAAGAATAAGGGGTTTAAGGGTTTAGGGCCTAGGAGTTAGGGGCCTCTGTTGTTCGCGCTTCGGATTCAGGGGCCTTGGAGGAGGTTAGGGTTTAGGAATTAAGGTTTAGGGTTTAGGATTTAGGGTTTAGGGTTTAGGGGGTAGGATTTAGGATTTAATTGGGGCTTAGGGGACTTGGGGGAGGGATTAGGGTTTGGGGTTCAGGGGTTTTGGGGTTTAGGGTTTAGAGTTTAGGATTTAAGGTTTACGGGGTAGGATGTGGGATTTGGGGGGCCCTTGGGGGAGGGTTGGGGATTTAGGGGTTTGGGGTTTAGAGTTTATAGGATTGAAGGGCCTTAGCGGAGGGTTTAGAGGGTTTCAGGGTTTAGGATTTAGGGGCCCTAAGAAGGAGATTAGGGGTATAGGGTTTAGGGTTTTGGGGGCCTTAACTGGGGGATAAGGTTTAGGATTTAGGGGCCTTTAAAAAGGCTAAGGGGTTCTGGGTTTTAGGGGCTTAGGGCCTGGAAGGGGTTTAGGCGCTTAGGGGTTTATAGGGGCCTGAAAGGGGTTCAGCGGATAAGTGTTTCTAGGGCTTCAGGGGTATATAGGGGTTTAGGGGTTGGGGGCGTAGGGTTGATTATTTTTCAGTTTCCTGTCTGGTTGCAGTTTCGAGGGAAATGCGGGTTGAGGGGGGTGTTTTCAATCTGCCGAGTGCAATTGCACATGCCAACCCATGCTGTCATCCGCCGTCAATGTCAAACCGTTTCCTGTTACACATGGATGCGAATTGCGGTTCCGGAGGCACTCCCCACCCTGCAGCATTAAAATTACCACACGCATAACGCATGGCCCTACTACTCACAGCCTACTTCCCAAGCCCCCCGAACCTTATGCAAGAACACCCGAAGCCCAACATTCCATTAGCACAACGTCTACAATCGACAAAGACCTCTTCCCAACCCCTGTCCAAAAAGCTGCTGACGCCTAGTGCCACAACCGAACCATGCAGGCTTAGGGTTTAGGGCTGCCAGGCCTTTTGTAGAACCCTCGCACAACCCTCTTAAAACCAATTGAAGCCTGTGATCACATTCGCCCGCCCCCCCCCCTGCAAGCAACCTCGTCGTATCCCTAAGCCCTACAAACCCTGAACCCTAAACCCTAAACCCTAAACCCAAAACCGTAAACCCCTAAACCCCCTACAAACCCCAAACTCCAAACCATTTCTCGCTGAAGGCCTTCCGCCGCTGTGCGAGGCAAAGAGCTGAGCTGATCGCTGCTGCCTTCAGTTTGTTGATATAGGGCATATGTATGTGTATACATATAGGTATGTATGTGTGTATATATATATATATATACATATATATATATATATATATATATATATATACGGGAGTTTCCGAAAATAGGGGACCCTAATATAGTACCCTAAATAGTAGGATCCTTAATATAAGGACCCCCCAAATAAGGTGCCCCTAATTTTCGGAAACTCCCATATATGTGTGTGTAGATATCTTTCAGCTGCCGGAGCTTGTGGATCATAGTGCCATCCTCGAATGCCTGAGAGCTACGATACAAGTCTGCACAACTGGAGCCATGACTCCTCAAGGTTGCTTGCTATGCTAATATTCCATGTTGCTTGCTATGCTAATATTCCATAATGGAATAATGGAATATTAGCATAGCAAGCAACCTTGAGGAGTCATGGCTCCAATTGTGCAGACTTGTATCGTTCTTCCCGGGTTATACCGCTTTTAGACCTTAGGGATTCGTGCTCCGGGTTCAGGGCGCAATTAGCTAATACACCCCGACCAGTTGGAATCAGGAATGCTGACATTCTCGATAGGGTTCGTTGATTTCGATTTGTTGCAGACGAGGGTGTGTAGGGTTGATCGTCGCGGGCTTGTGAGGCCAAGCTAGCGCACGCCTTGTGCACGGGATCTGACGATCTTACATGGGTGGCTGTCAAAATTATGGTCCCTTTTTGGGGACCCTAAATAATAGGTGCCGTACTATAATAGGGACCCAGAAAGGGACCATCATTTTGACAACCACCCACATGTTTCGCTAGGGTGCACCACGGAGTGGCCAAAAGTTGTGTCGACCCCGGCCTAAACCCTAAAGCCACCAGGATTCCAGACTAAGATCTGGGAGTTTCCGAAAATTAGGGGTCCTTATATATAAGGATACTACTATTTAGGGTACTGTATTAGGGTACCCTGTTTTCGGAAACTCCCATTTGGCGAACTACGGTTGATGATATAGATCCTGCATTACCTTAAGGACCCTAAACTTGGGAATCATGGTATATTCCTTAATATGGGTAATGCAGGATTTATATCATCAACAGTATGATTTACAGGGAACCCCAGGAAGTTGGAACGTGAATTGAGGAGGGTTAGTGTTGGGATTCCTATACAGTGCCCTAAGGGCATGAGGATAATGATGTTCCAACTTCCCAGACCTTCCAATATCCTTTAATTAAGGAATATACCTTAATCCATATTAGGGATCCTATTATAATTTAAGGTATATTCCTTAATTAAAGGATATTGGAAGGTCTGGGTTTCTGGCTTCTACTTTAGAAGGACCCACCTCAGGGGGGACGGGCAAATCGAGCTTGCCAACAGAAACTGATGGTTGGATAGCGATGGCAAGCCCTAGCACGCTGTTGTAGTTGGGTTTGTTCGTGAGGAATGCAAAGTCCTGCTAAGGCCTGGTAAGGATTGCCGGGCACACCGAGGCAATACGTTGGTTTGACCGCTCGTGAGCGACAGCACAGCTAGCAGCGCTATCCAAAGTTTGTACTGCTGAGCGCTAGTGAGCACTAGTATAGAGACTATAGTGAGCGCTGGTGAGCGCTAATGCGGGCTGTGAGTCCTCGTGAGACCATTGCAATGTAGGTAGGCCAAACAGCGTTCAAAAGTTGGCTCCAAACCGAGTATCCTCAAGAACCCTTACCAATAGCAAACTCCATTTGCCATACCCCTCTGGAGTCTCTTTGAATCATAGCTCATTTTGTCATGCAGAAGCCGTGCTGAAGTTGAAGTCCTGATACTAGCCTGATACCATTGCTGACCTGCTACGCCGACATTTCGACGCTGCACTTTGCACCCTGAGGCACTTGTTGCTCACAAGTCCTAAACCTCGAATCACGCGAGCCGAAAAATCTCTAAATCAAATGCAGCTAAAACTACGCAATGGAGAGTCGTCCTACACCCTATACTTGATGGTGCAAAAGTTCGCCCTAAGTGTTTCCTTCATCAACGTGTGCTTGAAGGACCACGGGACTTGCCGTGTAGGTCAGGGATAGCCAGTACGTACTCAAACCACAACTAGGCTACCCCGCTTGCATTGCAAAGTCTTGTACTCCTTACTTTAAGTGAGCCCAAACCCTAAAGCCCGCATAACATCCAAATGCACAAAAACGTTGTACAATCCTTGTTGGGTGCTTGTGATTTCAAGTGATCTTGGCGCCCCTGCCATCTGAGGCTCACCTTCGCGTGGCAGCGCGATGGCATTGCGGAAGGCGGCCTCGTGCGAGAAAGGTTCGGAAAGCTTGTGCGGTTTAGGGTTTTGGATTCAAGGGCTCAGGGTTTAGGGTCAGTTCAGGATGTGGGTTTAGAAGGCACCACTGCACGACAGTGTTAGCGTGAGAACACCTTGCAGGGACTTGTGTTCAAAGGCGCGCGCACGCGCGCTCGATCGTACAAGCACGTAAGGTGATGAGCCCGTATATGGCTCGCCAATCAACCTACAGTGAACCCCAGAAGGTTGGAACATGGATTAAGGATGACTAGTGCTAGGATTCCCTATACTTTACTTTAAGGGCATGGGGATAATGATGCTCCAACTTTCTGGCTTCTACTACAAAGGCCTCCATCTCTCACAGATGTGACCAGCTGTCTTCCTGTATCCGTTTGCAGGCGACGTACTGGAAGCCAGGACCTTTGGTAATGATCCTCACTCGCCTTGAGTGGTTGCAAAAAAGGTCGCCACATGTGCTCTGGGAATCTGGTCAGCTTCTCTGGCAGCCTCGTGAAGGAGAGCCGGAGCGAACTCATCCAATTCGAGTTCGGTACACCTCAATGTGTGGTGCATATCGCCTGCCGCCGGTCGGGCGGGTGTCTTCCCAGCACGCATTGAAGCCAGGGTTGATGCTTTTGCCCTCAGGCTTCTTCGCTCTGACGCGGACTCGGCTCAGGATGTCCATCCCTCCTAAGGATCTCCTACTATACTAAGTGGTGGTCCGACATTTCCGAAGAAGGAGCCCCCCCTACCTCCGACTCAAGGAATTTGCCCTAGGTTCGCGAGGAACGCATAGCATGTGCTTAGGGGACTCTCCGGGTCCAACCTGACAGCCCATGGTTTAAGGTTTACGCTTTTAGAGTTTAGGTTTAGATTGAAATCTTCAGGGTTCAGAAAGATCAGAAGAGCAGAACTCCTAGGTAGGGTTAAGGCACAGGGTTGGGCGGCTACTGGAAGAAATGGCTTCCTTGTCTCGCTGCAGCCGGCAAAACGAACCTAACGCCCCACCAGAGCATCCAAAATTCCTTTTCCGCCAGCTTCATCGTAAGGGCTGGTCTTTCACGAGGCAAAACCTAAGGCCTAAACCCTACACCCTGCAGATAATGTAGGGCCTTAACGACTAGAATAGGGTTGCAGGGTATGTGTGTATGTGTGTATATGTATATATATATATATATATATATATATATATAGGTACATACATACAGAAAAAGGTGCACGACGAACAGGGAACTCAGAGGAAGGGTGTTAGTGACTATCCACGTGCCCTAAATGACACCCTGTAAGTGCTTGGAATCCCTTGAAACAACTTCTTCAATAGCCAGATTCGAAAAACTTGAAGCTGTTGAAGTTGGACCGCATATACAAGGCCAAGTAGTTTCAAGTCCCCCCATTGGCTGCTATAGAGTCCTTTGTCTTTTGTAAGAATAACAACCCCCCCCAACATAGTATAGGTAATTATTGAGGCCCCTATATTATGCAAGGACACGGAAGCGCTGCCTCCCAGCTGGAGCCACCCGACTGCTCCTTTCCAAGGAGAATTTTGGGGTCCCTTGTCCAGGAGTCGAGGGTACAGTAACGTAGAGGCCTTACTAATTAGAATAGGGTTTGGGGGTTATATTTTTTACTACAAGTATATGTAATAAGGAGCCCCCAAACCCTATTCTAATTTCTAATTATTATGGCCCCTACAGTATCCTTGCTGGGCTTGGATTTTCGGGCTACTTTCGGGTGTGTGTGTGTGTGTGTGTGTGTACATATAATGTATGCAGATATGCCTCTTATTGTTGGTTTACACACGTATCGGTAAAGAGGGCTTGGGCTTAGGGTTGAACATAAGACAATGTTTCAAGGTTTGGGGCTTTGCATCCTGAGTTGCGCGTTTAGGATGTGATCTGTGGTCTGGGCCTGGGGGTGGGGGAACAGGGTGTAGGGTTTAGGGGCTCGCTCTGAACATCGTAACATCCAGTGTAAGAGGGTGTCCAGGCCGTTGCTGGATGTTGCTGGGTTTACAGGTTCAGGGACTAGGACAAACTAGCAAACAACAAAGCACACACACACACAACCACACACACACGCACACACAGACACACAGACACACAGACACACACACACACACACACACACACACACACACACACCGACCAAAAAACGACACCCAGCCAGCCACCCAGCCGACCGGACCCCAAACCCTTCAATGCTCAAACTCAAACTCTCGTAAGCTGTGCCCTAAATCTAAGGCCCCCAAACAAGAAGTCACAAAACAAAGCCCGACCAGGGACGGGACGGGTCGGGCTTCAGACTCCTGTGCCCCCAGACTACAGTAAACTACCCAGACCTTCCAAAATCCCTTAATTGAGGAATATACCTTAATTCAAAAGAGGGATCCTATTATGATTTAAGGTAGATTCCTTAATTAAAGGATTTTGGAAGGTCTGGGTACAGAAAAGTTGGACCATCAGTATCCTACTACCCCTAGACTAAAGTAAAAGGACATCCAGCACAAATCACCCTAAATCAATGTTCCAACTTTCTGGGATCCAGACTGTAGCAAATAGATATGCAGGACGCCTCTTGATTCCTGTTCCTACTTGTCGGGTATCATGGTAAACTAAAGGTTAACCGTTTTGGTTATATCGGGATTCTATCGGGACTATACTACCCAAAAGAGGTTGAAGGTTGCCTACTCTACTACTAGATGCTGTTCAAGTTGAATCAATCCCTTCGCGTGCAACCGAAAACGCCCGGACCTACACCCTAAAATCGGAAAGGCTCCGATTCAGCGCTGAATCCGTATGTGCCCCGCCGGAAACACCCTCCAGGTCATAAACCACCTTAAACCAAAGTCCCAGAGGCCTAAGCCCTAAACTTGTTCTCTTGGGTTTGCCGGCTTACCACCTAGCATCCGTACTGGCAGCATTAATAGAAGTAGGGGGTACAAACAATGATAACAATAACGAGAATAATCATGCTACGAATACTAAGGCCGTATAGTCTACATAAATATAGTCCCCATTGAAGTGTTTATATTCAAGGATGCTCGCCCTAAATTTGTTATCCGAAAAAGCAACTACATTGGAGACTATAGGCAATAATCCTACTACTAATATGGGAGTTTCCGAAAACTAGTGGTACCCTATTTTGGGGCCCTTATAATAAGGATCCTACTATTTAGGGTACTATATTAGGGTCCCCTATTTTCGGAAACTCCCATACTAATCCCCAGGGCTACCAAAGCCCGGGTGCCTCGGAAAGTCGCACAGGACCTGCTGACGAGGCTGCGAGAAGCACAGCCTGTCCAGGGTCTTAATATAGGGGCCCTAATAATCAGAATAGGTTTCTGGCGCATCGTATACTACATAATTATAAGCAACCCCCCCAGAATAGTACAGGTAATCATTCAGGCCCTTGTTTTACACAGCTTTCACGTGTTGGGCTTGCTTGGTCTTAGGGTGCAGGTCTGCTGTTACCAGATTGCTTTCCTAGTTTAAGGCTTACGGTGCAGGTCTTGGCGCCCTACTTGGAGGCCCTGTTGACTTAGTAAGTCTACTTAGTACCCCCTAGAAACCCCATTATAATCCCCATAACCCAGCTTACTAACCCTAGTTACTAAGTCAAAAGGGCCTCCCAGTAGAGCGTTTGCTGTTCGGTGGGTCGTTTGGTCTGTCGGCAGGCTGGCTGGGTGGCTAGCGGCTGGCTGCGTGGCTGGTTGGCTGGCTGGCTGGTCGGCTTCGATTGTTTGTGTATGCTTTGTTCGGTTTACGTGGTTTTGTTGCGTGGCTACCTGTGTAGATTGTGTGTTTTTTGTGAGCGTGTGCGTGCTTGAGCGCGTGTGTTTGTATTTTGTGTGTGTGTGTGTGTAATTGTTCGTTCGTTTGTTTGTCTGTCTCTGTCTGTCTATCTATCTGTCTGCCTGACTGACTGTCTGTCTGTCTTTCTGTCTCTCTCTCTCTCTCTGTTTGTTTGCTTGCTTGCTTGTTGCTTGGTTGTCTGTCTGTCATACTCTGTCCGTTTATCTTTTGTGCGTGGGTGGGTGTTTGACTTTGTGTGTTTGTGTGTTTGTGTGTGTGTGCGTGCTTTGTGTGTCTGTGAGATTGCTTGCGGGTTTGTCTGTCTGTCTTTATGTAGGTTTGTGCGTTTGTTTGTATGCTTGGTTGATTGGTTGATTGATTGATTGATTGATTCATTGATTCATTGATTGATTGAGCGATTGATTGATTGACTGACTCACTGGTGGACTGATTAATTGGTTGATTGGTTAGTTGTTTGATTGATTGGTTGATTAATTGACTGACTGACCATTCACGATTGTACGATTGATTGATTGTGCGTTTTTGTTGGCGCCTTGGTGTGTGTTTGCTTGCTTGATTGTTGGTTCTACGGCTTGTATTTCCGGAAAGCTTCTCTATCTTTAAGACTTTTGAAGTGACTAAGGTTTAAGGCTGCAGGACTCTATTAGTTCTCTTGAAGGGCCCAGTTTGCTTAATGAAGGGCCGCTGTTTGGAGCTGTTCCCTTCCCAGGGCTCCTTATCTTCTTCTTCAAAGCATAGCTTCATAGGACCTTCGCATTTTGGAACGAACAAAACCTTGCCTGCAACACTCGAAACCGCCAGCCATCATCACCACTGGACCATCGGCACCCTAATTCTACGGGTTTGGATTTAAGGTTCACTACACCTACAATGCACAAAATGGGAATTGCACCATCAGCTCTTCTGCCGTTCGTGTAGTCTTTGAGCTTTCATGTCTGAGTGGATGGCTCTCCCAAACCTAAGCCCCTGGACACGATGCCTATTCACGGCCCTAACAAAACCTTAAGGCGGTGCAGCCAGCTAGCCCTACAAAGTATTGTCAAAGCTCCATGGCAACCAATTAAAACTACGAGATGAGTCATGTCATATAACATGTACACATGTACGCCACATTGCGAAGTCTAGAACGCTACACATTAAACTCGAACATCCCAAACCATCTGATCAACCCGAAGCCCTAAACTAGACTATAGTACCTACTAGAATGTCTTTTTCTGCTAACACAACATAGTATATATAGTATATAATCCTTGCCCTTTTGCGCCGAACCAGAACCACAAGGTTTAGATCAACAAGACTTATATGAAAAGAACCCCGAAACCTTATTTTTGTTAGTATTTGGCTTTATTTGTCCTTAAATCTTTTTAAAAGTCGTTTAAAATTTTTATTTGTATTCGAAAGTTTCTATTTGTTTTTAAAAGCTTTTCAAAGTCTTTTAAAGTTTGTATTTGTCTTTTAAAGTTGTTTTATTTTGTTTTAAAATTCATATTTTTGTGAATTATAAGTTTTTGGTTGTGATTGAATCAAATGGCTTCCTGTTGTTCTACCTGGTTCCTGCTGTTGTACGTCTACAAATTTGTTGTTTATTTGTTTTTGAAGTTAATATTTCATCAATTTAAATATTTTTGGTTGTGGTTGAGTCAAATGAAAAAAGGCATCCTGCTGTTCCTGCTGTTCTACGTCTACAGATTTGTTTTTATTTGCTTTTAAAATAGTTTATCAATTTAAGTTGGGGGTTGTGATTGAGTCTAAGGGCTTAGGGCTTCCTTGAAATGCCTTCCCCACATGGATTCGAGCGGTGCAGTGGTGTGTCGTACAGTAGTAGTACAAGTAATAGCACAGTAGTAATGCAGTAGTGCAATAGTAGTACCGTAATTAGTATAGTGAAGAAACGCGGATCCCAAAATCACGCAGGTTTGTATTAAAAATGGGTTCCCAAATGATGAACCGCAAGGGCTCCCCCCTACGGCTGTCTAAAAACTCGCAGCTCGCAAGGGGTGTCCGGTGACTTGTCCCCATACCAAAATCATCAAATCGCAGGGCGCGTCCCCCGAAAGTAGGGAGTGGGTCGGGTGAGGGGGGGTTGGGCTGGCTGGGGCCACGATAATTTGGCATCTTGGAATTGGGCTGGGCTGGGGTTGGGGCTGGGGGGATGGCCAGTCCCCGGCTCAATCACCCCAGTGTGGATTGTTTTTCCTAAATCCGGGCTCTCCTTTTTTGAAAAAACATTACCGAAACAAACTTGACCAGACTGAGCCAGGTTTTCTATATCTTGTTTTGTTTCCAAGCAGGAGGCGACGTTGTGATTCGTTTTTGGTAAAGAAGGTTTGAGCCAAGACACACAACAACAGACTTGCACAAAACAGTCACCAAGCAAACACAAACAAGTAGCAACATGCCAAACGCATGCGAATACTTAAATTGACTAATAGTATCACCCCACTAATACAGGCTAATGTGAGGGTCCTTCTGATTAGTTGATGCGTGTTTCCTGTGCTTGTTCGGGCCTGTATCAAAAAAATGGTGGCCTAATTAATGATTAGTGCGGTCTTTGTTGGGCCGACTGATGTTTTGTACTTCTCTTCTACGGCTGTCCTACTACTGTACTATTACAATACTAATGCACTGCTGTACAGGAGTGTAAGCCGGACGAAAAAAGTTTTCAACATGAAGGCTTTTAGTGTTGGTATCTTGGAGTGATCGTGGTTTGGATTTTGGTCGTGCCCACACCCCGCTAAACAGCTCCAGGTACTCCCACACCTTCGTAATGTACCCCTACTGTACCACCACTTTACTACTACCCTCTTACTACTGTGCTTCTGTACTACTATTGCACTGCTACTGTAAAACCTAATGGGACACCCCTTGCCGGCCCCAGCCCACCACCGCATCTGTTGGCAAAATCTGGCGGAAGTGAGGCCGCCACCGAGCAGAGAGCCTGTAAATACCGCGTTAAAACAAGTCTGCGGGCAAAATCTGGCGGAAGTGATCCGCCACCGAGCAAAAAGCCTGTAAATACCGCATTAAACAAAGGGGTATTTACAGGCTTTTTGCTCGGTGGCGGATCACTTCCGCCAGATTTTGCCCGCAGATGTGTGGGATCCCTAGCCCTTGTTTTAACGCGGTATTTACAGGCTCTCTGCTCGGTCGCGGCTCGCAGGGAAGGCTGGGCGTGCGGAAGCAGGCAAGCGTGCGGGTGGGGCGGGCCCTCCTCTCCTTGACTGCACCCTCCCCAACCCCTCTTCTCCCTTCCTTCACCCAGCCCCAACCGCCCCAGCAGCCCCAGCCCAGCAGCCCCAGCCCCAGCAGCCCCAGCCCAGCAGACAGCAGCAGACAGCAGCCCCAGCAGCCCCAGCAGCCCCAGCAGCCCCAGCAGCCCCAGCAGCCCCAGCAGGCCGCAGCAGCCCCAGCAGCATTTTATCATGAAGCCTTTTCTGGAAGATCGGCCCGGCAAAATCTTAGAAGACATTTGTGGCACTTGTGGCACGCCCCGGAAAAACCTTCACCCAGCCCCAACCGCCCCAGCAGCCCCAGCCCAGCAGCCCCAGCCCCAGCAGGCCCAGCCCAGCAGACAGCAGCAGACAGCAGCCCCAGCAGCCCCAGCAGCCCCAGCAGGCCGCAGCAGCCCCAGCAGCATTTTATCATGAAGCCTTTTCTGGAAGATCGGCCCGGCAAAATCTTAGAAGACATTTGTGGCACTTGTGGCACGCCCCGGAAAAACCTTATTAAATCTTATTAAATCTTATTGAATCTTATTGAATCTTATTGGTCCATCATTTTTAAAAGGGACACCGACTCCAGACCGCCCCCCAAAATCCTATTGAATCTTATACGACATTTGTACAATTGTGGCACGCCCCGGAAAAACCTTATTAAATCTTATTGAATCTTATTGAATCTTATTGAATCTTATTAAATCTTATTGAATCTTATTGGTCCATCATTTTTAAAAGGGACACCGACTCCAGACCGCCCCAGAAAATCCTATTGAATCTTAGAAGACATTTGTACAATTGTGGTACGCCCCGGAAAAACTTTATTAACTCTTATTGAATCTTATTGAATCTTATTGGTCCATCATGTTTAAAAGGGACACCGACTCCAGACCGCCCCAAAAAAATCTTATTGAATCCTATTGAATCTTAGAAGACATTTGTACAATTGTGGCACGCCCCGGAAAATCATGTTGAGTCTTATTGCTAAGGCCTGTTGATCCAAACTTTGTGGTTTTGGCCCTCAGGGGGCGACGGGGGGGAGACTCCCCGAGTGACCCCCCCCCCCCCCGTGGAAGCGTCTTTTCTTGGATAGATAGATAGTCTCTTTGTAGGGAGATTATATTAAATCTTATCACTGTTGTGAAGGAAAACCACACAAATAAAATCTTACTACATCTACCTAAATCTCATTAAATCTTAATTAGTCTTAAAAAGTTATGAAGTCCCGAGTCCCGAGCCCGGTTCCCAGCCCTTGCCCTTGCGCCTTATCAGCCCTCCTCCCAAGGCAGCCTCGCCCCCGCTCCAAACTCAAAGCCATGACCCTATAAAAGCACATATAGATACCAGATACGACAGCAAACAGCAAAACATATAAAGAGCAAAGACAAAGCACCCACACAAAGCAAAGTTTACAGGGGCGCTCCCTGCTTGAGTCTACTGTACTACTATTGCACCAATGTACTACTGTGCTACTGTACTCTGTACTACACGCCACTGTACCGTACCAGGCCTCAAACTTGGTCGATCGTGGGGTTGTTTAAGTTGGAGGCAAAAATCTTCAACATGAAAGGTTTTTAGTTTTGGTAGCTATCTTGGAGTGATCGGGGCTTGGTTTCAAGTTTGTGGTGATCCCCAAACCCCCCGACCGCGGCGTTCGCGCAGGTCTCAAACCGACCCTGCGACCCCCCATTTCCCTTCTAAGTTAACCAAAGCCATTCAGACCCTCAGCCAGCCGAACCCCGTTCCAGGGGGTCACGGACACCAGACTATTCCAGCCAAAAACCTTTGGTCGAGGGGGGGTGGCTATCAAACGGCCGCCACATTACAGGTAGCAGAGATACAAGAAGAAGCTCGATGATGCACAGGTGAGTACATGCAATAGTCCAGTAGTAATGCATGTAATAGTACAGTAGCAATGCAGTAGTAGTACAGTAGTAGTACGGTACGACGGTTTTGAGTGTACTTGGAGCTGTTTAACGGTTTTGGGGGATCACCAAAGGCTGGAAACCAAAAGCCCCGATCACTCCAAGATACTGCCAACACTACAAACCTTTCATGTTTAAGACTTTTGCCTCCAACCTACACTCCCCTCCACAATCGACCACGTCTGAGGCCTGGTAAGGTACAGTAGTAGTACAGTAGTAGTACAACAGGGTAGAATAGTACAATAGTAGTACAGTAGTACGACAGTCGTACAGTAGTAGTTACAATGCAGTACGAGGGTTTAGGGGTACTTGGAGCTGTCTAGCGAGGTTTGGGGACGACCAAAAGTCGAAGCCAAGCCACGGTCACTCCACGAGAACTACCAAAACTGCAAAACTTTCACTCTGAAGACTTTTGCCTCCAACCTACACTCCCCTCCACAATCGACCACGTCTGAGGCTTGGTGCGGTGCAGTGGTGTGTCGTGCAGTAGTAGTACAAGCACTAGCACGGTAGCAATGCAGTAGTAGTACAGTAGTACAATAGTAGTACCGTCGTAGTACAATAGCGGTGCAATAGTAGTACAGAAGTATACTTGCAAGAGGGTAGTAGTAAAGTGGTTGTACAGTAGTATTAAGGTAGCTGTACAGTAGTAGTACAGTAATGGTACAGTGCGAGGGTGTGGGAGTACCTGGAGCTGTTTAGCGGGGTTTGGGCACGACCAAAAACCCGAAGCCAAGCCACGATCATTCCAAGATAACTACCAAAACTGAGGCCCGTTCATTTTGAAGACTTTGGCACTTTGCCTTTCATCCGTTACCCTTAAGCCCTATACCATGGCACTCTGCCTTCTAACCCTAAACCCTAAAACCCTGAAGGCTCTAACCCTAACCCTCTCATTACCCTCAAACCCTACTACTATGGCACTCTGCCTTGTAACCCCAAACCCTAAAGACCCTGAAACTTTAAACCCTGTGCCAGGTCTTCTTCATCTTCGTCTTCTTGGAAAATATTTAAAAATGTAAAAAATGTTTTTTTGTCTTTTAAAGTTTTAAAAAGTCTTGTGAAGCTTTTAAAAGTTTTTTAAAGTTGTCAAACGTCTTTTTAAAGTTTTTTAACGTTTTTAAAGGTTTTAAAAGTCTTTTAGAGTTTTTAAAAATCTTTTAAAGTTTTTAAAAGTTTGTTAAAGTTTTTCAAAATCTTTTAAAGTCTTTAAAAGTCTTTTGAAGCTTTTAAAAGTCTTTTAAAGTTTTTAAAAGTTGTTTAAAGCTTTCAAAAGTCTTTTAAAGTTTTTGAAAGTCTTTTAAAGTTTTTAAAAGTTTGTTAAAGTTTTTAAAAATCTTTTAAAGTTTTTGAAGGTCTGTAAAAGTTTTTGAAAGCCAACTATGTCGAAAAAGACCTTTGGATCCAAACCTTGTGGTTCTGGTTCGGTGCAAATGGGCAATGATATAATGCAATACAGTAAACTGTCCTCAAGCTCTTGGTATGCCACAAATCCCGCCTTTTGATCCAGGGCCAATGCTCCAAAGGCTCGCAGAAAGAGCCTCGGATGTTCAACAGCGGGAGCGAGGACCTCAATCCTTATAAACCCTTTACCGTAAAATCATCACAAAAGCATGCTAATCATCTTGACCCGTATGATTTTCATACGTGTAAAACGGTCGGATGCTTGTTGTCGCAGGTGTCCCAGTTCGTCACCCTGACAGCCTGTGCAACCTACCACAACGGTTACAACACGAAGCACAAACACTCTCCCGCAAGTCGTCGCCTGGGGTATTATTACGCTGAGCCCGAGTATCTATCTTTCGAGTTTCACGACCAGCCCAAATAACACTTTCAAGGCCTCACAAAATCTGTGCGTCTGAGTCCGAACAGCGTAAGCCCAAAACCTGACAAACCAAAACTCTTAATAAAAGCTCTGAGCTCTTCACCCTAGACCCTTGCTGCCCTGTGCTTACACTGTGAACCCCAAACCCGAGATCCTAAACGCTTCTAGAACCCTCCTGGCAACTCTTCAAACCGCCTACAACCGCAGTCAGATATCCAAAACAAACTAAGCATAAATATCTAACCTGATCACTGACTAAGACCTAAACCCCTAAACCCTAAACCCTCTAAACCCTTGCGCAACCCTTTGAGGGAGCCGTTGAAATGGGTCCTTGAAACCACCTGTTACCACAGTCAGGACAAGAGGCTGCAAGCTTCCCCAAAGCTCCGGAAAGAGCGGCGAATTCGAGGTGACCTATCACTGATTGCTCCTCTAGTAGTTACGGATAGATAATATGGTTCCTGAAAAGCTCGGTTAAGGGATCTTGAAAGGCTCTAGAACTGGGGTTTTAGGTGCTTTAGAGAGCTTTGGAGAAGCCCTATTGATTGGACTAGGGTGTTGGGTATATATGGGTATGCTAGGCCCGGCCATGCATAGCGGTCGTTAGGAACTATAAGGCTATCAAGGCGTATAAATGCTAGCTTCAGCTCTCTTACATCCTCTAATCTGCTGTAGCAGTAATGGGTACAGGGTTTGGGGCTTTAGGGCTTGAGGTTGCCCTCGTATGGGATCTAGCAGCGAAAGCAGTAAGACGAAGGACCCCCTGGAAGGACATGTGGGGGCCTCTATAATTAGAGTATGGTACAGTATAGTTCAAACATGATAAGGAACCCAAAGGAATAATGGTAGTGGTGATTTAGGACCCTATGGTACGTGTAAAGTGATGGATAAGATCCACTGCTCGTTTTATTACAGGAGCTGCCTCTTGGGATGCAAGAAATCCTAAGCCCTAAACCCTGAACCCTAAAACCCTAAACCCGCTATGTGATCCAAACGAAAACATCAGCGACGAGACACGGCAGGTGGACACGATCTCCGACTTTCAAGTCTTCACGGGATGTAGGGTTGCAGAAGGGCTCTATATGCCCCACTTGGAGGGTCGGGGGACTTAGTAACTGGTTATTTTAGGGACTTATAAGTACCATAGCCCCAATTAGGGTCCCTTTTAGGCTACTTATAAGTCTACTTACTACCTACTTACTAAGTCCCCCGACCCTCCAAGTACCGTATAGGGTGTTCGGATTGAGGGTTTTTAGCCAAGGGTTCTTTAGAGCTTGGGGACTCAGGGTTTGTGTGCATATTTTGAGCTTTAGGGTTCGGGGCTTGGAGTTTCAAGGTTTAGGCACTCTTTGCGGCTGTAGGGTGTGGGGCTTACCTATAGCCTGCATTGTAGTTCTGTTCTTGGCAAACCAATTTCATTAGGATCTTATTATACAAAATTTTGTTAAGCCAGAAAAAAGAACTGAAGTGAGGACTAAGGTAGAATTGAGAATCCATTTGGGTGGTTTACGCCCAACATCACATCTGAATTGCGGGAAGAGCGAAACACAACTTGTCAAGAATGGATGAGCACAGGAATTTCCCAGAATATCGAAACCTCAAGAAGGCTTCCTGATCGAGGACTTGTATGATACCAAGAAAACCCTCAGTTGTATGATGCCAGTAACAATTAATTAACAACTACAGTAGTCATAATCATAGAACAGGACTCGTATAATTCTCATCCGAGGGCAAATGCATAATAGTCATCGGAAACGTATGATTGTCGTGGAGATATTCAACCAAAAAGTTCCTGGTTTCGTCGCAGCTGACGCCGTCATTTGCTCGGTGCAACTTTCTCAAGGTGTCGTCGTGCCGACCGTACTGTAGGGGCTTTAATTATTAGGATAGGGTTTTGGGCCCGGAATACTATACTTATGATGGTAAGGAAGCCCCAAGCCCAAGCAATAATACTGCGAACTCTTGAGGATTCTATAGTACTTCAAGAATCTGCCAACGACAGCGTCAATGATTCAAGGCAACAAGTCTTGCTCCATGTGATCCGCGGCACCGCGGAGCGATCTGGAATGGGTCACATATATTAAAAATATATACGTATTATGGGCAGGCATCCTTGAGGCATGGGCTGGGGTTTAGGGTCCAAGCCAGGGTTAAGAGTATCACTTTATAGTTTAGGGCTTAATTAGCGGTATAAGCTTTGCAGTCTGGGGCTACAGGCGCTATCAGTTTAGGCCTTGGGCCTTGGGATGTAAATGTAGGGTTCCAGGCAGAACGTAATTGCTCATCATCAGGAATTCTCGATGCGAAGGGAATGGAAATAAAGTGACCGACACATGAACTCTTTTAGAACCCTAGACAGTTACCCTTAAACGAAACCCTGTACTACCGCGCCTCGGAAAGGTCAAGAAGCCGCGGGTCCACCACCTGCGGCCCAACATCGCAAGTGTGAGCTTTCTGTAGGGTTCGTGGTTTTATGTTTTTGTGTTCAGGGTCTTCTTCGTTTGGCTGCCGTACTATTTTGGGGGGACCTGAAAAGGGACCCTCATTTGGAGAACCCACATCGCAAGTTGGCCTTGTGTGCCTGCGCCCCAAAGGCTTTTGATAGAGACACCGCTTTTCACTTCTGTCGCGCCCTAAACCCTACACCATAAACCCTAAACCCCAGACCCCTAGACCCTAGACCCTAAACCCTCGGTTGAAGCGCTACTGTAGGGCTCCGAATCTTCGACTCAGGGCTTGGAGCTTAGGCTTCACGGCTATTCCGAATTCAACATCTAGGATACCCAGTAACCTGGGAATAAAAAGGGCTCCCATTTTGGTATTGAGTAATTTTTAAGGAACCTAGGACTACCTAGACGTTACACATGGAACCAACCCGCCACGGTGTTAGGGTTTGGGGTTAGGGGTTTAGGGTTTAGAGGTTTAGGGTTTAGGGAATGGCCAAGCTTGCTGGTCGTCAGTAGGGAATGAGGGAATGAGTCATCTGCTGCCGCTGATGCCGGAGACCGGATCACACCAAAACAATAAAATTGCTGCTGAATTGGCCCTTCGGCTCGACGCACAGGGAGCAAAAACAGAAAAGCAGAAAGAGAGCGAGAACCAAAGAGAGAGAGAGAGAGAGAGAGCGATAGAGAGAAGGATAGTCCCAGTCCGTGCTTGTAGTGTGGTAGACAGATCCGGAGCGACATTTGTTTCGTATTGTGTGTTTAACCAATACTTGAATTATCATGTGGCACAAAACAGGACGTGATACACAGTCATGACATGGAACTTTGACCTCCTTGAAACTTTTGTTTTCAAATCGATTATTAGACTTCTATTGTTTCATCATAGACCAAAACTTGAATTACCATGCGGCAACAGCATTTGGAACAGACATGTTTGTCGATGCTGTGTAGCAAATCCAGGACATCAAAAAGCTCATGCTTGGCAAAATCAAATCTTGCACACAAATCAAATCAGTTGCCACTTGTTTCTTGTTGTTGTTGTGTGTGTATGCGTTTCTGCAGCTCCAACATGCACAAGCATGCCCTTTAGACTTTAGCAGCCGAAAACCGACAAAAATAATCTCAGCATCCTACAGTGACAGACTTTTGCACCGTATAGGTCCCTATCATGCATTAAAAGCATATCACAACACATACTTCGCAGCTAGAAAGCCCTTATTAGCCCGAGCATCCTATAGTCCTAGACTCTAAACACCTGTAAAGTGCATGTATGATCTTCTAGCCCTAGTTCCCGAACCCCGCGTTCTTTTCAGGGTCCTGCAGGCAAGCTCGGGGAGAAGCTCAAGGAGCTAAGTTGTGCCGTGACGGCGCAGACGACGACGAGTGTGCCGTGATGGCGCAGACGACGAAGACGTGTGCCGTGATGGCGCAGAAGGAGTCATCGGGAGAAGTTTGAGTAAGAGCATCGTGTTAGGACCGGAAAGAGGTGAACTATGCCTGCGAAGGGCAAACATCAGTGCGCCGTGATGGCGCAGAGCGAGTTGATGTGCCGTGATGGCGCAGGTCAAACAACTGGGAGAAGTTTGAGTAAGAGCAGGCGTGCTAGGACCCGAAAGAGGTGAATGCCTGCGAAGGGCAGAAGTTTGTGCCGTGATGGCGCAAGCTGTGGTGAATGCGCCGTGATGGCGCAGGTCAAACAGTTGCGGAGAAGTTTGAGTAAGAGCATCGCGTGTTATTACCCGAAAGATGTGCCGTGACGGCGCAGACAAAGATTGTGCCGTGATGGCGCAGACGACGAAGACAGACGAGACGACGTGTGCGCCGTGATGGCGCAGACGACCGCAGCAGAGACGACCCGTGCGCCGTGAGGCGCAGACGACTGCAACAGACGACAAGTCTCTGTCCCTTTCTCATCTCTTGGTCTCTCTCTTGCACTCTCTCTGTTGGTCCGCGGCTCATCTTCGCCCTTGGGCACAGAGGGCTTTCATCGTCCCTCTGAAATTCTTCATGTCAAAGCCTCAGCCGAGTGCCACATCAGGTTGAGCCGCAGAGATCAGAACAGGTTTCACACAGAGGAGGAACATGAACAAACTACTGCAGAACTGCATTGAGGGCACAGCTTCCTCTCACCGTCGCTGTCGCAGCCTCGGCAGCATGCATGTTTCCGGACGCATGGAAGTTTACAGAAGTGAGAGTCTGAGTTCTTCGTTGCAAGCGACGGCTGGCAAGGGGAACATGAGTGCAACGTGCAAGAGCTTGCAGGTCATTTTTTGGACAACGTTTAGGGTCAGCTGAGCACCAAGATCGTCCAGCTCGAGCACAGTGCGGAATGTGCCGAACGCTCCGTGCGCGCCCAGGTTGGAGCGCACAGCGTACATCCGCTCATGCACAAGCTGAACCTCGCAAGGGTGCCAAGCGGCAGGGCCACAAGTAAACACATAGTTAACCAGGACATCGCACCAGCCCTCGCTCGGGCACGTGAAGCGCTCCTTCACCCGAGCGATCTGTATGCGCCCTGCCTCATGCTCGGCTTGGATGACCCCCACCGCGGCCTGAATTCCAATCATCTTTGTCGCTTGCACTGCGCCCCTGGCTGCGTCCAACGTGCGTGAAAAACATAGACTCGACTCGCCCAGGAAAAACTCCGGGACTGCTCCAGCCTTCTCTATGATCCTGACACCGTGCTTCAAGCTTCCCACAAGGCTCTTGCCCTCCTTGGCCCAATGATTGGGCAAAATAGTAGTTCTACGTCCAATCTAAGTCTATGCTTCAGATGCAGGGAAAAGACCACTTGTGGGAGAAAAGCCCGGCATCCCACGTTTAGGGTCATATACTTTCGAAGAAAGGTACAGCTCTAGGTAGGGCTCAAGACTTGCGAGGTCACCGTGATCAGACTCCTGACTTATAACACAGTGGTGTCAGTATACACGAAGGATCTCATGAAGGGAATAACACATGCCTGCGAGGAGACGAGACCCTTAACCCCAAAGCCCATATGCTCTGAAAATCCCTCACCCTGAACCCTTATAGATCCCTTATAGTAAGCCTTCTAGACCCCATGTAAAGGAACCCTACAGCAACCCTAGGAACCCAGAACCCTAAACTCATAAACCCTAAACTCCTAACCCCTACACCCCTAAACCCCAGACCCCTAAACTCCTAAACCCTAAGTTCCCAAACCCAAAACCCTACAACCCTGAAATCTTCCGCCCTCTCAGCAAACCCGGCCAGCACCAAGAGCTCGGGAGTCGGTGCACTCCGCGGGCGCTCTCCTGCCCCCCCGGGAAGGGTTTGGGGTTAGTTTAGGGTTTAAGGGTTTAGGGGTTTAGGGTTTAGGCTAGAAAGAAACGGGTTTGGGGTTTGCCTGGACCCCCCAACTACCCTTTATTGTAGCCCTAACTACCTCTTAATGAGAGATATCGGAGGCCTTTGAAGGGTACTTGGGGGGGTCCTGGTAGGGTTCTGGCTTTCGGGCTTTGGCTGCAAGGTTTTAGGGCTTTAGGGTTTAGGGGTTTAGGGTTTAGAGTTTAGGGTTTAGAGTTTAGGGTTTCAGGGCTTAGGGTTTAGTGTTTTTCTGGCTGTCTATGGGGTAGCAGCGTCTTTTTTGGGAAAATCGACGCAAAGCAGGTCTTGATGACAATCTGCCGCATGCTTTGCGGCACGATTTCCGTGGGCCTCGTGGCTCAAACATCCCCTTCCTAGGGTGCCTGGGGTTCCTTTAAAGGGTACTATAAGGGCTCCCTTAAGGGATCTATAGGGTTTAGGGTTTAGACCTTCCAAAGTCCCTTAATTAAGGAATATGCCTTAATTCATAATAGGATCCCTAATATAATTTAAGGTATATTCCTTAATTAAGGGATTTTGGAAGGTCTGGGTGCTTCAGGGTATCATGCAGCTGGGCTCTCGTTAAGGAGTATATCTTAAGTTAGCATGATACTGACACTATTTTCGTTACTCTAGATCCCTATTATGGTATCTTAAACTAAATCTTTAATTTTTAAGCCTCGAGCTGAACCAGCCCGCCCCAAAAACACTGCGACACACCCGCCCGGATCACTGCCTATACCCTCCCCCCCCTCAACCCTCCAAGCCTCAGCCCAAGAGGCCTACCAGGACCCCCTAAGGGCCTTTTTAATGGAGCCAATGTGGTCCTTAATAGTGGATATTTGGGGTATATTAAAGGGTAGTTGGGGGGTCTAGGTAAAGCCCCAAAATGCCAAGCCCTTAAACCACACAGAAACCGTGGGGTTCCTCGCTGCCGCTTCGGCTGCGAGGCATCTTGCCACATCGCCGGAGCAAGGACAAAGCATCGGCAAAGGTGCAGCCGATGGAAACGGCTTAGGCTTGAAGGCTTCAAGGGGGGTTCCTAGGGTTCCTTTGTATGGGGTCTATAAGGGCTACCAGAAGGGATCTATAAGGGTTACTAGAATATTACCATACTACTATTTTGGGGATTGCTTATTATGGCTTTAAGTCTCAAGGGTGTAAGGCTTACGGCCTTGGGGCCTCAAGGATAAGGTTTCGGGGATGGGGATTAAGGGGTCGACACGTGCGCTTCAAAGGAAAAAAGATGTTCAGTCGCCGGAAACCCTGAACCCCAAAACCTCCACTCCTAGAGCGTTGGCTGGAATGTTCTTGCAGGCAAAGTTACAAGCGCTTTAGTCGTTCGTTTCCGCAATCGAGAACACAATGCATTTACACTAGCATTCACTTTTTATGTCAAGCTGGAGATGAAGAGTCGCTACGCCGGTATCTAGGGGTACTTCCTGCAGGGATCATGACCGACTTTTCCTGCAGGATCTGGGGCTGGACCTCATCACGAATAAGTCTGACAGCTGCGATGCGTTCGAGCGATGGACATGGGAGACAAGCTTCGTCGTCGTGTACGATCAGTGATTTGGATCCGCGGCCTCCAAAATCGACAACTCCACATACACCCTAAGCCCCGTCCCCTCAAGCCTCTAATTCAAACTTTTAAACCAAGTCCACATCCTAAACTCTGCACCCCTCAAACAGTAAGTGCCCCCAACAACTGCTGACTCCTTCCGCCCCCCCCCCCCCCAAGACTACTGACCCCGTCTACCAGAGCTTAACAGAAGAGGGTTGTTAAAAACCCTAAACCCTAAACTCTTTAAACCCCCCCTAAACTACCGACTCCTTCTAGCTTAGCCAAGGGCCGAAGAAGATCCGATTTTCTGCTGGGAGTCGATCGGGACTTCGCCGGCGAGCTGTGAAAGTAGCAAAGTAATATAGGGGCCTTAAGAATTAGAATAGGGGTTCCTTTAAGGGTTCCTTTGAATAAAGGGATCTACAAGTAGGGTTCCTAAAAACGTAGACACACCCTGCTCTCATCTTGCATTATAATATTGCAGTGCGCAGCCCTTATAAGGCACAGTATTGGCAATGATTCCAGCATCTCAAACACAGATGACAAGCCCCCACAACTTCCAAGAAGGTCGCCTCCACACAGCCTACGCCGGCAAGTCTCGCTATGACAGGCATGTCCGGTCTGAGACGCGGGAGTTTCTCATGCGGTTTAGGGTTTAAGGTTTAGGGTTCAGGGTTTGGGATTTTAGGTTTTAGGGTTTAAGGTTTAGGGTTTAGTAATAGGGTTTTACGGTGTCTCTTTAGGGTGCTTAGGGGTTTCTCAAGCCTCTCGTCGTTGCTGTGGAGCCTGGCTGCTGAGCTTGCAGGTTCAGAGCAGAGCAAGGCCGCCCTGAGAGAGTTAAGTCACCTGGGGCCTTAATAATTAGAATAGGGTTCCTTTTAAAGGGATCCTTAAAGGGTTCCTTTAACGGGATCTATAGTAGGGTTCTTTAATATAGGAGCCTTAATAATCAGAATAGGGTTTGGGCTACATCATACGATAATTGTAGTAAGGAACCCCAGAATAGCGTTGGTAATTATTTAGGCCTCTAAGTAAATTCAGAGCCCAAGGGATCCCAAGTACTTATATGGGTAGTTATCAAAATTATGGTCCCATTTTAGGTACCCTAAATAATAGGTGCCGTATTGTAACAGGGACCCAGAAAGGGACCCTAATTTTGACAACCACCTATATAGTAGAACGTAGGGGTTTCTATATTCGGAATTACGATTATGATTTGGGGAAGTATGCCCCGCAACAGTACCTGGGCCACTTTGGGGAAGTTGTTCCGTTGATGCGGGTATAATTCACAGGCCCGAACGGAGAACTAGGCTGTATTCCAATGCCAGCACGGCCCTTTAAACGGCTCTAAGATCTTTTTTTGCATCCCTGACAGCAGCTCTTAGAGCAACACCTATGATGTTTACATTACGATTATGGTGATTGTATAAATTAAGATACCCTTATGTAAAGGTGCGCCGAAAAGATCAAACAACAACAAATTCCGACAATCCCTTGTGTACTAGGATGCACCAGGCAGGCCGTGCAACCCGAGCCCTTTAATCCCTGATGTAGGGTTGAGGGTTTGGGGTTTGGCATTTGGGATGTAGGGTGGCTCGGGCAACCTAAAACTCCACACCGTTGGGCAAGTCAGAGAAACTCCCTCTCCGGTGCCCATTCGCACTGGAGGTCGGATTGCTCTACAGATTCCCAGGGGGCGGGTTTGTCTAATTACTGGCTTTTGGATGCCTTGGGTATAGCTCCCTATACCCTAAACCCCAAGAGGGGCCTGTGTCAGGAAGCCGCTTAGCTTGGGAGCATGAGGGAGTCGTCAGCATGTCCCGATATAGGGCCCTTCCCATGTTCAACACGTTTTCCTGTATTTCCTAGTGGAGCAACAAAAAATTATCGTTATAGGGAGCCTGAAGGAATAGTGCTACTGCAAGCTACTCATGTTTTTTTCTTCACCCCGCATCCCCCAGAAAAGAGCCCTGGGCTCTGCATTGGTGCGCTTCATGCGAGCTCTACTTGAAGGTTGATGGCCGCTGCAATGTAACTTCGAAGTCGCGCTTATGGACTATGCTGGTTGCAACCTGACTTGGGGCGGTTTTCCGGTGAGAAACTACCCATAACATAGGGGCTTACTAATTTGAATGGAGTTTTGGATGCCCATTATACTATAATTATATTAAGGAACCCCCAAGAATAGTATTGGTAATTATCTAGGCCCTTGTATTAGCCATACAACCTTCAAGTAGCGATAAACTCGAAGGCTGTGGTCTGCCCTTCTGAGGTAACGCGGGAACCTATTCGGAAACCCTGCTCCTACCTAGAGGCTCATACCCTACTCCATTTCTTACGATTTTAGGGTACCTAGTTTTTAAGACAACAGATCCTAACCATCTGATAGAACCCTTATGTGCTGAACTACATTAAGCCTAGTGCGAACCCCCTAAGAGCATGCCTACAAAGAACCCTCAGCAACTGCAACCGCCCAAACGGTGGAACCCTACACCCCTTCTAGCACACGGGCCATGATAATTAGAATTAGAATGGGGCTTTCAGGCACCTTTCTGCCATAATTATCATGGGGACTGCTGGGGCATACTGGAACCCAAAATCCGAAACAGGAAACCCACAACCCCAAACCCGAAATCCGAAACTCTAAACCCAATACTAATATTGAAGGTAACGATGACGAGGACGGTGATTCGTGATTGAATTCTTTGCTCTGCAGACCTCTGTATTAAGGCGACCGCTTCTGCGCGAATTTCGCAGCCACGAGCCGACCCACCGGAAGCCGGGGCAGGGTGGTGGGGCTCTGGTTTGGGTTTTAGGGGCTCAGGGCTGACTTTTTGCTATGTAGTTCTGAAGCTTAAAAACATAGGTCTTAAGCATTTCGGGGTTGAGGGTTTCGAGGTTAGGAATTAGAGTCAGTATCGTCGAGTTTTGAGGTCTTGAGTTTCTGTTTTCGGGTTTGGGGTTTCGGGTTTAAGGTTTTGGCTCTGGGGCTTTCAATTCTAAGCAGTCGTTTCAAAAGAAAGGTTCAGGATTTATGGCTGGGCTCACGGCAAAGAGCCCTAAAGCCTAAACCCTACCTTAACCCTGATTAACCTACCTTGTTAAAGGGTTTCTTATCATGATTTCTTTATATAAGTCCTTAAAAATGTAATCCTAAACCTTAGGTACTGCCCCCCCCATACAGCAAGAGTCTTTAATAGGGCTACTATTAAGGTCCTAATATATCTATATTATGAGTATTATTCAACTATTGCTGAGTGGGGGCCGTACCCAACCTAAACCCTAAGAAGGGCTCTGTTATAGGATCCTTAAGGGGGGGTGGTTCAAGGGGGGAGGGTACTAAGGAGCTTTGGGGAACCTTAGGGAAGCTTAGGGAGTATTGGGGAATAATGGGGATTACTAGGTTACCTACCCCCCTTGGACCACCCCCCCTTAAGGACATCCTAATTCTGAGTTCTGAGAAGGTCTTGGGTTTGGGGTCTTTCTGGGGACTAACAGTGAAACTTAGTATGCATCAAGAGTTGGATTTGTGGGCTTTCCGAGAGGTCTCCAGGGTGTGGGCTCCGAGGGATAAGAGAGCTCAGATTAAGAAATAAAGGGTTTAGGGTTTAGAGTTAGGGCTTAGGGTTTGGGCTAGGGGTGTTTGTGGTATTGGGCTTGTGTGCTTTAGTGGGTCTTAAGGTTAAGGACTTTGCTGTTCAGGGTTTTACGGTTTCGATGAGTTCGGATTTTAAGGTAAAGAGGTAGGGCTCAGCGAATGGATTTCCTGCCTTTCTACCCGATTTGGCCTCCGGGGCCGTCTAAAAAGTGCTTCGAAAATGAGACCCCAGACCTTCCAATATCACTTAATTCAGGAATATACCTTAATTCATATTAGGGGTCCTATTATAATTTGAGGTATATTCCTTAATTAAGGGACTTTGGAAGGTCTGGGAAAATGAGACTGGTCCATCTGGCTCAATTCTCCGGCGGTCCCGGGTTCAGGCTTTCCGGTCGGTGGTTCCAGGGGCGCATGAACAAAAGGATCCTGTTGGGAAGAACTAGTTTAGGGTTTAGGGTTTAGGGACTCCACCCCCTGAACTCGACACCCTGCAGCTAAACCCGGAATCCCAACCGGCGCAACACCCTAAACCCTAAGCCCCTAACCAGGTAGCCTAACAGCCTAAACCCTAAACCCATCACTAGCCTAACACCCTACTTGGAGGCCCTTTTGACTTAGTAAGTAGGGTTAGTAAGGTGGGTTATGGGGATTATAATAGGGTTTCTGGGTGATACTAAGTAGACTTACTAAGTCAAAAGGGCCTCCAAGTATAGGCCCCTGAACCCTAAATCCCTAAGTAGCCTAACATCCTACACCCCTCACCCCTAAAGCCCTAACTAGCCTAACACCCTAAACCCCTAAACCCCAAATCCGTAACTAGCCTGACATCCACATCCCTAAACTCCTAAATAGGCCCTTAAGGTCTATAAACCCTAAGCCCTGCTCCCTGAGAGCCAGGATAAAGATATCATGTTTAAATATACTTAGGATCTAACAGAAGGCTCTATTTAGACTTCTGCATCTATAAATGCTGTGGTCCTCCAAGAGGAGGAGGTCCGGATTTCGAGCCACTTGGCCGTCTGCAAAAGGCCAGGGCTCTATGCCAGCGCTGTTCCGGGAAAGCTGAGCTGAGGGTTAAAGATCTAGGGATCAGTAGGGGTCTCGTAAACCTCGACTCTACCTGCAGGGTCATATCCTACTTAAAGGATGATGGGACTTAGTAAGTGGGGTTATAAATGAGGTAACTATACTTATAACTACTTATAACCCCAATTAAGGTACTTATAACCCTACTTACTAAGTCCCATGATCCTTCAAGTACCCTTTTGGTGGTATAACAGATCCTAAGCATAGAGGCATAGAGCTTCTCACGCTAAGAAAGGAGATGGCCCTCTCCGGAAGCTCTGAATCCTTATTCGGTGCCTTGAAGCCTGCAGATGTACTGGGAGTTTCCGAAAAGTAGGGGTACCTTCAAAGGGATCCTCAAAAGGATCTATCAGGGTTCTATACAGGGTTTAGGGTTTAGAGTTTCCGAAGGGGTACCTTCTTTTGGGGGTCCTTATATTAGGGATGCTATTATTTAGGGTACTGTATTAGGGTCCCCTACTTTCGAAAACCCTCCATGTGGGTTTTGAAGCCTGGATAAATGGCCGTGGAGTTCCCCAAGGATCCCTGTTGCAAGTTCGCACATGGCCGACTACATCGTAAATCTGGTAATGAAATCCCTTTCCCAAATACCAATGGGTTGGAAAAGTTTTAGCACTACCTCATCAGAGCCCGTACAGTTGAAAACTTTGGGCTTTGGACCAACACTAGGGTCCTGAGTAGCCCCTTTAGGGTACCCTTTTTCCGAATATACAGTTTCAACCAGGGGACCCTAAAAAAAAAAGGGCTCAGGAACCTAGAACAAGATTGGGCTTTGGACCAATCCCTAATGATGTCGGCGGGATGAACAGCTGAGCCCAAGACGCTGGTAGCAGGTGAAACGACTCTGCGCGCTCTCGTCGCGATGGAGGCCTCTTGCTTCGGTTTAAGGCTCATACATGGTCTACTTGGAGGCCCTTTTGACTTAGTAAGTCTACTTAGTATCCCCTAGAAACCCTGTTATAATCCCCATAACCCACCTTACTAACCCTACTTACTAAGTCAAAAGGGCCTCCAAGTAGGGTTTAGAGGGTTTATATGCCTCATGGGGATCATCAGGGTTATAGGGTTTCTGGTTCAGGCATCAGGGTTTAGGAGTTCAAGGTACGGTTAAGGTTTAGGGTTTAGGGTTTAGGGTTTAGGGTTTAGGGTTTAGGGTTTAGGAGTAAGAGGATGCAATCCCTGCCCACAGACTTCCGCACCAGGTGACACTTCAAACCATGAGGTCCCCTATCCCATGACTTCTGCGCCTTACGGCAACCGGAAATTCGAACTTGAACGGTATGAAAATTAATATTACTATTCGTATTGGTCTTCATAGTAGTACTAATGTTAATATTAATATCAATACTCATCCCCCACTACAGAATGCGCCGTGAAAGTACGCCGAGGCCTGGCCCGAAACTACAAAGGAACACCCACTCCCAAGCCTTAAGGTTTGGGAGCACCATCGAAGGTGGGCGGCCTAGGCCTTGAGTTTAGGGTTTAGGGCTAAGGGTTTAGGGTTTAGGGTTTAGGGCTAAGGGTTTAGGGTTTAGGGTTTACTTGGAGGGTCGGGGGACTTAGTAAGTAGGTAGTAAGTAGACTTATGAGTATCCTAAAGGGACCCTAATTGGGGTTATGATGCTTATAAGTCCCGAAATAACCAGTTACTAAGTCCCCCGACCCTCCAAGTACCGTCGCACCAAAACCTCTGTTGAAATCCCATCAAGCAGCATTTACACCCCAGGAATACCCTGTCCTTGAAGTTTCCTGCATCTTTCTCAAGCCCGTTCAAAGGCAGTGAGGACTCGCAAAACCAAAAGCTTGTCTCCACCCCAAACCCTTAAAATATAAAAAGCAACTCCAAACGGCTGTGCCCTAAGCCCTAAGCCTTACCGTATACTTTAAACTCTTAACCTCAAACACACTAAACTTTAAAAGCTTTAAACTAACTCAACCCTAAACCTGAGACCCTAAACTCCTAAATCCTACAACCCTCAAAGCCTAAACCCCTCAGGTGCTAGCCGCGAAGCTGCAGGACGAAGACGTCCGGAGCTGCAGGGATTTATGAAGGCACAATCGTCTTGGGTTCTTACCACTCATCTTAACCGGGAAAAACTTAGCTTTTTAAGCTTATATAAGAAAACCACAAGAATTAATGGAACACCAAAGAGCTATTCAGGGTTAAAGTAAGCTTCTACTTGTAGGACTTAAGGCTTCAGGGTTCTATGTAGAGGTTGGGGGTCGTGACTGCGTTTGAAGCTTGTGTATGCGTCGGCGTTGAGTTCCGCAGGGTTTTGCAAACACTCGAGGGATCAGTCAGGGTTCTGAACCAAGGCCTAGACTCAGACTCAGCGGCATTCAAAGGGTTTAGGGTTTAATTAGGGTTTAGGGTTTAGGGTTTAGGGTTTAAACCCTAATACATCTAACAATGCTTGTTCACCGCCATCCATGCAGCTGGGCACGCAAAACATGCAACTGGTATGCTGAGATTATGTACATATGATGTGCATATACAATGCAGAACAATACATAGAATACTCTACAGTATCAGTGTATATATATACACACACACATATAATTTAAACTAGCATGTACAAAGATAGATCGTCATATACATGGGTTAAGAGCGGTGCAGACATATAATTATAGAAATACCCACACACAGAAACAGATACATAGCTAATCAGTTGTAACGGGTACACCGTCAGATATCTGACCAAGAGAAACCTTTAGCAAACCCAATGCTATAACGAAACATTAATGAAGAATTGAAGCAAACAGAATTCGAAGTCAAAGCGAAGTCACTGATTTCTGAAACCTAGCCAGAAACACAAATGTATGCGTTCCTTCAAAAAACAGAACTTGGTGGATGCTCGAATCTACTTTCTGCAAAAAGTGCAAGACTTTCTTGCAGAGAACCTGAAGCCATTATTGGTACGGTTTAGGGGTTTGGGGCTCCACTAGCGCCGCAAAAAAGCACTGGGAATTCACACCCTAAACCCTTAAACCCGGAACCCTTAAACCTTACACCATTAGCAATACCGGCAGCCAGCCGCTCCGCGTCAAGAACCCGGGCAGCGACTGTGGGTTGAGGGCTGTTTAGGGTTCAGGGTCTAGGGCTTACCCTAAGGGTCCAAGGTATCTCCTTAGAAGGGTCCGGAATCTCCTAGAGAGAGCCCTTGGGTCTCTTTGGGGTCTCAGAAATCCTGCATTTTGAGATTCCCTAAAGTGCTAGGACCCTTAGGGTATAAGGGCCCAGAGAGCCCAATACCCCTTAATTACGGAATATGGCTTAAAATATAAGCGGCTTCATATTATGATTCAAGCTATATTCCTTAATTAACGGGTATTGGGCTCTCTGGGGGTCTAGGGTAAACATAACACACGCCGGGCGCCTTAGCCCCAGTACTGCATGTCGCGGCCCAGGGTATGGTCGAAGGCATCCAGCTTACTGGAGGCCGAGGTGGGATGTAATATAGGAGCCTTAACGGTTAGAATAGGGTTCCTTTCGCAAGGCATGGATTCATATGATGTCTGTTGACATCGGCATGAAGTCCTAGCATGCCATCTTTATCAGCCTTAATCAACGTCCCCAAACTTCGGCCCAAGAAGCCTCAACAGCCCCAAAGCCCTGAGCCCGAACAGAGGCACTCTACTTGGGATTTCTTGCTGTTGTTCAGGCTTTTGCTTAGGATTTAAGGAAAGATTTCCGAAGAGGATTCCTTTTGATCCAACATAACCCTAAACCCTAAACCCTAAACCTACACCCTAAAGCCTTGATGCTTGGTGTGTTAGGTGCACCTGGGAAGTGGGATTTCCGAGACAGATCGTGGATCCACATTGTCCCTACACGGGCCCATGTACCCATACGGTAAATGCATTACTAGCCTTCAGGTACAGAAACACTACTTTGAAAGACTACTTGACCGCCAAAGTATATACTGTATAGGTACATGGCCCCTTTGAGTGTGGTAAAAGCTATCTACCTGGTAATGCGGACCCCTGAATAACAAACCATGTCGGGAAGGGCGTCAATACCAAGACTCAAGACACCGAAAGCCCAAACTCCAAAACCGTGGGGTTTACAGTTACCCTAAGGCTCTAAGGACTCATATACCACGGCTTTTGGTCCCAAAGACCATACTATATAAGGCTTTTGGGCTATTTTGAGCCTTAGAGTTTTGGGGCTTTTGGGCTATTTTGAGCCTTAGAGTTTTGGGGCTTTTGGGCTATTTTGAGCCTTAGAGTTTTGGGGCTTTTGGGCTATTTTGAGCCTTAGAGTTTTGGGTTACCTTACAAACCCGAAACTCCAACCCCAAAGCCGAGCCCAAGACACGACGATTTCGGTTTCGAGTTCAGGGCTTCGGGTTACTGGAGGCATAGGGTTTAGGGTTTAGGGTTTAAGGTTTAGGGTTTAGGGTTTAGGGTTTAGGAACCCTCAACTCCGAACTGCGACACCCTATGTAAACCACCAGTCAACCCCTCAGGGTCCAAGTACTCAAATGGGAGCTTCCGAAAACAGGGGACCCTCCTGTGGTACCCTAAATAGTAGGATCCTTATTGTAAGGACCCCAAAATAGGTACCCCCACTTTTCGGAAACTCCCAAATAGTAGGGTTTCAAGGCCCAAAAACCATTCAGAGTATGGCTTTTTGGCCCTAAAGCCCAACGATTTGGGTATTTGGACCCTCTGGGAACCTTAAGCTATGATTCCCAAGAACCCGGCCCCGGCTGTCCATTCCTAAGCTTCCGCCGTACATGCTTAAAAAATAAAACCGGAGTTCTAAACATCTTGCGGCAGTGTAAGGCTAAGGGTTTGAGGTGCGAGGTTCGACGTTCGGATTCTGGGATTTACGACTTCGCATGTAGGGTGACACAACTTAATTATAGACTTTTCACATGGCATGGTGCTGCCCGCAGGCCAAACCGCTGACCCTGAAACCTGTAAATTTCAGACAAGCCCACAAGCGTGAACCAGAACCATTACACGTGTTCAGTGCAACACCTGTCCACTGGATGGTCGATAATTTATATTTATAAACACATATTGCTTGTTTAACTGTCAACTGTAACATACTCACTGTGCAGACGTTGATACGTTGCGTACTAAATCATGTTCGTGAGTACATTTACATGTGTGTGTGCGCGGGTGCATGCATGCTTGCACAAGCACACGTATGCGTATATGTACATATATATATATATATATGTGTGTGTGTGTGTGTGTGTGTGTGTGTGTGTGTGTGTGTGTGTGTGTGTGTGTGTGTGTGTGTGTGTGTGTGTGTGTGTGTGTGTGTGTGTGTGTGTGTGTGTGTGTGTGTGTGTGTGTGTGTGTGTGTGTGTGTGCGAGCATGTGTGTTTGTGTGTGTGTGTGTTTATGTTTGTGTATGAGAATGTGTTTAAGTGTAAGATTATGTGCATGTATGTGTACATGCAGAAATGCATACATACATGCAGCTGTTTTTGCATTTGTGTTTGTCTGTGTAGACATGTATGCATCTGCAAACGCATGCAGCACATGCATATGCCAGTATTCAGAAAATGCTGGATGCTTATACATACCCTGAAAGGTAGGATCCTTGACTCATGGGCCTAGATAAGATACCCCTGATTTTGAGAAACCCTCAGACATGCATCTATACCTCCTTTACAACCATAGTAAAATATGTTTAACATTCTCTTGGGTTTTGTATGATCAAAAACATAAATAGTTCCTACGGAGACTATAGGCATACTGGTACCCTCTAGTGTTGGAGGGTCCTCGACATCCGTTCCAGGACCTCTTTCATGCGCTGGTCCGTGTCTGTGAGGCCGTCAACCTCTGTCCCAAGTGCCTCCCGACCAGGGCAGTTTCGGGTTTAGGGCGGTTGGGTTTTATTACTTGGAGGCCCTTTTGACTTAGTAAGTAGGGTTAGTAAGGTGGGTTATGGGGATTATAATAGGGTTTCTAGGGGATACTAAGTAGACTTACTAAGTCAACAGGGCCTCCAAGTAGGATTTAATCAAGATCTCAGGTGTTGCAATCTTTTTCGGGTGGCCTCGGGGCTAGGGTTCGGGGTTGTGTTGCGGCTTTCCCAGAGGTGCTATGTTGGCAGGCTCGCGCCTGTTCAAGACGCACCTTGCTGCCTTGAGGGCAAAGCTACACGAAGCATCACTCGCCGCATGACCGTAATAGATACCATTATAATAATGATTAGATGCCTTCGGCGAACAATCCAACTTTAGAACAACCTCGGAGAAGCCAGAGAACCCTGGACAAAAACAACAAATATCAGGAACACCTTCAGTTAAACTTTCAGATTTCAACCCCCTACTTTGTCTTAGTTGCTGAGTTCATATGCCCCAAAAAGTGTACACTTTCAGTTTTATAGTGGGCAATATTATCCCGAAAAAAGTGTAAAGTGTATCCACGCAGCCACCAAGAAGAAACTCTGGTCCTATAACCCCAAAATAGTAGGATTCATAAAAGGAATCCTAATAATGACACAGGGTTCCTTTTATAAACCCCATACACTGACCTCGAGCTGGTCACTCACCGGCCGAAACGCGTCCCACTCCTGCGCGGACACGCCTATCTTACTTTCCCACAGCCCTACCCCAAGGCTCGAAAGTAGTTCCTTTTTGGGGTTCATATATAGAACCCTATAAGGTAATCCCAAAAAAGGAACTACTATGGAGCCTCTGCGTAGCCCCAAATATACTACACCCCCCAGAGATCCACAATTTGAACCCCAAAACCCCTACCCTAACCCTGAACCCCACTTGGAGGCTCGGGGAACTTAGTAAGTAGGTAGTAAGTAGACTTATAAGTACCCTAAAAGGGAGCCTAATTGGGGTTATGGTACTTATAAGTCCCGAAAATAACCAGTTACTAAGTCCCAAGACCCTCCAAGCATGACCCAACAAAGCCCAAAGCCCCAAACACTAAATCCCAAAGCGCAAACCCGTGGGCACAGGCAGGACCTGAGCTCTGCATACTATAGGCCTTGATGCTTAGAACAGGGCTCCTTTAAAGGGATCCTTGGAGGGTTCTATAAGGGATCTATAATAGGGTTAATGTAGGGGCCTTGGTAATCAGAGTAGGGTTTGGGGGGCCGCAAAATAGTATAGGTAACTTATTTAGGCCCCTATAGTAAAGGGACAACAGGGCGTCAGCACTTTCGCGACTGTTGCACAGGGGGAAGTTCTTCAAATCAGGATTTCGTTTTAGGTTCCCAACATACTTCGGCACCCTGAAAAACCCTGAAAGGGACTCTAGTTTAGAGAACTGCCCACATACAGGGTGCATTTTAATGATAAACTTTCCTAGGGTATGTCTTGGGGTGTTTCAGATGTCGGCTACATTTCCTGCTTAACGGGTCGATATCTCAGGAACCCTACGGCTTTGAACTTATATCCAGTAATTTTTCAGACTGCCACTTGAGGTTGAGGTTCGGGTTCAGGATTATAGTAAAATCTAATCCTCATGGTGTGGAGGAGGGGGGGTGTTCTTACAGTTCGGGTTTGTGGCTGAGTGTCGCCGCTTTTGTGTTTGTTTAGCTTGTATTTCAGGCCTAGGTGTGCACGGAGTCTGGGGGCATGCCCACCCCATCGGGGTCCTGCAGAAAGCCGTCCACCACCCCGCTGACCTGCGGAATTCAGGGTTCGGGGGTCAACGTTTGCCGGTTTCGGGTTCATCCCAACAATTGGAATGAATACAGTGGCAAAGCAAACAAGCCGGCGTCACTATTGGAGAACAAAACTGGTTAGGACGGTGACGACGAGGATGATGATGGTGGTAAAAATGATTCTGATGATCCTGCGGATGATGATGATGATGACGATGATGGTGATGCTAGTGATAGTCATGAGGCGGCAAAGGGCAGCGGCCGCTTCAAGAACTAACAACAACACGGCAAACACCACCACCACCAACAACAACAACAACAACGCCAACACCACCAACGACAACGACAACAATAACGACAATGAAAAACGACAACAACAACGACAACAGCAACAGCAACAGCAACAGGAACAAAAACAACAACAACGACAACGCAAAAACGACAACATTGTTAGAGTTCAGTGGCGACGGTGTTGCCTCGGCTTTCACGATGTCGATCTGCTCCTTAAAAGCCGCGGCAGCCTGCGACAAAGCGTCGCACTTTGGAACAGAGTGGCCCTAAACCGTAAAACCCGACTCCTAGTATGATTTTAAGGGGAATATTATTAGGGTATATTCAAGGTCAAGGCTATATGAGCCATATGCTATATGGTCAAATCGACCGTTAAGGACGTAGATATGGCCTGTTCTCTAAAGTAGGGTGCCTTTGAGGGTCCGTTTCATAGGGTGTCCTTCTATTCTCAGGGACCTAAACAGGGACCCTAATTTCGGGGCCGTAATGATGAGAATAGGTCCTTGAATAGGGTTCTAGTGTATAGGATACTATAATTATAATAAGGAAGCCCCCAAAACTGTACGGGTAATTCTTAAGGCCCCTATACTAATTTAGAGAACTGCTGATTTATAGACCGAAGCTTGGAGATCGCAGGGCGTACCTGCAGTCTCCCTTTTAGTCGCTTTTCGGTTAAACAAATTCATGTTGGAGGATCTTAACCACAAAATAGGTTAACCAAGAAAAGGAGTTACAAGGGAGACTATAGGTAAGACTTAATTCTACAAAGGCATAGGCCAGCCTGGGGTTTTAGGGTGTAGGGTTTGGGATACGGCTTAGGGTTTACGATTTAGGGCTTAGAATTTAGGGGTTCGGGGTTACCTTAATCCCAAATAACCTACTTTTTAGGGACATATATACAGAACTCACACTAGGGGACCTTCGAGAGGTAGGTTATTTGGGCATGCCGGTAGGGCTTGGGGTTTAGGGTATGGGTTGAGCTTGGGGTCCCGCAGCTGCGGACTTCAAGAGCTGGCGACACCACGGCTTCAGGGCTTTTGGGTCTGTACTGTCACCTATGACCTCGTGTCTGTTGAAGAGCATCTTAGTTTTACTACTTGATATTATAGTGATTGTACTTTGTACTGTTATTAGTATGGGCATCAGGATTAAGGCTGCAAGAGTCAGAGCAGTAAGTGCAAAAGTCATCATGATCATACTCATAAGCGTATTCACTCCTTAAGGTTTTCGTTGGTTCACTCATGAGGGTTTTCGGCTCGTTAGGCGTTTCGGCTTCCGGTGCAACGTCTCGAACATTCGGCTTGGGATCACTCAGTAGGGTGCGCCAAGCAGGTTCTAACAGGCCACCATGCAGCTCCTTCCTGTCCCCTTGGTTGGCATCGGTCGTGGTCTGGTAGACGGCCTCACATCCAAGGTCGAATCCTGGTACTCACCGTTGCACAGTACACCGACCTCGTAATAGCTTGTTGGCTTGTCCGTGGCTCAGGTCGGGGTCTTGGTGGCAAAGGTCATGACTATGGCCACATCCGTGTGCTCTAACGAAGCCATGGCTGTGTTGAGCACTCGTCATTGTTCCTCAAGCAGGCGCTGCCCCCAACATGAGGCACGTGAGGAACCCACAGCCTCGTATGTCCTGTAATTTCAGAATACATTTGATCAGGTATATTCCTTCGATTTGCTCTAAACCCTGATTAAACCCTTAAACCGTAGTACCCTAGCCTCAAAAAGGCTAACCTTTTCAATTATGGGATTATACAAAGCCCAAAAGGTTAAATGCTACCCCTAAACTCTTATAGTGCCCTTATAGTACAGTACCCTTGTAGATCCCTTAAGGGAACCCCACCCTAAACCCTAAACTAAGCTACTGAGACTGGACCCGAGAGTATCCTAGGAATGAAAAGGCTGGCCTTTTTGGGTTAAAGGTTGTTATAGGAGAACCTAAACCCCCAAAAAAGGGAATAAGGCCCCACTCTGGGTCCTAGAAGATACAGCAACCCCCAAAAAGTTAGAAACCTGAGAAAGGACAAATAGTGCCGGGATTCCCTATACGTTACTCTTACGGATTGAGGCTATGGGGTTTCCAACTTTTTGGCTTCTACTGTATAAGAACCGCTTAAGATCCCGTAATTGATCCCTCAAAGGTTCCCTTAAGACTGTAGGGCCCAGGTATTGGCAGCTCCGGGAAGCTGCTCGAGCCTCGTCTTCGCCTCGACGCAGCATAAGCAAAGGGGAAAAGGAGGGACCCTTAATGGGAACCCCTACCCTATAAGGGGCTATATAATGGGTATATAGTAGCTATATTAAGGGTATATATACTTAGGGGTCCTTATTAAGGGTCCCTCCTTTTACCCTTGGACATAAGCAGTTCCAAGGTTTTGAGACAAGGGTTAGGAGTTTAGGGTTTAGGGGTTAGGGGTTTAGGGGTTTAGGGTTTAGGGGTTTAGGGTTTAGGGGTTTAGGGTTTAGGGGTTTAGGGGTTAGGGGCTTAGGGTTTACCTGGACCCTGAAGAACCTACCTTTATAGAGTCCTTATTATGATTTCTTTATATAACTCCTTAAAAAGAAAGGTTCTCCAGGGTTTAGGGTTTAGGGGTTAGGGGTTTCGGGGTTTGGGGCCAGTTTAGGGTTCAAGATTTAGGGCTTTGGCGGTTTAGGGGTCTAGCGCTTAAGGTTTAGAGCTGTCGGGGTTGGGGTTTAGGGTTTGGGTGTTTACCTAAACCGACAAAAGCAGGTAAAATAAAAGCCTAACAACCATAACAAGGCCGTCATTCTACATGCTTTTGGGATCCAGGCAGGGTTCAGGGTGAAATTTTCTGAGGTGTGACGGTACAATTCCGAAGTTCACCTAGAAGCTTTGGGTTTCGCTCGTGTTCTACATTCCGTCACGGAATCTCGAAAAACTGCCAGTTGGTTTCATTTCCTGCAGCAGCCCAAGCACCCTGACAGATTCGAAAGAATGTGTGGTATCGAAGAGTTAACTCGGCGCCCGAAGGCTCAACTCAACCCCAGACGTCGAACTGCAAACGCTACATCCCAGCACACCCTACATCTCAAGACAGCTTGCCCACACCCCATACAGTAATGTGGACTCTTGATCTTGTGATTACACCAATGAGTCAAGCCTAACAACCTTCAACCATGAGCCCTTCGAGCCTGATCGTGTTAGCTACACATGGGTGGTTGTCAACATTATGGTCCCTTTTTGGGTCCTTATTGTAATACGGCACCCAATATATTTAGGGTACCCAAAAAGGGACCTTAATTTTGACAACCACCCACATAGCATGGACATAAGCGCAAGCCTGGACCTCAAACCTTCAATCTCTGACCCTGGAATTCAAATCCAACCTTTGAAGGAACCTCAGAGGGTTCAGCAGCATGCTGCACTAACAGAGTGGCCTTAATAATCAGAAAAGGGCTTTGGGTCCCATGAAACTATAAGCATAATAAGGAAGCCGCCCACATTGTCACATTATTTAGGCCCGTATATTAACGATGCTCGTATAAACAGGTTTGGAATTCTGACGCCGGAGCAGCTGAACGCCAAGTGCACAACAACAGATCTGAAATCTGAACTGGGATGCTGCAGCCCCAACCCCCCTAAACCCTAAACCCCAAGCCCCAACATGGCAAAGTCGAAGCCTGAACTCAGGCGTTTTGCCCCTCTCGACCTACAAAGACCCAGCTTTTCTATTTGTTAGCCCTAGCAACCCCCTCAATCTCAACCCTAACACCCATCAACCCTGCACACTCATCCCCAAACACCAATCCCGAAGCCTCAACCCCAATGACGAAGGGACCTAAGAAGCTATGTGGGAGACAGTTGCCCCAAACCATAGTGGTAGTCTCTACAATAGAAACCCTAAACCCTAAACCCGGATGTGTTGTAGGTACTTACTTCGGGACTCTCCTAGCCCCTAACCCCCAACCCGACGCCGTAAGCCCTTGAACAGAGATCCGAAACACGAACTCCCAGTACTCAACACGCGAGATCCTAAGTCCTCTCTCCTTGCCAATTCCTTTATACACTATTTTTACCCTAAGCCCTAAAACCCTTAATCCTAAATCCTAAAGTATAAACCCTACAGAAAAATCACGGAGCCCGACAATGTAGCAGAAAATTCCGCGAATCCTAGGGTAGACCCCAAACAGGAAAATGCAAGCTACGAGGGTTCAGGGTTGAGGGCTCTGAAGAAAGACATCTGTGTGGTTGTCAAAATTAGGGTCCTTTTTTGGGTCCCTATTATCGTACGGCACCTACTATTTAACGTATCCAAAAAGGGACCCTAATTTTGACAACCTTACATTTGGTTAGTAGGGAATGGAAGACTGGTAGTACTAGTAGTTATAATTGTAGCGCATTCCTCCATTCCTTATTAACCAAAGGTAAGCAGCCGCCCATCTGAGTCCCCGGGCAGGTGGAAAGTTCCAGCTGGACGCCTTGCAAGTGCTTCCGCGTCGAGAGCTGTCTCTTTCGGACCTGGCTGTAGGGTTTAGCGTCCTTAATCGGGTTAAGGTTTAGGGTTTAGGGCCCCTGATAAGGGCTCCAAAAAAAACACATAACAAAACTATGCATAGGGACATCCCATATAACCCCCCCCCGCCCCCCCGAATGAAGCCCAATAAGGTCGGGATATCCCTACAAAACGCTTATGCTTATGTGCTTGTTGGTTCCCGAACCTAAGTCAGTCAACCTAAAACGACGCTAAGGCCCCAAATCCTACACCCAAGCCCGATAGGGCCGTTCAGGGCAGTCGCCGTCGCCTAGGTCCACTTCCTCCTCGCGCTGGGTGTTGTGCAAGTAAGTACTTACCGTCCTCCTTTGCCAACACGAAACTGTCTTGGCCAGCTGCGCCATCAGCGTGCCATGGAGGCCGAGTCCCGGCATCCCCCGTTCTTGGTTCTTTGTGATCAACTCGTCCTGGTAAGCCTGCTTGTTCTTGTAGGTGCCGTAAACCCTAAACTGCTAAGCCTTTCGAGTCTTTCTTCCCTCCCCAGTACAACCAGACGCTAGCCCACAACTCCTCCTCCGCGAGTCCCTGGGCATCATATAGGGGCTTAGGGGTCGAGGGTTTACCCTTAGGGTCCCTTGAGCAGGGCCCCAGGGGCTTCTTTTGCATCTTGCTGTTTATTGGGTTTGGTTGATTGCAATATGGGTGGTTGTCAATGTTAGGGTCCCTTTTTGGGTCCTTATTATAATACGGCACCTAATATTTAGGGTACCCAAAAAGGGACCATAATTTTGACACCCACCCATATGGAAGGGGCCTAACTAATAGTTAGCATAGGGTGTGGGGGTACACTACTGACGCAGACTCGAGCTTGGGCTCAGTTCGTGGGCTTTTATTAAGACTCAAAGTTTCAAGATCTTACGAGCTCCACGCTATTCTGGGTTGTTAAGGAATTCAGCGTAATTCTCCCAAATCAGGAGACTCAGGAAACCTTACTATTTACAATAAAACCCGGTTATGGAACTTAACAAGAACCCCAGTATTCTGGAGTCATCACCTCTGATCTTGTCGGCTCTGGGCCTGCAGGTAGGGCATCGGGTTTCCCGGGATCTCGCCAAACCCCAAACTCTTCTAAAAGGACCTTGCTTGGAGGGTCGGGGGACTTAGTAACTGGTTATTCTAGGGACTTATAAGTAACCCCAATTAGGGTCCCTTTTAGGATACTTATAAGTCTACTTACTAAGTCCCCCGACCATCCAAGTGTTACTTTTCAGAACAGGGCTTCGAAAATCAGAACAGGGACAAGGACTCGCCTCTGACCCTAAGCCCAAACCCCCGGGAGGATCTAAAAAGTAGATCCCTTAATTTGGGACCCTGGCTACTAAACGGTACTGTATAGGAACCCCTTTAAGGGATCTAGTTATTGGATCCTCCCGGGGGTCTGGGAGGAGATACTTAACCCTGAAAAGCCTAAACTCTACATCATGTACAGCCCTGCGAGCCGAAAAGGAAGTCGGGAGGTTGCTATAGTAGCCTTATTATACATTATAGATCCCTTATAGGAGCCCTTATGGACCCTTTAAAGGAACCCTAAAGTAAGGTTCCTACGTTTTCTGGGTTGTAGTTTTGGAGCTCTGAAAAGTATTTATGAATAGCTACCTCTATAGGGAACCACAAGGGAAACTAAAAATTGCCACCTAGTCTTGAGCGACGCTGCCGTAGGGGCCTTAATCATTAGACTAGGGTTTGGGGTATATTATACTTAATTCATACTAGAGAACCCCAAGAATGGATGGAATTTGTAAGTTTTTATGCCCCTAAACCCTGAACCCCTAGATTACATAATAAAGAACCCCAAGAATAGAGTTGGTAACGGCAGTTTTTGATGCCCCTAAACCCTAAACCCCTAGATTACACCCCCAAACCCTAAACCCCCCTAAACCCCGAAATCCTAAACCCTAAGCCCTAGATCCCCTAAACCCTAAACCCCTAGATTACACCCCCAAACCCTAAACCCCCCTAAACCCCGAAACCCCAAACCCTAAGCCCTAGATGACACCCCAAACCCTAAACCCCCCTTAAACCCCTAAACCCTAAGCCCCTACTTGGAGGCCCTTTTGACTTAGTAACTAGGATTAGTAATCTGGGTTATGGGGATTATAATAGGGTTTCTAGGGGATACTAAGTAGACTTACTAAGTCAAAGGCGGCCTCCAAGTACACCCTGAAAGGAAGCTGCGGGCCTCCGTCACCTCCTCGGCGACCCTCTGGAGGTCAACGTGGAACCGGGCCTGATCCAAAGGCACAAATCATGGAGTTCAGGTTCAGGTTTAGGGTTTAGGGGAAAGGATTTAGAGTTCAGGTTTGGGGTTTAGCTTCAGAGTTCAGCTTCGGGGTTCAGGGTTCAGGGAGTTCAGGTGGCTGTTCTCTTGAGGCTCTTTTCCGTGCGCTGGGCCAGCGTCTGGAAGTCAGTTCTATTTTGCGACGGCTGTTTTCCAGCTGCTTGTTAGTAGTCGCAATTCCCTTGGGTTTAGCATTTGGGGTTTACGGTTCTTACTTGCGGGTATCATGGGGAACCCGAAACACGGAACCAATTCCATGTTGGATTCGCCAGGGTGTCATTAGGGTTTAGGGTTTAGGGTAGGGGTAATATACCCCAAAACCCTACTCCAACTATTACGGCCCCTACATAACACCAACAACCACGCGCCAGCGGGCTGTTCACGCGCGCCAATTAGGAAAGAAATGCTGCAAACGTCGTCCCGGCCGAGTGTTTCGTATCTTGCACTACAGCCGCGCGGCATGCAAAAGTTCCATTTTTTCTCCATTATCGCTGCACCCTCCACGTTTTCGCTCTGTCAGAACAACCAGGCTGCATCATGCTGCACATCGCAGTAGTGCGACGGATCGCATCCCAGCAGTCCCGCATTGGAAGGGAAGCACGCCGCCGGCTTGTTTGAAGCAGCAGCTTTCTCGAGAGTGCGAGTCTGTTTAGGACGTTATCATGGTTGCCACATGGATGCTCTGCGGGAATGGATGGAGTCTGATCCGGACGTTATCATGGTTGCCACATGGATGCTCTGCGGGAATGGATGGAGTTTGATCTGGACGTTGTCATGGTTGCCACATGGATGCTCTGCGGGAACGGATGGAGTCTGATCTGGACGTTATCATGGTTGCCGCATGGGTGCTCTGCGGGAATGGATGGAGTCTGATCTGGATGTTATCATGGTTCCCACATGGATGCTTTGCGGGAATGGATGGGGTCGGATCTGGACGTTATCATGGTTACCGCATGGATGCTCTGCGGGAATGGATGGAGTCCGATCTGGACGTTACCATGGTTGCCACATGGATGCTCTGCGGGAACGGATGGAGTCTGATCTGGACGTTATCATGGTTGCCCACATGGATGCTCTGCGGGAATGGATGGAGTCTGATCTGGACGTTGTCATGGTTGCCACATGGATGCTCTGCGGGAATGGGTGGAGTCTGATCTGGACGTTATCATGGTTGCCACATGGATGCTCTGCGGGAATGGATGGAGTCTGATCTGGACGTTATCATGGTTGCCACATGGATGCTCTGCGGGAATGGATGTGGTCTGATCTGGACGTTATCAAGGTTTGCCACATGGATGCTCTTCGGGAATGGATGGAGTCTGATCTGGACGTTATCAGGGCTGCCCACATGGATGCTCTGCAGGAATGGATGGAGTCTGATCTGGACGCTATCATGGTTGGCACATGTGGACGTTATCATGGTTGGCACATGGATGGATGGAGTCTGATCTATGGGCCACCCATGGATGGTTTGGGCGACGTGGGCTGACCCCCCTCCCTCCCACCCCTTCACCCCCCCCGCCCCCCTCCCTCTCCCTGTTTCCTCTTCCCACCGCTTTCCCGATTCATTAATACCTCACACGCAATTGCCCTGGCATATGCGAGGGCTGTCGAAGATCTGTGCGGCGCTTGTACCAAGAAACTGCAAAACCCTATGATTAACTGTAACTAAGAAATATACCTTAAATGGTTCTAAGACCCTTCGTATGATTTGGAGCCCTTTGAGACCCCTGTCAAAGAACCCTATATTCCTATATTCCTGCATTAAGAGATTCCGGGTACAGTGCAGTATCATTCGGATGGCAGCCGGGCCGAGGCGGGCGGCGCGAAGCGTTTCAATTACCGGTGTGTTCGGCATATGACCCTAAGGAAACACCGTAAATACCGAGGGAAATGGCAGGTGCAAAATGTGGGTTTCAGTAGGTGCCGAATATACCGTAATTACCGATGTGTTTGCCATGCGACACCAAGGAAACACTGTAAATACCGAGTCAAAGGAAGTGCGCAATCTACGCGTGTACAGCCTGCTGGAGGGAACAACCAGAAGCAACCTGAACCCAGAACTTGAAACCCCAAAACCCCAAGCCCCACACCAAAAGAAACAAAACGAAACCCCAAACCCCAAACCCCGAGGTCGTTCTCCAACAAAAAACCGTTATAGGAACCCTCATTATTGATCCCTTTAAAGGTAAGGAAAGAACCATATTCTAAGTATTAAGGCCCCTGTATTACACCAAAGAAACGGAACCTAAACCCAGGGACGCCTCCAAGGCGGAGGTGGGGCTCGCCTAGAGGCGGACCAGCTACTGCACTGGGGCTGGTAATAATACCTTTACTATTCTGGGGCTGCTTATTATAATTGTAGCATAATGGGCCCCCAAGACCCTATTACAATTTTGGAGGCCCTTACATTACTGGGGGTGTTCGGGTTTAAGGTTTAATTAGGGCTTCTTTAAGGGATCTTGAGGATTCTATCAAGGCTTCTCTAAGGCATCTGATGGTTCTATAAGGGCTTCAGGGTTTTAGGGTGCAGGGGCACAGGTTTAGGCTTTGGTATTGTTTTTTCTGGTTCAGGGTTTGGTGTTTTCGGGCTTCGGGTGTTTAGTGCTTCGGGGTTTAGTGACCGTGCTGAGTGCTGCACTTAAGGTCTCAGGCTGTCGGGTTCTAGCAACAAAGGCTGGTGGCTTGCTTCCTTACCAGAAGAGCCGGTATCTCAAAAGGGGAGTCACGGTGTCACCTTGCGCGCATCTTGGAGTTGGAGTTTAGAATTCAGGGTCGATCGCGCTAGAGTCAGAAATTCAACTGTTTTGTTTTTGGGGTTTACTTGAAGGCAATGTGGTTATCCGAGTGTCTCTTGCATCTTTTCGAAGGCTTCGTCAGACACCACGAGGGTTTGGAGTTTTTGGATTCACCGCGTAAACTCTAAACCCTGAACCCTAAACTCTAAACCCTAAACTCTAAGCCCTGAACACTAACCCCTAAACCCTGAACCCTAAACTCTAAACTGTAAACCCTAAACTCTAAGCCCTGAACCCAGACCTTCCAAAATTCTTTAATTAAGGAATATACCTTAAGTTATAACAGGATCCCTAATGTGACTTAAGGTATATTCCTTAATTAAGGGATTTTGGAAGGTCTGGGAACACTAACCCCTAAACCCTGTGGGCCGACTCAGCATGTTTTGCAGTGTCCAAGTCGGGCCAACCCTGGACGCCAAGCGCCAAAACCCCAGTCGCTGCACCCTCAAAAGCCCTACTTGGAGGATCATGGGACTTAGTTAGTAGGGTCATAAGTGCCTTAATTGGGGTTATAAGTAGTTGTAAATATAGTTACCTTGTTTATAACCCGACTTACTAAGTCCCATGATCTTTCAAGTATAAAGCACCATGGCAAGCGATGCGCGACTTTACGGGTAGTCTTGGAGCATCGTACGCTTCCACGACCCTGGCAGCTGCAAGAATGTCGAGTCGGATCCCATGACCTGTCCCACCCCGTTCATGCTGCACTCTTCCCTGCGTGTGCTGCAACCACGCAGGCCACCTGCAGATGCAATGTGATGTCCGGCGTGGGAACTTGGTATGGGCGGGCAGGCTTCTGCCGTGTCGATGTCAAAAGCTCCATGTTCACCTTCTACTTGTTGACTGTCATTTCCGATACACACTCCGTGCGCAGCTTACTCTCCATAGAGGCATGCCGCAAGACCTCCTCTCGAAATATGGGCGGTTGTTAAAATTATGGTCCCTTTTTGGGTCCCTACTTTTGTACGGCACCTAATATTTAGGGTACCCAAAAAGAGACCCTCATTTTGATAAGTACCTATATGATGGTACCACGTTATGGAGCTCCGGATTACCCAGACCTTCCCAAAATACCTTAATTGAGGAACATACCTTAAATTATAATAGGATCCCTAATATGAATTAAGGTAGATTCCTTAATTAAGGGATTTCGGAAGGTCTGGAAAGCTCCGGATTAGGGCTCCGGGACCGGGGTGGTGAAGAGCCTGCGAGGCTGTGGGCTTTGGGATTTAAGGTCTGGGCCGGTTTAGGCGTTTTGGGTTTCAGGGTGTTTAGGGCTTTAGGGGTTTAGGGTTTAGGGGTTTAGGGTTTAGGGCCGGTTTAGGCGTTTTGGGTCTCACGGTGTTTAGGGTTTAGGGGTTTAGGGTTTAGGGGTTTAGGGTTTAGGGCCGGTTTAGGTGTTTTGGGTTTCAGGGTCTTCGGTCTTAGAATTTGTTGGTCTAGGGTTTAGGACTCTGTGGGTTGGGGTGTCAGGGTGACAGTTAATTTTAGGGGCCTTAATGACTCGAACATGGCTTTGGGGTAGATTATACTTTCGTTAAAATGAGGAACCCCCAAAATAGCAGAGCCAGACCGCCGGGAGGAACTAAAAAGTAGATCCCCTAAGTTGGGACCCTAGCTACCAAAGGGCACTTTATAGGAACCCCTTTAAGGGATCTAGCTTTTGGATCCTCCCGGGGGTCTGGGTGGCTAATTATTGACGCCCCTATATACCCGTGGAGGGTTCCGGCTCTGGCCTTGGAAAACCCAGCACCCTACTTGGAGGCCCTGTTGACTTAGTAAGTAGGGTTAGTAAGGTGGGTTATGGGGATTATAATGGGGTTTCTAGGGGATACTAAGTAGACTTACTAAGTCAACAGGGCCTCCAAGTAAAGGGTCATGTGCCAATATAGTATATGGGTGGTTGACAAAAGGGATCTCTAGGGTTCCTTTAAGGGGGTCTACAAGGGTCCTACCAGGGTGCCAGTAAAAGCTTCTATATAGGTGGTTGTCAGAATTAGGGTCTCTTTTTGGGGTACCCGAAATAATAGGTGCCGTATCATATTAAGGACACGAAAAGGGACCCTAATTTTGACAACCACTCATATAGTATATACTTAGGCCTTAAAGGGGTTCCTTAGTAGGTACTTTCACTCTCTTCTTCAACAACCGGGCCCCCAAAAGTTCAAACTTTCTAAGATAGAGCGAATATATAAGGCCAAAAAGTTTAAAGTTTCCCCGTTCACTATGTAAGTTAAGGCCTATATGGCTACATGGAGCCTTCGGGCAGAACAACTGACACCCCTTGCAAACACGAGCACAACCTGAACCTACACCCTAAACTTCCTAAACCCTAGGCCGCATAAACCGTACAAGTATGACTTTGATAGGAGACCTTTGAGGAACCCTTCAAGCCCTTTAAGAAACCATTAAACCCTAGACCGAAAAACTTAATTCCAAACCCTAAACCTTTTGAGGAACCCTTTCAATACCCCTGACCCCTTTAAGGAACCCTAAACTTTTCAAGGGAGCCCTAAACCCTAAACCCCTAAACCCTATACCCCAAAACTCTACACCCTAAACCCCTAAACCTAAACCCCCGAACCCGTAACACCCTAAACCCTATGGATCCCTTAAAGGAACCCCAAAGATCCCTTAAAGGGACCCGTTAAAGTACCTTAAAGGGACCCTTATAGTACCCTTTAAAGCAACCCTACGGTTGATGATACCAATCCTGCACTACCTTAGGACCCTAAACTATGGGAATTATGGTGTATTCCTTATTATGGATAATGCATGATTTATATCATCAACCATAGGAGCCCCCAAGCTCTGGCCTGCGGCTCTTCAGTCGCATCGGCGGCTGCGGCCTTTGCCGCACGCTCCGCGGACCTCTGAGGCTTGGTTGCTGAGTTCATAACGCACTTAAAGGAACCCTTACATAAATCCTTTAAAGGAGCCCTTATAGAGCCCTTAAAGGAACCATTATAGATCCTTTACAGGAAGCCGCATCTTAGTTGCTGAGTTCATAAGCCACCAACTTTTAGTTTTATAGTGGGTCATATTATCCCCAAAAGTGTACACTTTCAGTTCTATGGTGCGTAATATTATCCAAAAAGTCTACACTTTCAGTTTTATAGTGGGTAGTACTGTCCCCAAGAAGTGTAAAATGTATAAACCCTAAACCCTAAACCCTAAACCCCTAAACCCTAAACCCTAAACCCCTAAACCCTAAACCCCTCTGCATGGAAGGGCAGGATTCCTCTGAGGCCTGGGGTCCCCTTTCGGTTTTAGGGTTTAGAGTTTAGGGGTTTAGGGTTTAAGGGTTTAGGTTTGACGGTTTGGGGTTTAGGGTTTTGGGGTTTAGGAGTTTAACAGTTCAGGGTTTAGGGTTTAATTAGAGTCCCCGAAAGAATTTAGGGTTTAGGGGTTGAGGGTCGCCGAAAGGGTTTAGAGTTTAGGGTTTCCCAGACCCCCCGGGAGGATCTTAAAAGTAGATCCCCTAATTTGGGACCTTAGCTACTAGAGGGCACTTTATAGGAACCCCTTTAAGGGATCTACTTTTTGGATCCCTTTGGGGGGGGGGGCGTCTGGCTTAGGGGTTTACGGCTCCCTGAAAGACCTAGGGTGTTGGGGAGTTTGGGTTCCCTTGAAGGCTGAGGGTCTACGGTGTAGGCTATTGGGTTTAGGGTTTAAGGGTTTAGGGTTTAGGGCTATTTGGTTTAGGGTTTAGGGCTAAGGGTTTAGGGTTTAGGGTTTAGGGCTAAGGGTTTAGGGTTTAGGGTTTAGGGCTAAGGGTTTAGGGTTTAGGGTGTGTTGTGGTGTGCGCCTAGGTTCAACGCTCTCGCCCTACCCGCCCACCCAGTCTATGACCTTTGTCGGGTTTAGGGTTTTTTTCAAGGTTTGTGGCTTGGTCTGGCGGTGGCCCAAAATCAGCAGGGCAGCAGGGCAGAGCAGGCAGGGCAGGGCAGGGAGAGCAGGAGGGCAGGGCAGGCAGGGCAGAGAGGGCAGGGCAGGGAAGGGCAGGGCAGGGCAGGGCAGGCAGGGCAGGCAGGGCAGTCCAGGGCGGCCAGGGCCAGGCAGGGGTCGGCAGGCAGGGCCAAACCAGGGCCAGCCGGGCCAGGCAGGCCCAGGCCAGGGCCAAGGGATGGGGCGTTCCGAGGTTGGAGGTTTGGGGTCATTATTATCTGATTGGCTAGCATGCCTGTCGCATGCGCCAGCACCTGAGCCGGTGCTGGGGCTCCTCCGCTGCGCCTGTCGCGCCAGCTCCGGAGCCAGCCTCACTGACGCTTCGGCACGCTCGCTGCTGGCATTCGCAGCGCCCGCAGCTCGCTTCAGTTTAGGGTTTAGGGCTAAGGGTTTAGGGTTTAGGGTTTAGGGCTAAGGGTTTAGGGTTTAGGGTTTAGGGTTTAGGGTTTACTTGGAGGGTCGGGGGACTTAGTAAGTAGGTAGTAAGTAGACTTATAAGTACCCTAAAAGGGACCCTAATTGGGGTTATGGTACTTATAAGTCCCTAAAATAACCAGTTACTAAGTCCCCCGACCCTCCAAGTAGGCTATTGGGTATGGTTCCTTTGCAAGTCCCTTGAGGGTTCTTTTAAGGGTTCTGTAAAGGGGCCGACCGGGGCTGGGTCGTGGCGATATGCTTGGTTCCATCAAGTCTCTGGCCCTTGCCGACGATCAATGTATGCGCTCTATCTATATACCTGTATATGTGTGTATTTATCCATCCATCCATCCATCCATCCATCCATCCGTCCGTACATCCATCCATCCTAGAGAGAAGCAGAGCTCAGAGCTATGCATTAAGATCCCCTTAGAGAGCGGTTATACCCAATGCCAGGTAGAGTTTTCAATATCAAAACAAACACGGAAATCCTGCATCCTTCACCCCCAAAAGCCTAACCCTAAACCCTAAACCCCTAAACCCTAAACCGAATCAGACGAAAGCTACCTGAAAGCCATGTTGAACTTCAGCCCTGAACCCAAGACCGCTGGACCACGACAAAAACAACAAACACAAATAAGCCTTACCCAAAAGCCCAAAAGTAGTTCCTTTTCGGGAGTACCCTATAGATTTTATAGATGAGCCCCAAACAGGAACTACTTTGGGGCCTCTGGGTAGCCTCACATCGCGGCGCAAGGCTACTGAAACAACAAGTCTATACAACCAAGCCAAGAATGAATCCGTAAATTCAAACTGTCAACCAATGCAAAACCGTCAACCCTAAACCCTAAAGCATGCCGACACACCTTCCTCGCAGGCCAGGCCAGTCCTGACGACAAGCAACCCTCGACCCGACTGCTTAAGCCCTAAGTCTCAAACCCAAAACTCTATACCCCAGATTCCCAGATCCTTAACCCTAAACCCAAACCGCCAAATCCTAAGCCCGAAGCTCAAAACCCAAAACCCGACATCCTGAATCCGAAAAAATGTTAGAGTTTGTTTGTTGGAGGCATGGGAGTGTTCTTGCAAGGGTTCTTTTGAGGGTTCCTATGCTGGGGTTCCATACGTTCCTATAGCAGTTCCATGAGGCTTCTGGAAACATTTAGTTCCTTATTTCCACGGCTTGAGAGTTGGGGGCTTTCCGGCCGCAGGGCTCTTGGGGCTTTGGCCGGCGACGTCTTGACATTTCAGCTTCGTGGGGAGGTCTTTCAAGGTTCTTCATCATCATTATCATCATGAACCATGACCATTGTCAGCCATCATCATGATCACAACCACCACCCGTCACCGACACGAGAATCGCTATCTTGCGAGCTCAGAAAAGCCTTCGAGGGCTTGGAAGCTTTGGGAGTTAGAGTTTCTTCAAATCGCTTTGCTGATCAGATGTACCCTGTAAACCCTAAACCCTGTACCCTCAACCCGGCGGCTTCCGTTCATGTGTCCTTGGCTTTCTCGACCGGTCTACCGCGGATGTTCAGCGGCACACTACCTGGAGGTGTTACCGACTCTGCTCAGGGAACGACTTGGCTGATGACGCGACTTCGTCATTACGCAGGATATAGATTCGAAGGCTGAGATCGCCATACCTAGAGGGTCATACCCTACCCCTTCTTTAGGATACCTAGTTTTATGGTTAGGATCTGTTATATAGAAGATTAGGTGCCTTAAAACGGGGGAGGGTATGAGCCTCTAGGTGGTCTGGGTCTTCACTACTGATAGTAAATGATAGTAACCTTACTTGTAAGAAACTTGTACTTGCTGTCTCCCAAGGGATCGGACTTCTTCTTCTTCTTCTGGAAGACCGGGCAGTCCAGTTTCGGTTGGAAGTGTCCGGCAGATCGGGTAAATTCGGTTTTAAGGTTTAGGGCAATAGCCTTTGTTAGCCCGAAGACCGAATGCTTGGCCCCCTTAAGGCCTCTGTGTTGTGGCGCTGGGTTCTATCTGAGTCTGTGTCTCTGTGTGCATGACAGTGTATGTGCACACGTGTGTATGTGTGTGTGTGCGCGTGTGTGTGCGTGCGCTCATGTATGGATGTATATCTGGCAGACACCACTGTAGACCTAATACAACGTCGCAATTATTTCCGAAACCCGCGACTCATTCTGGAAAACTGTGCACCTGGCTTCGTGCTTGGAGGATCAGGGAACTTGTTAAGCAGAGTATAACCCCAAGCAGACAGCACTTTTCAAACAGTTCCTACACCACTGCTTGAGCATTGTTTTCGGCTTCTCTTTCGGGGGCGCCTTTTTGCAAGCACGGACCGCCAAAAGCATATACACACCCTTTTTATGTAGGCCAAGGAAGTACGGTAAGCCAGAAAATTCATGGCGGGGTGGGTTCTTACCCTCAACCCCGATTCCTAAACCCCACCCCTAAACCCTAAAACACCCTAAGCCCTAAACCCTTAAAGACCTACAGTAAACCCCATAAAGTTGGAAGCCGGATTAAGGCCAAATAGTGCTGGGGTTCCCTATACATTATTTTTAAGGATTGAGGCTATTGGGTTTCCAACTTTTCGGCTTCTACTGTAAAACCATAGCTCAGCTTCGGACCTGCTCTGATTCGGCCTGGGGGATGTGTCAGGCTCCGGGCTTCTGTGGCATCGGGCTTCATTGTTCGTTGTTGTTTGTTCATGGTGCGGTTTAGCGTTTAAGGTTTAGTTTACGTTCAGGATTTAGGGTTTAGTTTTTTAAGTTTAGGGCTTAGTCACGCTTAGATTTGATGACGTCTGCAGAGGGTTTAGGGCTTCTAGGTTAGAGACGTTGGATCTTTGTAGGGGGTTGGGTGGGCTGGGAGGTTTTGCCTGAGGGTCCGTGTGCCTATGCGGTAGAAACCCCACGAAGGCCAAAACATAGAGTACATAGGGACGGGGACCCATAGGGTATGTAAGGGTTTAGGGGCTGAGGCCTTAGGGTTAACGGGGTAATTAGCATAAACTAACAAGGTCAATCACTGCGCGAGGCTCAACTGACAGCAGGTTGTGTTTCTGGATGTGTGGCGGCAACTCCTACTCCACCCCAAGCAACCACCATCTGGTGGATCTCGGCCACATTCAGGGGATCACACCCTTAAACTTAAAGCATACATTCAACAAATATGTAAAGGATTCTGCGGTCATTCGTGTCGTGTAGACAGGCGACGAAGTGTTTTGCCTATCCCCCCAGAGAGCCCAATATCCCTTAATGAAGGAGTGTGGCTTAAATCATAGAGGCCCAGACCTTCCAAAATCCTTTAATTAAGAAATATACCTTAATTCATATTAGGAATCCTATTATCATTTAAAGTTTTTTCTTTAATTAAGGGATTTTGGAAGGTCTGGGGGGCTTCATATTATGATTTAAGCTATATTCCTGAATTAAGGGGTATTGGGCTCTCTTGGCCAGGAAGTGTCCTTCCGGCCCGAAATACGACGTGTTCTCCTCGCGACCTCGCGCTTGCCAATAGTGGAGGTCTCGAGAACCGGGTGGCTTGGATCTACCCAGAGGCTCCATAGTAGTTCCTTTTTGGGATTACTTTGTAGGATTCTATATATGAACCCCAAACAGGAACTACTTTGGAGCCTTAGGGTAGTTAGATTCGCGTACACCCTATAACACCCTCTAAGGCCCGCAGAACCCTGCAAAACCCTACAGAGCCCCCCTATAAATACCGTGCAGATCCCTTGCAGGAGCCTGTAAAGGAACCCTGTAAAAACCTTACAAAACACCCAACCCAGAGACTCCAATATTCCTTAATTAGGGAATATACCTTAAATCATATAAGGGATCCTACCATAATTTAAGGAATATTCCCCTAATTAAGGGATATTGGAGTCTCTGGGAAAAGAAATCGTTGAAACTCCGGCGCCTGCGAGCTTCGGCCTGCTTGACCGGTAAGCGAAGCCCGTGGTCAACGCCGGCAGCGAGGAGATCTCGCCGAGGTGTTTTAAGGCTTTAATAAGGTTTGCTTTATGAGGTTGAGGCTTTAGGGATCTCGGGTTTAGGGCTTCAGGTTTTGATGCGGGTCCTCTGGGGTTTAGACGGTTTAAGGTTGAGGGTTTAGGTGGTTGACGGCTTTTCGGGAGGCTTTAATCTGGGCTTAAGGTTGAGGGTATCCTAAAAGTTTACGGGTTCCGATGGGGATTTGTGGGTTTGTAGAGTACCCAGAGGCTCCATAGTAGTTCCTTTTTGGGATTACTTTGTAGGATTCTATATATGAACCCCAAAAAGGAACTACTTTGGAGCCTTAGGGTAGGTCTCGAGATGTCACCTAAACCCTAAACCCTAAACCCTAAACCGTAAGGGTCTTCCAAGGGGCTTTGAGGTTGAAAGGGCCGGGGCTTAGACTCACAAAGTTAACCTAATATCAAAGGGGAAAGGAGGGACCCTTAATGGCGACCCCTCCCAAAAAAAAGGGCTATATAATAGCCATATTAAGGGTACATACTTATATACCTAGGGTTCCTCATTAAGGGTCGCTCCTTTTACCCTTGGATAACATTGAGACAAGCTCAGCAACTTCGAGAGGCAGTGTCTCAGGCAATTGTGTTTCAATAGCTCTGTTCATTCTCCTTGCCCGGGCAGGTAGCGATCATGTCCTCGTAGGAGGTGTACGAGGATGTCGGCACCTTCGCCTAAAAAACTTCAGAAGTATCCAAACCTTGCAGCTCGATGTAGAATGCCTCAATCCAGCCACTGTGTTTCATCTTCGACCTAGGCTTGGCGAACCCTCCCTTTGAGGTCAAAAAAAGCTGCTTCTGCGACCGGAGGAGATGGTGGTTGTAGCTATCGCATGCTTCCTGAGAGGATGGGTCAAAGGGAACTCAGGCGGCAGGAGCCCCGAAGAGTGCACAGACATGCCTGTGCCAGACACTCGCAAACGAGCATCCAGAATTGTAGCATAACTTGCGATATGCGCTTCAAAGAAGATGAAGCTTGCAGCAAGGAGTCTTTCCACTACTGCCCGCGAGAGACCCGCCGCCGATGACGGCATCCATTGCTGCGGAGCTGTCGAGCGTCCGCTGGCTCCCGGTCTCCGACGCACCATTAGCCGACTAGGGTTTATAGGGGTCATAAGGGCTTAGTGCCCTCTCTCTCTCTCTCGCTCTCTAACTCTCTCTCTCTCTCTCTCTCTCTCTCTCTCTCTCTCTCTCTCTCTCTCTCTCTTAAAAGGGATTCTCTAGGTTTATACAAGAGGTCTCGGGGCCTTGGGGTGTTAGTAAGGGTATCTTAGGGGTTTAGGGGTTCCAAGATGGGCTCATTGGAGCTCTACGAGTTTCCCAGAGAGCCCAATACCCTCAATTAAGGAATACCTAGGGTTCCTTTAAGGGATCTATCAGGGATCTATAGGGTTTAGGGTTTAGGGCTCCAATACCCCTTAATTAAGGAATATGGCTTATAAAATCATAATATGAAGCCCTATATAATTTAAGCCATATTCCTTATAATTAAGGGGTATTGGGCTCTCTGGGTTGATCCCGTTTGCCAGGAGAGTTTTAGGCATTCCACAAGGGGTGTTATGGGTTGTATAGTCATGCGAAGGTTGTAGTACCTGTTTATGGGGCAGAATCGGGTGTTACAGACATTTTTAGTTATGTTTCACATGGTGTATAGAATGTTGTATAGGGTTTTAAGGTTTGAGGAGGTTAACAGGCTCATATTTACGGAAGCTCGACAGAGACCTATAAAGGTTTATACGTTGTTGTGTTTAGGATTTAACGTGCCGTCGTAGGGTTCTTTTGTGTTTCTATACTTGCAGGCGTTCTAAGGCTGTCTTATAACACTGCCGCCACTACCTCCACCATTATTCAGATAGACCTGAACCCAACACATAACAAACAAGCATGAAGCTCTTAGAACCCCACAGCCATCTAACGTAGGAACCGATTAAGAAACCCTGGCCATATAACACCAAAATAGTAGGGTTCATACAAGGAACCCTAATAAAGACCCAAGGCTTCTGAATCAGGTGCCCATACTAGGCCCCAGCCCAAAACCCAAACCCCTAAAGCCTAAACAAACTTCGACCATCTTCCACCCTTAGCCCTAAAACACTACCTTAACCTACCGGAGCCTACTTTTTTGTAGGGTCCCTATGTCTTCCATATTCGGGTTTATAAGAAGAAGCTACAAAAAGGTAGATTTTTGTGGGCTAAGGTACTTATGCGTTTCGCTTGTTTTTTTGGCAGTGTTTGGCCGTTCCTGGCCTTCCGCGGCACCTGAGGCCGAACCTTTGGTCATTCACGGAGCTTCTGTAGTGTGTTCGAAGAGCTAGGGGTAACAGTGAATACTCTGCAAATCGAATGGTTCTCTATAGGTAGCTTGGGCAGCGTGAAGAAGGTTTGCACAAAGAAGAGCTTTGGTGTAATCAGGTTGCGACTTGGGGAATGGGGTATTTTGGGGTTCAGGGTTTTGGTTGGATGGGTAAAAACCTTAGTCCTACATGCGCTGCACCCGAACAAACCTTGGAACTGCACAAATCTGAGGTGCGAGGTGCTTTCATGGCACTGTAGGGTTCGGGGCTCACGGTTGCGGGCTGTGGGGTCGAGGTTTGTTTAGGCTCATGACTGAGCCGAAATACTCAGCCACGTGCCTCATGGCAAAGAGCAAGTCCAAAATCCGCAGGTTTGGGGTTCTGGTAACTATATGGGTGGTTGTCAATACTAGGGTCCCTTTTTGGGTCCTTATTAGAATACTGCACCTAATATTTAGGGTACCCAGAAGGGAACCCTAATTTTGACAACCACCCAGGTTTAGCGCCTAGGACGTCTACGGTATACCGTGTTAGAGCTGAAAGCTGCTGAGCCTTGTAGCTTTCTAGGATGCCCAGTAACCTAGGAATAAAACGGACTCCCCTTTTTGGTATTGGGTAACTTCATAAGCAACCCAGGATTACAACAAGGGAAGAAGGGCATCCTAGAAACCCTCCCTAAACCCTAGACTCCTAAACCCTAAACCCCTAAAACCATAAACTATGGTGGTCGGCCCTAAACCCTATAAAACCTATAAGCCCTAGGCCCTAAACTTTGGTGTGCTTGCGGGGTTTAGGGCATGAGGATGTTGCCAGGATCTTGAAGCTCCGAGGTTCCGGGCCTGAAAAGCGAAAAACTTCGTTCTTGTGAGGGTTTAGGCTTACCTTAACCCCGAAGAACCTACATTTTTAAGGACTTACTTATGTAAAAAATCATAATAAGGGACCCTAAAAAGGTAGGTTGTTCAGGGTGAAGGTAGGGTTTGGGATTTAGAGCTCAGCTTTCTTTACGCTCCCCTTCAGGGGTTGAAGGGTTTAGGAAGAGAGGGTTTCTAGGATTCGGCTTGGGTTATAGAACTTGATAGCACCTGCATATGAACATACCCTGTAAAAGGGGCTACCTCGGAAGCCCAAAGCCCTAATGATACTTCACCCAATCCCTTACAGTAATCCTGTTTAGTCACCCTTCCGTATCTCATATAGTACCTTTCATGATACCCCTAGCACCCCATATAGCAATCATCTGCGTACTCCTCATAGTAGCCATCCCAGTCCTTACTTGGAGAATCATGGGACTTCGCATGTACGGTCACACTAAGGTAACTCTATTCAGACTTATACTTATAACCCCACTGAAAACACTTAAAACGTTACGTACTAAGTCCCATAATCCAAGTAATTCATACCTATAACTTTCCCTAAGGGTCCATGTGCTCATACAGTATAGTATATACATTGGCCTTAATGTAGTCACATGTAGTCCCTATATAGGTACTTTGGGGCTCATGTATCTCTATATAAGTACATGGACCCTTTTGGCTTGTCAACCCTCGACCCTAAACCCCAAAGGCCCCCTAAGAACCCCAAATCATCGAAGGCACCACCAGACGAGGCTCGCCGGTGGTGGGCAGGGGCCAGCGACGCCTACAGTAGAAGCCCAAAAGTTGGAAACCCAATAGCCTCAATCCTTAAGAGTTTTGTATAGGGAAACCCAGCACTATATGATGGCCTTAACCCGCTTTCCAATTTTATGGGGTTTACTGTAGTGGCTTGGCGCTGCGCGTCGGATCGGTGGTTCGATAGACACAGACATAGAAAGATAGATGGGTACCCAAAGGATCATGGGACTTAGGAGGTAGTGTTATAAATAAGGTAACTATACTTATATGTACTTATACCCCCAATTGAGGTACTTATAACCTTACTTACTAAGTCCCATGATCCTCCAAGTAGTGGCTTGCCGCTGCTAGGCGTCGGATCGCTGGCTCGATACCCAAAGGCCCCAACGTAGTTCCTTTTTGGGGGGCTCTTATATAAAATCCTATGGGGTGCTCCCAAAAAGGAATTACATTGGAGCCTCTGGGTAGACGCAGACATAGAAAGATAGATGGATAGTAGGTTACATAAGTAGCATAGGTAGATAGATAGTTAGATAGATGCATAAGATGGACAAGGGGATAGATGGGTAGTTAGCTAGACAGGTAGGTAAGTAGATAGATGGAAGTTACTGGTCACAAAACGGATCCCGAAGGGTAAACGTTTCGAATATTCAATCTGCGCGACTATGCGCCGTCGTCCGAGTCTAAAGGTGAACAAATATGGCCGAAAGTCGTAACTCCAGCTTAATCGGAGTCCATTGCACAGATCAGGTGGATCATGGAGTTCGTTGTTCTGGGTTTTCGGATTTGAGGCTAGTGCTCCTACGGAGTTCAGGGGCTGTGGGTTCATGAGTCTATGAGCTTTAACCCTAAGGCTCAAAATGGCCCAAAAGCCTTATATAATATGGTCTTTAGGCCCAAAAGCCTTAAGATATGAGTCCTTAGAGCCTTCGGGAAAAAGCCTAGAAGTTAGGGGTAAAAGGTTGCAGGACCAACAAAGCTTCGCGTCTAGAACATGACCTAGGGGGGGGGCAATAATGACTCTAATTACTCTCACCCCAACCCCGATAACACAAACTATCTATTCCTTTCCAATCCGGCACCCCTTAAGCCTGACCCTAAACCCTAAGACCCTAAAACCCTACACTCTAAACCCTAAAGCCCCAAACTCTAATCCCTAAAACCCTAGACTACGTTAAGCCGAAGAGGGAGAGAGAGGAAGACTCTGGGGTCTCTGGCATGCCGACGAAGGCATCCGAGCTGGGCGCGGAATGAAGCTTCCTGCCCCCGCCGGGAGGTGGGGGTGGGCGTGGGGAGGGGGTAGGGGTTCTAGGGCTTGTAGGGTTTAGGGTTTGCGGTTTAATGGGTTTTTAGGGTTTAGGGGGTTTAGGGTGCAGGGGTTAGGATTGGCTAAGATGTTTTTTGTGAGGGGGCTCCTTTGCGATCCGCAGACTACGTCTCAAAAGCCGCGTAGGTAGCTTGGGATTTAGGGCTTAGCATTTGGGGGATAGGGTTTGAGGTTTAGGGGTTAGGGCTCAAAGTTTAGGGTTGGGGGCGAACGGAACATACATGTCGCATCATGAACAACTGCGGAGACATGTAGATGGGCAGAAACAGTAGACCACTGTTATTTGCCAATTGCCAAACTAATTCGACCTGCTACTGCCAGAATCTCGGCTGCTAACAAACCAGGAAAATTCTGAAGTTTGTGGTTGTTCGCAAAGCATCGTTGCGTAGAGTTTCAACACTAAGATTTTGCTTCTGCCCAGTATCGATGTAATCTCTACTCTACTGATTAGGAACGCTGCGTTCTACTTCTATAAACCTACCTATAGAACCCCCACTCCCCCCGAACTACCCTCTAATTTACCCTAAATATACCACTATTAAGGACAATAAGGGATATACCAAAGGGCACTTGCCAGAGGCTCCAATATCCCTTAATTGCGGATTTTTTTTAAATCATATTAGGCATCCTACTATAAGTTCAGGTAGAATCCGTAATTAAATCATATTGGAGTCTCTGGGCATGACCTTCATTGGGATGCAAGCTATCAGGTCACCTCCGAAATGCTATTACCGTCCGCGTGGATCGCCAGTCAAAGCCCAGAACAGATATCGGGAGAGCTTTAAATTCAAAGGGCTTCGGGTCTAGGGGTTTAGGGTTTAGGGGAAAACACTACAGGCTACGATAAACATCGCAAAGCAGCTAAGGCCCGCAAAGTTGTAGCTCCAGACAAGCCCTATGAGCCCTAACTCCTGAAGCCTACCCTGGACTTTGAACCCTAAGGACCCATGTACCTAAATAGTAAATACTTAGGCTTTGAAGTAGTCCCTGTCTATCTACTTTTCGGGCCAACCTATTAACTTTTTGGGTACATAGATCCTTTAGGTAAGTAACCAGAAAGAAACAAGAACAAACTTGTATGTCCATACCGTTTCCTTCGAGGAACAGGCACCAGCAGTGCATTCAAGTATGGTGCTCTAGAACCCTTACAGATCCTTTATAGGAACCTATATATAAATCCCTTACAGGATCCTATATAGATCCCTTAAAGGAACCCTTCTAGATCCCTTAGAGGTAACTCCTAAACCCTAAACCCTGAACCTAAACCCTCCTGGACACTAAGCCCTTCTAAATCCGTGAAAGGAACCCTTCTCGATCCCTTGAAGGGACTCTTCTAGATCCCTTAGAGTTACCCAGACCTTCCAAAATCCCTTAATTAAGGAATATACCGCAAATTATAATAGGATCCCTAGTATGAATTAAGGTATATTATATATTCCTTAATTAAGGGATTTTGGAGGGTCTGGGTTCTAGATCCCTTAGAGTTACCTCACCTGATCCCAAACCCCAGCGCCTTGCAGGCCTTTGGTGCCGCGGCCCCGCGCCAGCGCCGGGCGCTGGCAAAAGCTCGGAGATTGCCCTGGGAATAGGATTTAGGGTTAGGGTTTAGGGTTTATTTAGGGTTTAGGTTTAGGGTTTAGGGTTTTGACGTCGCGCACTGCCGGCTCGCCCGTGAGATGTTCGTCGAGGGGATGAAGCAGCGCGCGGCAAACGGGATAAGGGGTTAGGGTTTGGGGGTTTGGGGTTCAGAAATTTAGGGTTTGAGGGGGGCAGATTTTACCTGAAACTACCAGTACCTACTTTTTTGTAGGGTCCCGAGCGCCTACAAAAGAGCAGGGTTTAGGGGTTTAAGGTCGGGCTTAGCGTTAATAGGGGTAGGGGTAAAACCTACCCATTTAAAGGCTTATGGCTTATGTAAGGAACTCATATCAACGAACATTAGAAAGGCAGGTTTCGTAGCGTCCAGGTAGGTTTGGAGGTTTAAGGGTTTCGGACGTCTTAAGTCTTTCTGCTGTTGCTTGTTTGAATACTATTTTCCTCTGGTGGGTAATGGGGGCTGCATACTTCAAAATGAAGCCAAATCCTCAAGCTTGCCCAGGCCTGCCCAGATCCTAAACATTCCTTCAGCCTCATTTCTCCCCAAGCCCTAAACCCTAAACAGCCCACAATATCTGAATTGAACTGATACAGGGGCCTTAATAATTACCAAGACTATTTTGGAGGGTTCCTTATTATAGATATAGTACCACATACCTCAAAACCCCATTCTGATCATTAAGGCCCCTACATTGCGCACTTCCCCACATTTGCCCCTGCACTCTCAGGAACCCACGCACTGAGAGGAGCTGCGACGACCTCGATGAGTCTGTGCTTTGGGGGGCTTAAAGGGAACTCCAGAAAGTTGGAATATGGTTTCAGGGTAGGACCCCCTATAATTTACCATAAAGGGTTTAGGATAATCATATTCCAACTTTCTGGCTTTTACTGTAAGGTTTAGGGCTGTCTCTGCTTTTGGAGGGTCGGCGCCTGCACTTAGAGAACCATCATGACGAATGTACTTTCTCAACTACAGAAAGAATCTTGCTATGGTCTAGGGTACGTTCCTCAAATGGTGTTGTTTTCGGGTTTCTTGTGCTTTTGGGCTTAGCGGGTGGAGGCTGTGGCTCTCAGCCTTAACTTGCGCCGAAACCTCAACCTATATCCTCAATGCAATATGTAGGCTATTAAACCCACACCCTACCCCGCAACCTTAAAGTGACCGCATCTGCCGGATATCTTTAATCTGCCCGAGCCTCCACGGGTAAAGTGTGAGAGCCTGGGTGAAATCTGACCGACCGTCAACGTCACCATAATCCCAAAGGCTCCATGTACCTATATAGTAGATACTTATGCCTTAAAGGGGTCCCTATATAGGTACTTTAAGGCCTAAGTATATACTTAGTATATATGGGTACATGGAGCCTGAGGGAATGGAAGGGCCCGATGAGCGATGTCATGGCTTAAAACATTCAGAATAATGCTTATAGGGTCTCCTATATGTCAGCATCCTTTATCATAATCCTCTGTCTTACATACGGCGTGTCGACAATCGCTAACCCTAAACCCCACCCTAAGGCTCCAAAGTAGTTCCTTTTTGGGGCTCATATATAGAATCCTATAAGATAATCCCAAAAAGGAACTGCTATGAAGCCTCTGGGTAACTAGAAAGTGTGAGATCTCAAGGTACAGATTGCTGGACTTTGGGCTGGCGATCATATTTGGCACGGGGCCGCTTCCAACAGCCCAACTTCGGGCGGTTTAGGGTTTAGGGGTTTAGGGTTTAGGGGTTTAAGGGTTTAGGGTTTAGGGATTGCAACCACGGCACATGAAGCACGGAAAGTACCGAAACCTGTGACCAGCTTGGAACTTCCAAGGGCCGCACCACGTAAGAATCAGATACATCTGCAGGTACTCAGCGGAATACAGGGCTTAGGATTTGGGTTTAGGGCTAAGCCCAAACCACACTACCTCGTTCTCGGATACTTGCGACTTGAGTCCTTAAACCTAAATCCGCAACCCTTAGTAAATTAGGGTTTAGGGTTTAGGGTTTAGGGTTTAGGGTTTAGGGTTTAGGGTTTAGGGTTTAGGAACACTAAGCCCCATGGCCCTTCGTCCCCAACGCAAAAGCCTATACCCTCATACCGCAAAGCCTTGCAACCATGCGAGATTCTAAGAGCGGAGCCATGGTCGCAAATCATCCGAAACAGGCCAGCTGCATTACTAAAGGCTTTGCCTTTAGGGCTTGGGTTGAGGGTTTTGGGTTTATGGCTTCGGGCTCGGGTTTTGCCTGGTTGAGGGTTTACCTTCGCCCTTTCACTTAGGGAATTGGTGTCTGAGCGTTGGCTGCCTGGGGTCGAGGTCTAGCCGCCTTGAAGCTTAAAGATGCAGCCGGGTTTAAGGTTTGGCCTATCCCAGAAGATTGCGGCGTGGAACTCACAGGACTTGCCTGTGTGGCTTTGTCTTCCATCGTCGATGCACAGTTTGTTGGCGCGAGGCTTGAGCATTAGAGACTGGGGTTATGCGTTTTCGGCTTCATCGCCTCACCCTACAGCTTGTTCTACTTGGCGCTTGGTCTTTCTTTCGGTTGCCACGAATGGCCATGAAGCTTCCTAGCTTGGGCCAGAATGCACGGCCGCGGTCACTAATGCTGATGAGGCAGAGCTGCGCTGAGAACAGAATACAACATCCAAATTAGGGCCGGGACCCAGTACTGCTATAAAAATACATACTTAACTCTGATATTGGGGCTGGTATTCGAATAGCCACAAAGGACCTTCCTGCAAGCAGTTGTGTCCAAGCTACCGTGTGCAACGGACGAAGAGGGTTAGAGTGCGGTTAGAGCAGAGAAAATGCAAGTGAAATGCACCAGACCAACAGGGGGATTGGATTCAGTATATCAGGGCTTGTCCAACAGATACTCTATGACCCTAAACTCCAAGAACCCTAAACCCAAAACCCTGAACTCTCAACCCAAAACTCAAAACCAGCACATTTTTTGTTGAGGGGGGGTTCTGGGGACGGGGAGTCCCACTTCCAGGGATCCTTGCAATCAGGATCATGCGAAGGATCTGCATCAGAAACCCTATGTAGCCTATGTAAACCCCAAAACCTAAACCCCAAACGCCTGAAGATGAAGAGCTACAAACATGGCTGGGCTATCTCCCCACCCCCTCCCTTCACCCCACAACATTAAACAGCAACACAAACAAACCCTCCTCCCAATCCCTCCTGGCAGGGTGTGGGTGGGCACCTGCATCGCTACCAAGCAGCAGCCCCCAAAGCAAAACACTGCAGCCAAGCCGGAGAGAGGCCTCTCTCTGTTCTGAAAGGCTGCTTCGGAGATGTTAAGGTTTAGGGCTAGGGGGCTCTAGCGGGGATACAAGGTGTTTGTATTTAGGGTCTCGGGTTTCGGGGATTAGAATTTAAGCGTTTAGGATTTATAAAGGTTTTCGGGATCCTTCTCGTCTTGGACTCACGGTTCTTACGAACAACAAAACTGAAATACGAATGCCGTGCTCGATTTAAGGTTTCGTTTCAAGGCTGCTACATGACAACGTTGCTGTATACAGCATGCATGCATCTTCTGCGGGATGTTACAGTGTTGGAATGGGCATTCCTCTCCCTAAGCCCGAAACCCAAACCCTCATAAGGACCCTATATAGGGCTCCAAAAAAGCACAGAAGCTAAAATGAGGATAGGGATAACCCGTATAAACCCCCTTATAATGAAGCACAATAAGGTCGGGATATCCCTCTATGCTTATGTGCTTTTTTGGGTCCCTAACCCTGAACCCTACTCCCCTCAACCCAAAATACACGCACCCTTACTAGGACCCTAGCTCTGTTTCGGGCTCCGTCACATCTTGGATTCGAGGTTCCCTGAGCCTACGATACTTGGAGGATCATGGGACTTAGTAAGTAAGGTTATAAGTACCTTAATTGGGATTAGAAGTAGCCATAAGTATAGTTACCTTATTTATAACCTTACTTGCTAAGTCCAAGTAGACCCTAAACCCTAAACCCTGTAGATCAGGCGTTTGGCTTAAGGGTTTGAGTAGCAGTTTCTCTTCGGAGTCCTACTCGCCGCCCTTTCGCTGAGACCCACGCGTGGCGCAACCGCAGCCCGCTTCAGGGGCGAGTGCAGGCGCACCCCCTTCGACACCCTACTGCGCTTTTAGGGAGTGGCGCCCCTTTTTTCTGCGCTTACTGTGGGAGTAGCGCCCCAGATCATCGCATGCGAATTTGGCTTCTGGTGCTAAGCTTTGTCTACCCAGACGGCCTATTCCAACATATCCTCCAGGAGGGAGGACGAGCCAGCTTGGCACCGGAGGCTCCGGCGCAAGCGTACCAGAGCCCGCACAGTGCTACGTACAGCGAGTGCGGATTGGAGGCCGCCTACCGAGGAGACGGTCATCCAAGCTCAAGCCCTCCTTCGAGCCCATCATTCCTCCGAGATGAACAATGCCGGCTGGAGATGTGGCTACTGCCGCCTACACAACAGGGCGACAGCCAATTTCTGCTCTTCCTGCGGCAGACACTGGCAGGAAGCATGGGAGAGGCAGCAACCGAAGACCACCTACACGGGCGATGCAGTGCCCAAATCACCGCGACGGCCCAAGTCTCCGAGGAGCCGGCACAGGGGTGGCAAGCCAACTGGGAACACACAGCAACCCGCTGGCAAAGGCAAAGGGGGTCATGGTGCGAAGGGAGGTCAGGACAGTCGGCCCCAACATGGAGTGCCGGACCTCAACCAGCTTCCGACAGCACCACGACCAGCAGTACCAGCGCCCCCTCGGACACCAGCCGAGACGACGACAGCGCCTATCTCCGAGGAGCGGCGCGTCTTGGAGTCTCTAGTGGCTCAGCTGACTGCTTCAAGTACGGAGCTTTCACCGGAAGTCGAGAGCCTGGTGCAACAATATCGGTCAGACAGTCACAAGTTACAGGGCAAACAACTACATCAATTAGTTGCTCGCCAAACTCAAGCTCGACGCGAACTGGCCAAAGCCTCCACGGAACGGGCAAACTTCGAGCGTGGCTGGAACGACTACCTGGACCGAGTGGTACAGCTTCTCCAACAGCAGATGGAAGAGAAGCAAAAGGCCATGGACGCCTTCACCGAGACGGAGGAGGCCTGGGCAGCTCAGCTGCACGAGGCTACTTCGCAGCTCGCGGCCTCCACAGGTGCCACGCATTCGCAGCCCACGTCTGCGATGGACCTCGACCAGGAGGATGCCCAGGTGGACGAAGCCATCGAGCAAGAGAATGCTGCCAGACACTCACAGGAGGCGGCAGCAGAAAGGTTTCAAGCACTGCTGTCTACCCTGTCCAACGCCAAGGCACAGGCCGCCCGCAGAGCGGATCGTGGTGGCTCCAGGACGCCCAGAAGGAAAAAGGGCGGCCAGCAGATCGACTCCAGCCCCGAACCCGAGGACAGTCGTGGTGGCAAGGGTGGAGCGGGCGATGGGTCTACGGACTCACAGTCTGCTGGAGCTGGCAAGCAGCCAGCCAAGATGGAGGCGAAGCCGCCCCCTATCTAGGCCCCTGTGATAGCTTGATGAGTGCACAGGGGCCTGATCTTCAGGCAAGACCATGGGGTCTTTCGATCGTGCAGCAGCCAGATTTTGTCTGAATACCCCTGGCTCAGCTGCTTGCTCTTCAACAAGAGTTCGCCGTACACACTGGCCACGAGATGTTCGAGATTTTGACCGATCCGCGACTTGAGGCCGCGCTGCCGACCACACCTCAGTGTTACTGGTCACACAACGACTTGGCATGGGGCGAAGTGTGTCCTTCGGATAGCCCCAGCAAGACGGAGGGCGACAATTTCCGGTTTCCTTCTCTGCGCATGGGTGGGCGAGAAGTTGAGACTGACGTATTGTCGCCTTCGGTTAAGCAGGGCTTTTTCGAGGGCTCACTGCCCCGATCCTCTGATGCGGCTTTGTACAGCATCGGTGTACAGGATCCAGGTAGGGCGTTTATACAGCCGAGCCGGAGCTCCTTCCACTCTCTGCCGCACCGCCTCCCTCTGAGGGTTTGCTTTGCCCCTTCATGGCGAACCCATTGCAACCACTGGTTCCGGGGATTTTCCCCCATCCAGCCTCCGAGTTGCCCTCTGTCGCAGCATGTGCGGGCTGTTCCCAGCACTGCAACCAATCCACTTCCGGCCTCCGGCCACGAAGTTTGTGTCCATCCCCCGAGGTTCGAGGACCCGGCCTGGCTCTCCGCTGAGCCTTTTGTGACGGTCCGCCGACATGACCTTCCTAATGCGGACATTGTGAGGCCGCCAGACAGCGAGGACAGAGAGCGTCGCACCCCGCCGCCGAGCAGCCGAGCACCTGCAGTGAGGCATCCAGGCAACATTGCATTGCTCCGAGCCACACACGTGAAAGTCCTGCCAGCGGAGGTAAGGGCCGCACCTGTCTACCAGGGACCGATTGGCGCATTCACCTGGACAGGCAGTGAAAACCAAGCCCCAGGTACATACACTGTCTTCGATACAGTGCGCGACTACACGATCGAACGAGCGCCCGCTCACTCCTCCATGAGGTTGTAGCGCTGGCCATGAGCGCATGTCCCTTCACTGTTGGCGCGGTTCAAGTCCTGATGGTCACGGTTCCGGGACTGCCCTGCCCGCAACTTGTTTTGCAAGCAACCGCCCAGCCGCCCACCGACAGGCCAATACCATGGGATTGCCGAGCTATTGGCGAAGGGGTTTACACGCTGAGGCATCATGTGGGGCAATCGCGTACAGATGCCATTGGAGCACTCAATCGCCGAATCCGTGCCCCACGGAACTTGGTTGATGAGCACGAACGCGGCCTGCTCCAAACCACGGACGCGGCCGGAGCACTGCCTCCGATCTTCCCACAAGATCTCGAGGTCATGCAGCACGTCCGAGTCCAGCCTGGCCCTCAGCAGTTCCCTCTAGGACTACATCTCCCGCGTCCTGTAGGAGACACAGGGGTCATTGATATAGGAGACACCACTGGGCGCCCGCGAGTCTATGTGTCTCCTCCTCTGCAAGCCACCCTCAGGCTCATCATCATTCGGGGAACCACTCAATTCTCAGCCGAGGTGCCAGCTGGTTGCCAGCAGATCGATTCGATCTTACAGCAGCTGCTTGAGCAACACCACGCACACTTAGCCCTGCCTGACACTTTCACCATTGTCCTGGCCAGGGCAC